CCCCCCCCCTCCCCCTTCTCTGCCTCTAGTGATTTCGATTGATTCTAACTTGTGTTTGCATAGAATACGTCGACGACGCGAACTTCCTGGTACTTCCGAGTGATCCTGTGGGGTACGGCAGGCCTGTCGTTCTTCCGATTCCTCGGATCGATGTACTTCCTGGCCAAGTCGGGTATTATGTGCTGCGTCAGCCGCCGCTGATGGGGAGATGGTGTCCCGCTTGTATAGTACTCCACACCCTCCTCCCATTGGGAATTGTGGGTGTCATAATTGGAAAAAAATCTTTCATGTATTAACGCATATGGAGAGGGTGATTGTATATAGTGCGATGATAATAGACTCATGATGGCTTTGAGCGATCACCGATGACGTGATAGAAAAAGTCGAACAGGATTAATGAATATGACCTATCTTACGCTTCAATGAATCTTCAGGGGTGTCAGCCCCCGCTCTCTTTTTTCATCTTTTTGATCTGACCTCTCTCACGTACTCGTCTCCTTTCCCCTTTTCCGACGGGCAATATCTGGGGAGGGTGAGGTTTGGTCGCATGCATAAATGGAGATAGCAGATGGGATTGTGCAGACGACCTGCAGGATCGGTTAGTACTTGTAGAGAAGTCTTATCCAGAAATATTCCTCCCCGCTAAGGAAAGTACACAGGATCATCCAATAGTGCCACTAGCGCATGATAGTAGTATCCTCTAGGAAACGAATACCGTGTAGACTGATGTTGTGATTGGGTAGTTGGAGATATCGCTGCCCCATAGCTGTCAAATTGATGGAACCTGACCGGTGACAAGGCTGCGTTGCTATCACTACTGAGTATGGAGTCCTGATACGTTACCTCTGTGACTCTTCCGCGGACTCTGATCGGTCTCCGGCTTTTGGAGGGCGATACTCCCTTGTCGGAGAAGAAAGAAGGAAGACTTGACTCCTTCCACCATGATCCATCGAACACAGTTCGCCAGACGAATTAGAGAGGCCAGTGGGAGCCCGTGCCTGGTTGTTCGAGCGAGGATTTCGAAGCGAGATAATGATCGGTTTGCTCTTTTCCCTCTCCACAGGTGGATTATTCCATGTTCAGACGTGGAGCCCTAAGTTGGGACTCGGGATATGGGACGGGAGAGACGTTCCAAATCCGACCAATATGTGTGGACAGCCGTCTTCCCGATTATCTGTTATTTGTTCCCTTAGTTCTACTTGAATTCTTCTACTATTGCTTGTCTCTAGAGGCTGTGGGGCGGGTGGAGCCTGGCGAAGATTGTTCTCCATGGCCCGTGTTGGGGTTCTTGAACGTCACTGGTTGCGGTTCCTGGATGATTATGAATTCCCTATAACGAGTCGCATGCAGGCCCATAAGGCAACACTGGTATAATTTTATTCGGCTGGAATTTTGTGAGAATAATACACACTCCGACTTTGTTCTCGAACCTGTTGGTGAACTGTCAGCACCATGGAGTTTAGGTACACTAGGGAACCACATTACATAGAGATAACCCATTACACACAGAGAGAGAGGCAGAGAGCTTTGAGTTGTCGGAAATCAAGGGAAATGGACTGAGATACTAAGCATTACGTTCCTCGCCTTAGCTAGAAAGGCTCCATGTCTTGGTTTAGTGCGATATCCACCCCAGTAGCTTAGCCATTGCTTGTCCAATCCAGTTCGCAACTCCCATCACGCTCTCTCCGGGACCTAGACGGTCAAATGGTATCCCCACTCATGCTGTCTCGAACTCCATATCCTTCTCTTTGTCTACCGGGCTGTCATCCCGGCTCCGGGGTCTGCCGCGAAACAACGATGCGCAAAGATGGATGGCGATAGGCCATTGCCTGTCGGGACGAGGCCGAGTCCACTCGTTCGTTGACCAACATGCGCTTCAACCCGACGCATGATGCACGTGGGGGATGCGATGGTATGATGTGATAGTGTACTCTGTAGGACATAAAAACCTTGCCTGCTCCGAACTGGCCTCGACTTGTCCAGCAAGCAGCATTGCTCAAGCTCACGACTGTTACCTGTGAGGTCAAAATGAAGTCTACGGCCCTGCTTAGCATTCTTGGCCTAGTGGCCTCTCCGGCTCTTGCTAGTCCTGTGCAGTCAGAGTATACTAGTGTACGAGAGGCTCCTTTCGGGTACCAACCTGGTTCCAAGGAGTCCATTGAGAACCTCAAGGACAAGGTCGAGCACCTTGTCTGGGTTATCCTCGAGAACAGGTTTGTGTGCCCTTGGAACGTCCTCAATCTTCCACTGTTGCTAACATGATCCAGGTCATTTGACAATATCCTAGGAGGCGTCCGTCGCTCCGGACTCGATAACCCTATCAACAATGGACCGTTCTGCAACCTGAAGAATGCAAGTGATCCATCCTCGGGGAAGTATTGCACTCGGGCGAAGGACTATGATTCGGTGCTCAACGACCCGGACCACTCCGTGACCGGCAACAACTTGGAGTTCTATGGAACTTATACTCCAAACAATGCTGCGATTGCCCGTGGCAAAGTCGTCGCCGACCAGTCCGGCTTTCTCAACGCGCAGCTCAATGACTACCCGAAGCTGGATCCAGAGGTGGCGACAACTCAGGTGATGGGATACTACACCGAGGAGGAGATCCCCACCCTTGTTAACATTGTTGATGAGTTCACCACATTCAACAGCTGGTTCTCGTGTGTTCCCGGAGTAGGTGACATGGCTCCTCTATACCCTGGCCTCTGGCTAACCTACCCGACAGCCTACAAACCCCAACCGCTTGTGCGCTTTGGCAGGGACCGCCGCGGGACATGGCAAGAACGACAATGACTTCCTGGACTATGCCATCCCGGCAAAGTCCATCTTCGAGGCGGCCAACCAGAAGAACGTGTCGTGGCTCAACTACGACGGCACCAACGGAGAGTTCAACCCGGATTCTCTCTTCTTCACCTACGTCAACCAGACCTCCAGATCGAACGTGGTGCCCGTCGAAAACTTCTTCCAAGATGCCTATTTGGGTGTCCTGCCCCAGTTTTCTTACATCAACCCCTCCTGCTGCGGCACCAACACCAACTCCATGCATCCCACGGGCAACGTGTCTTATGGCGAGGTCTTCGTGAAGCAGATTTACGATGCCATCCGCCAGGGACCCCACTGGGACAAGACCCTCCTCTTCATCACCTATGATGAGACCGGTGGATTCTACGACCACGTTCCTCCACCACTTGCCGTACGTCCGGATAACTTGACCTACACCGAGAAGGCGAAGAATGGCCAGAACTATACTCTCCACTTCGATCGTCTGGGTGGTCGGATGCCGACATGGATTATCTCGCCCTACACCAAGAAGGGTTACATCGAGCAATACGGAACGGACCCCGTCACCGGCAAGCCCGCTCCCTACAGTGCCACATCCGTCCTCAAGACCCTGGGTTATCTCTGGGATATCGAGGACTTCACCCCTCGTGTCGCCCATTCTCCGTCTTTTGATCACTTGATTGGCAAGACTTTGCGTGAGGATACTCCCATCGCCCTGCGCACTCCTCACACCTTTTCCGTCTGACTTGGGACATGTGATGGTGACGGATGAGAAAAAATAATAATAGAATTTCCGGTGACGGGCTAAATGAGTAGATGATATGGATTATGGTCAACCTTGTTCGTATGTAGTGTTCACCGGAGAGGTTGTTAGTTATATATGTGTATATGGATGACGATAAGATAGCTGGGCCTTCTACTGGATATTCATAATAAGCAAAATTGAACACTAGCATGAATTGTTGCAAAATAGGAAAAGTAGAACATGGAATAAAGAGCGTCAGAGTATACTGTAATCCTACCTAACTCAACAAACTCGCAAGAGCATAGGACATTCAGAACATCAAACTGGCGCGCGAAAATCTACTCTACGAAACCAACCTCATTTTAAACCCTCACCTATAACAACGCCCTTCACCAGCTCCTCCAGATCAGCCTCCGTCCTCATTCCCAACCCCAAAAGCTCATTATCCACATTCTCCAGTTCTCCACCGTACCCTTCCGCAAAGATCGCCCGAACCAGAAATCCCACCATAACCCCCATATCCTCATTCCCCCTTTCCCACTCCGGCCGGGACCTAGCCTCCAACTCCGCCGTGCTAACGTTCACCGGCTCCCACTTCTTCCCGGGCACCAACCTCTGAAAGATCGCAAAGATCTTCCGTTGCGTGGTAACCAAGTCGTGCACGAAGACGGGCCGATTCTTCGTCTCCTCGAGATGCGTCAGAACACCCACCACCGCCTTTCCAATCGTCGCTAGGGTAGTGGTGCTGAAGGGGCGATCGCCGCCGTCGTAGAAGGCCGGTGTTTCGGACCGGAAGTCGAAAAGGAAGCCCAGGGCCAGGCCCCAGTCGAGGAAGGGGCCGTGGCGGATTAAAGTGTATGTGAAGTTCGGGTTTTGGGCGGCCTTTTGTTGGAGGGCCTTGTGGATGGCCAGCCGTGATTGGTAGACGGGGAGTGTGGAGGCCTTGGGGTTGTCGACGTTGCAGCTGAACTCGGAGGGGATGAAGCGCTTTACACCTGCTGCGACGGCGGCGGAAATGAGTGGGTTTTGGGTTTTCACCGCCGCCGTGGTTACGGTTGAGACTACGGCGTCTTGGCCGGTTAGGGCGGTCGTGAGTTCTGCGACGGAGTCGTAGTCGACTTGGATGACCCGGACTGAGGCGGGGAATGAGGCTTTGGACGTGTGTCTGGTCAGCACGGTGATGTTGAACTTGTTGGACTCGAGGAGTGCGTTGAGCACTGGGGTGCCGAGGCTGCCGGAGGCCTTGGTTTATGTTAGATATTGACTAGATGGGAAATGTATATTGGAGGTTGGTTGCCTACACCGGCAATTGCAACGTTGCGAATCGCTGCCATTGTGAAAACAGTTGACAAATGGTCAAGTTGAGGTCACTGAAGATAGTATAGGATGGGCTGGGAGGCTTTAAGAAAGCAGAATTTAGGAGAACCAAGGATGTCTGGTTTTGAGATTTGAGAACTTGGTTACTGAGGGCAACTGGAAGGGTTTATATACTGGGCACTTCAGGGTACCTACGGAGGAAATATAGACTTACTGTTGCTTACACTATCCTGGACTGGAAGATTCTGTCCATTCTAACGGAATGGTCCTTTGTTCCGAACTGATCTGATCATAGAATAGCGAATCTGCTCTAGATCATCTATCTCATCTGGTCCATAACCCTACTTAGTAAAGATGCGGATGCAGGTGCGGACCGCTAAGCCTGAAAAGGGAATAAAGCCAATCAGGTAAGACCCCACCCATACCGGAAGCAGTTTAGCGCCATGGATAAGTTCTCTCATCCGGCATTGAAGATATGAAAGACAAGACGACAAAAGACATCAAGGTTCTCGAGATTATTAATATATCCAAGTGGGACGAAAATTTGAAGCCTCTTGGGCCGGATGATCAATATCGAAGTCACATACACACCGTAATCCGGAATTTAGCCCACCCGAACCGAAGCCCATCCACCCGCACTTGCATCCGCACCGACATCCAAGGGTCTACGCCACGCAATGAGTAGCTATGCAAATCGGGTCTGTCTGCGCTGCAGGCAACACAAGCGGAAATGCGACAAACTGCTTCCGGTATGCTCTTTGTGCAAGAGGTGAGTCTACCCTCACAACACGTCCGCTTACCAATCTACTAATGGGAACACCATATGAGATTGAACCGCGTCTGCTGTTATACGGAACCACACGGAATGGGAGAGGCCACAGAGGATTTCGTATCTATCTCACTACCCGTGCCTGACTTGGGTCAGCTCACATCGGCCAACCTCTCACACACGATCAGGACACAAGTCTTGACTATCATTGGCGATGAGAATAGGATTCGAGAGGCTGCGGCTACATTCTTTCGGACTATTCATTCTTGGTTCCCTGTTGTAGCCGAAAACCTATACTATAAGCGTCTGTCTCAAGTTCATGCCCATGCTAGCCCAGGTGCGAGCTTGCTCACGCTCTGCATGTTTCTTCTTGGCGTCAACCCCATCGATGGTGAAATACCGCTCCACATGCACTCTCTTTACATACTAGTTAAGGGCTTCGTGGCGTCACTAGAGGCTGTCGGTACCAATTCATTGGATATGCTGCAGTGTCGACTCCTGCTTACTATCTTCGAAGTGGGTCATGGTATGTACCCCGCGGCGTACATCTCAATGGGCGCCAATGTGCGGGCCGCAGTGGCACTCGGGGCGAATGTGGTTTCGCAGAGCCAATTGATAGAGATATTCAAGACACAAGAAAGAGCGGACGAGGCCCGATGTACGTGGCGTGGCATTGTGATAACCGACCGGTTGGTCTACCCTCCCTTCCGCTACTTATTGTCTCACAGTTTGAGTACCATGGCCTCTCTTGATTTGTTACTGCATTATACCTTTAGCCACTGACTTGTCGGTTGTAGATATGTCTCCTTGGAGAGTAACAAAGCGCCGAGCATTCCCAAAGGCCTTTTATCGGAAACAGTCGGCGGTAACAACGTAAGTGACGTGATCGGAGAGTCTGCTCTATTTTCAGCGGACTAATGTTGAAAATAGGACTGTGAAATCCATGAACTCTCGGCAACGCCATTTCAACCGGTGTATCAGTTCAAGAAACTAGCCCAAGCCTCTCGTTTATTAGAGCAAGTGCTTTCACACGTACATGACCCAGTCCAGCAAATGGAGTTCTTCAACGCCGAAGCTATCCAGATCCTAAAGACGCTAGGCTCATTCAGAGGAACCGTACACGATGATTGTACCGTCCCGCATAGCCTGTGGTACGGCCCAGAGGCTCTATGTCGCAGGTACTCTGAATTTTGTTCACTTCAGGTGTCATACAGAAGCTAACAAGAGGCTGGGCCTAGCGCCTTGATGACCATTTTAGAATTTGGCTATACTCTCAAGGACCCGCCGAGCACGTCCTGTGTCACCGCCTCATTTGCCCTTTTGGGGGATGTGATTCAGGAGCTGGTGGATGGATGCGAGACCCTCGTCGCCCAACGTACCCTCGTTGACCTGGAGGCTGTTCCCGTCTTTGCCGTCCATTCTGTATACAAGGCGGCTCAGGTGTTACTGGGTGTACTGAGGGGCAGTCCTCGGTTTGACTGCAGGAAGGCTGTTGGCGCTCTGAAAATCCTGCTCCGATGTATGAGCACGCGATGGTTGGCTGGGAGTAAGTCTCTTGCATGTTACGGTGAATAGCTTGAACTCCGACTAACTGGATGGCAGAGCGGTACCTTGAAGATCTGGAGAAGCAGATAGAGGTGTAGAACAGTTGCATCTACGCTTTAATCTGGACACACTACGAAAGCAGGATACACGACGTACGAAGACGACTACGTTGCGTGAATTGAGGTAATATATGTCCCATTTACAGTTTTGTAGTATACCTGCAGCATCTTTATAACATGATGAAATAATTTATATTGCATTTGACCTGGCCTTCCATGTATTTCGTTGGGACTGTGATAATGCCAGCCTTCGAGCAGGTGAGCTCTCTTGTCAAATATAAGTAGTAGGGAGAGAGTATGGATAGTAAGTGGGCAAGTTCAATCCGGGAGATTTGAGATCATAGAAAAGTCTCAATTTATAAGTCTAGATACAAAATGGGCTGATTATGCAGCAGATACTATTCAATCCCGAAACCATTCCGCGTAAGTACCTTCATATGAGAGCCCACAGGACGAGAGATTTATATCAAGTCATCGTCCAGGTTCTTTTGCCTTTGATAGGGACAGGATCAGGACCAGGAAGGGCGGAACAAGCGAACCTAGAATTGCCACGGTGGTCTTCCCTAGTGATAAATGGTATCATGATAGTAGCCGGGCCCATAGTCACGCCCTTGGCCATGTCCAATGTGCCCGTCAGGCTGTCAGCTTCGTATATTGCAATATGGTTTTGGGTACGGTAAAGGGAATCGGTGTTGAGTATGTGCCGTTAACCCAAAAGCCATACCAGCCCCTAGTAGTAAATTCACCCTCCCAGTCCCCATCAGTCCCCCCTACCTCTCCATTGCCTACTCCTGACTGGCTCATCTATTCTAGATATCAGAATATGTCCTCCTGGTCTAAGTGGAACAAACAAGGGCTGAAGCGGGGGTTTTACAGTGACCGGGGTATTGAATTGATCTCTATCGGTGAGTATACTTCCGCTATTTTGTGTCTATGTAAGAGTCAAGATGAGGTATTTAGAGGAAGAAGAGCAGATCAGGATGCATACCCTTGATAGTTGAAGTGGCCGACGTTATGTAGGATGTGACTGCCTCTGAGCAATCCTACTCAATCTGCTCCTTCTCTATTGCGAGCAATGGAAATGTGACAGAATCATCAAAGAGAAAGAAGGGGTTCGGAGGGGTATTGATAAGCAGCGCTCTTTCTGAATGTCAATTACTTTCGCTCGCAGCACAGTAGAGTGTGGGCATACACGCCGGAAGTGAAATGTTCCCTAGTCTGAGTATCAGATCCTCGATACCCAACATCGCACATACCTACGGCTACACTAAGTGGGTCTTTCGTGCATTGCTACAGATACTACCCGGGCATACGGACCCTAGATCCATCTATACACTATGAGAAGTTTAGAAAGAGGGCTAGGTACATGCTTCCAGAGCTATACCACCCTCGGGAGCTCGGTATGGTATCCTCCAGAATCTTTTGAATCATTTCCATCCTCAACCCTCTCCCCGTCGGTCCTCATGCTCGTGAGTCAACAGCAGCTTCCCTCGCAATGTCGAAGCGGGCAGAGCCCATGACTGTCGTCCTCTGACTGATAGGATACAAGATAGGGCCAGTGATTGAAGCAGTCTGCCCTTGGACATTGACAAATTTGATACTCAAGTCGGCTGGGCCAACATAAGATGGCGGGCCTTCAGTGGCAATGTCGTAAGTACATGGGAGATTCTCCAATTTCTCGTAGGTGAGGTTCACACTTGGTGCGGAGTATCTCTCCACTGATTGGCTGAATGAACCGGCAAGCACGATTTTGATGCCGTAAAACGTACCTTCAAAATTTGTGCCGAATCCGCTGAGGCTTCCTTGTGCGGCCATCTATTCAAATATTAGAAAAGAGGTACATCGACTGGGGATGGAGAATGACGAAGAACTCATGAATATTGTCGGCCGGTCTTACCTTGATAGAGAGGAAGGAGAGCTCAAGGTATGGATTGGGACTTGTTGACTTGTTGGATTTGCTATTTTGGTTTCTTGTCTTTCCAAGCAAAAATTAGCTGGGGAAGAGAGGTCTGTTTATCCAGAGATTATGAATCCCACAAAGGAGAGAGGCTAGGAGGGGTACATGGCCAGAGTTGCCATATTGAGCCAATTGGTAAGGCAATGACACATACCCCGCAGGAATATTAGAGCATCACACATGTCGGTCATGCAGGAGACTTCACACCTGAGAATGCGCCATTTTTACACGTTCAGAGAAGTAACAGCTAAGTTCCATCCCCAGTGTCTCTTGAATGGCCATTTCCCACTATGATCCTGGATTGGAGAAGAGGTAATGGGTGATTACCTTGCCACAGTGGTTCTGACAGTTCCCCCACGATCTTCTCGCACCTTGCCATACTGGAATAAAGGTCTATCACAGTATCCACAGTATCTGCAAGGTAACGCGGACTGTGCACCCAACAGCCCACACGTCTCCTCTTCAGAATCCGACACAAAATGGACTAACGGGATGAGCCCATTGGCTCAATCACCTCTTCCCCAGATGATCCAAAGTGAACCGTAACTATGTACAGAGTACTTTATCGAATGATTATTGGTAATCATGAGTAGTAGGCGTTTTGAAAAGCATGGACATAAAACACGATCGCCTAGAAGGACTAGATAATCATTGGTGAGGGTATCATCCATTTAGGATATGGGACAAATAAATGATAAGTACATTAATTCTGTTCAGAATTTATGTAGACTCCATTATCACACCTCACTGCCTTGGAAGCAATATCTACCAACCGTTCTTGGTCAGCCCTTGCCTAGTTACAAAGCCTGAAAAATATCGTTCTAAAGACAGGTAGCAGTAGTAGTCAATCCCCCAACACATGACATCCTCCCCTAGTATATCTCTCTTATAGATGCATTTAGAAGACCAGGTGGTAGACAAAAGTAAAAAAAGGGATGGATCTATCAATGTAAAGACCATGTTGCGTTGCCCTTAAGAGGGACTGGCTCGGGAATGGGTGTGGCCAAAACCCCAGTAATATTAATAGGACCCCCCTTCCTAGAGAGAAAGGTGAGGGTGATAGTCGCAGGCCCAATCGTCGCGGCTGAGATCTCAGTGGTTCCCGTCAAGTCCTCTAGATTCCCATAGGTTAAGGCTGCCTTGAGCACAATAAATGGGATTGGGGGTTCTATTGTCCCAGCCACTGAGATGTCCCAGCCTTGGGCCTTGAAAGTACCCCCAAAGCTGGGCCCGCTTCCGTTGAGATTGCCTTCTCCTACACCTAGTCCCCTCATCTAATTGGGGGGTTAGAAAGTGGGCTTAGGTGAAAACACACAACTTGACAACAAATGTGACAAGAAGAGGTCCTTACCGTGATGCAGGGTGGAAAATATCTCAGTATAGTATAGAGAGGGTGCTCTTAGTCTCCTCGTCGGTTGGGGTTGATCTGGGAGTAAAGAAGATCGGGAGTTGAAAGCAGGATGACAATTAGGCGGTGTTTCTCAATGATGGTTTATCGATGTCCAACGCCAGGAAATCTCTATCCGCCATCCATCAGCAGGGACGCACTTGGAGGAAGGGTTCTGCATTTTTGTAAGTGCTAGTGGGGGTAGCGAGAATGGGGTAAGAGGGGTACATATAGGAAATGAGGCCGACTTGCATTTGACAACCCACGGCTCAAGTAGAGAAAGAAAGTATTTTTCTTTCTTTTACAAGGATCTGGGGGTAAATAGTGAGCCTCCAAATAGCCTGGAAGCTTTACTCCAGAAATCCCTAGTATGTCTAGTAGCCTCGATATGCTACCCCCGTCTAATAACGCCTGGCATCCTCAATTCGTAGAGATTTATTGGAGCTTGAAGAGAATAATAGCTAGCTACGTAGGTATAGACACTCGGCGTTCCAGGTGAGACCATACAATCGGACCAGCAAGTCTAGAACTAAAATACCCCATCTTCCTCAACCTCAGTCATCTTCATCCACCTAACCTCACTCGCGTATTGAACTAGATTTCCCAGGACCAAAGGGTCTCTTAACTACATCTTCAAGATCCAGGCTCCTTGACCGGTGACGGTGGTTCTCTGAGAGATTGGATTCACGAGATTACCAGTGATCTTGATGGTCTTGCCGGCCTGGTTTTTGAATGTGAGGCTAGTATCAGTGATACCGACATATGATGGCAATCCCGCAATGTCGAGCACATAGGTGCCAGCAAGGTCTTCCATGCTGTCGTATTCGAGCGTAGCGACGAGCGAAGTCCATCTTTCAACGCTTTGGCTCAAATTACCACGAAACTCAGCGTCGTAGCCTTCGACATTCCAATGGCCATCGAAGTTGTTGAAGGCACCATTAATTGTACCTGTCGCGGTTGGCATCTAGGTCAAACAAATCAGAAGAGGACCAGATAGAGAACTTAGAGAATGGTTATGTTCAGGGATGTCTCACTTTGGAGAGAATTGACGTTTGCTGGTATATCAGAGGGAAAAGAGTTTGGATGGATTGTTTTCACTTGTCTTTCTGGGTGCTGTATTCCAAGATAACTGTGGGAAACTGTCCACATATTTATAGCTGACTCCCCGGCTCAGTCCAGATAATTTCAATCAGAACAATAAGACAACCTGTCGACCTACAAGAAGGGATGCACGGCGAGAGTTGCCTGGCTTGATGAGCGCATTGATTGCCCATGTTGCAAAATGCAACTGTCGAGGTAATGCAAAAAGTACTCTACACGTCACTTGGTACGAGCGAATGAAAATAGCCTGATCAGAGACTGGGGTAGAGGGTTTCATGCACAAGGTATCACATCGAAATGCCTGATTTTTGCCTGCCTGCCAGTAAGGAATACCACAGATGCACGTCGATATCGCCTTAATTCCGCGGAGGTGGCCTTGGAGACATGAGGTATTGACAAACCAAGATCTCTTTTTCAGCAGATTGTCTTGATCCATGGCAGAGTTGACTGCTTTCCCAGCTGTTGGGGTTTTGCCTCCGTATTCTTCATCTCTTGTAGTTGGTCATCTAGGGTAGGGAGAATTGGTTTTCACTCTATAGTAACGAATGTAGCGCAGAATGTGTTATGATGAATTTCACAATCAAAAGCAAGAATTTGGGCATGTTGATGCAATTGACGAGGGGTATTATACAGATCCTTGGTGGCTACAAAGTATCCATGCTTCAACCTGAGGGGGTCAAAGGGTGTAATACCTCCACGTCCCTCAACCCAAAGCATCATTCTTTCTTCTGCGGTCGACTATTTGTCAAGCAGTGGCTGGCTCACTACACCAAGGGATGTGTCAGCCCGTCCCCCACCGGGTCACCATAAGAGAGTGGGTTCAAGATCGGATCAGCGTTGACCCCCAGAGAAGGATAGTAGATAGTCATCTACCGTTAAGGAGCAAACTATACTATACAGAGATGATCTATGAGCTGTGTTGAGACTTTCTTACTCTACTGGGTAGGATATCGGTTTACCGACAGAAGAAGCAATTGACTCTACGATCATTCGAAAATCGAACGATGTATCTTTCGTAGAGGGTAAGGTTTCGAACAACCCCGCTCTTTTAGGATGAATAACGAGTCCCATAAATTAAACCGTGGCTGACCGGGTCTCCGCAAGCACGGACTCAAAGGGCCGGGGATCTTTTCCGAGTAGCATTCGAGATTCCCTCCAGGTCCTGTAAAGGGGTCGTCGTACATATGACCGGGGAGTCCGTGCGCCTGGTAGTGCGTCGAGAGGCTGCGATGAGTGGATTAATCACCTTCTGTACGTTTCAGCTCGAGGTGGAATGAGCCACAATGGATGATGTGCTGGCAAACCCCACCCATGCATATTCGTGCATTTGATCCGACAAGGACGGTTATATCGTAGGAGCGAATGTCTCCGGCGATATTCTCTCTGCCTTCCGTCATTCTCCTCACAAGAAGATTTTTTCTTTCTTTCCTTCTTTCTTTTTCTCAAGTTATTGGCGGAAACCTCCGTAAGTCAACCTAGTTAACCCCAAGCTAGCGATGAGTAGAGGATCAAAGAAGCAACAGAACAAAAAAGAAAAAAAGAAAAAGAAAATACAATATCGAACCACCAAGCTTAAGTAAACTATGAGGATACTACATCCAATGATACTAATAAAATAAATCACGGTTGTTGAAGGACATACGTTGTTGGCCCCCACTATAGTTGTTTTGGCTCTGAATGAGTATACAGTGCGAGTTTATTATACTATCGCTAAGATCTGAAGAGAAATTTTAATCTACAAGCAGAGCTTAGTATTTCACATGACTTCAAAGATTTCAACCTTTAGCGTGTTTGAGAAATCGGTTCTGCGCCAAACTGATTGTGTTGAAATATGATGAGGCCATCTCTACTCAACAAGACGGCCACGTTGCTTCATGTCGCTGACCCATTCCTGTTGAACTTGTCGGTAGAATGCGTCATCCAGCAGCACATCGAGGCCAACGAGAGCATTCGTTTTTCCGGCGCGAAAGGACTCCATATGTGCATAATCCGTTCCAAGGCCGGCCTGTTGGAAGCAGGGGGTGTGGTGCATATCAGTGGCGTTAATGCTGAACGGGGCCTGGATCCCTGGCTGAATATAGGAGCAGTTCCCAAAATCACTGGAATTAGCAACATTAGTAGATCTCAGATGGGCCCACCATTACGGTAAGTTGTGACGTACGAGCTACCATTCTTATTCACCTTGGGGGATGAGTCGGATGGGGAGGGAATATCAGCCGGCGTGAGGCCTAGATCGTTGATCATATACTGTGTATATCGGTTCGCCAGGGACATATTGGTTACAACGTCTTCGTACAAGGCGTCCCTGAAGAACCATTAGCGCCTTCTAAGCTATACAGCCTTTGCACCGAGCGCTTATTCACGGACCAAAATAATTCCACAGTACACCCTGGAGCAGCTGCAGCCCCTTCGTAAATCGGTATGACACGGATTCGGAGACGCTCCAACTCAGGCGAGTCAATTGCACACAGAGAAAAACTACCTTCAGCGTAGTCTGGAATAATATTGGGGGCCTTCCCAGCGTCCAGTATGACAGACTGGATGCTCTCCGTCTTCTGAATTTGTTGACTAAGGGGCCCTAGTCCGTCATATGCCAGCACAATCGCGTCGCAGGCATTCATTCCATTTTACGGCGTAGGTGTAGTATGTGCAGTCTTTCCGTAAAACTTGGCCCTGAATTTCCATGATGCTTTCGTGACGGCCCTCGCGGTGGAAAAGTCCGGCATTCCGTGCGTCATGAGGACAACGCTGCAGTCCTTCCACGCACTATGGTTTGCCATGATGTATTTACCTCCACCGGTCTCTTCAGCGGGTCATTACAGTCAACGTTCCCGGGATATTCAATGCTTTCATTGCGGCAGAGACACCGACGGCTAAGGCGAGGGTTGATGTTGTGATGAGATTGTGGCCGGATGCATGGCCAAGTTCAGGAAGAGCGTCTGCGAAGATGCCCCCCCCCCCTATCGTGAGCAAGCTATCATGTCCCGTATGTGGTAGAAGTCTGACCATATTCCGCATTGTAGCAGACCGTTCTCTCACAGGCTGCGACCAAAAAGCGTGCTTCAAATGCCGTGGAGCCGCATACCCCAGTTTTCACCGTCTAACCTTGACTGCTAACCCGTTCCGCAAGCAATTTGCAGGCTTTCTCTTCCTTGAATCTCACTTCGGAATTGTTCCAGATCTATAACTGTCAGTAGTTTGTTATAGAGAAGCAATGGATCAATCTTACTTCCAAATTCAGCCGACGTAGCTCAGATGATGACGAGTCAATGGCATCGGAAACTAGTTTGATAGCATGCTTTGGAAGGCCAGTGGTGCCTTTACTACTTTATTGATCTATGAAAGCAAAAACCGTGTTATGTAGCTTACAAAGACAGAGAAAGTATAAGAATAAGAAAACGTTCATTCCTCGCCCATTATATATCCCCTTGTGTTCCTTGAATAACTGTCTTGATAGCCGATGGCATCGGAGGGATCGGTCCGGTCGATGAATGCGACTTCTATCTCCTCTTCTTATCTCTTTAGCTTCAACTAAGTGTCATTCAGTCTAACTAGTCGGTAATGCGGGCCAGTGGGGGAGGCAGACGATATGCTTTTGCTTATCATCGCCTAGGCCAAATCGTAATGAATCGATGGTGTATTTAGCAAGGAGGATCCCCTTGCCATAGACTTATCTCCCACATGCATTATCAATGTCCTACACTGGATCGATCTGGGAGTCTCATTCAAGTCCTTTTTTTTCAGGAGCATCGATAGAGACATAATATACCAGACTATGCAGACCGGTGTTGAGATGTCAGAGAAGAGTGATGCTACAGTTGACCATGTTCTACAAGAGGTGAGATCGAATTTAGAGATAGATATGCAGGGGTGCTAATGCCAATAGAAACGAGAAACCGCTTCGCACTGGGATCTGGTTCTCAATGTACGGGATTGCTCAAGTGGTTGTGGGGATTGTGGCCAGGCAACCGTGACTGAGCCAAAGATAGGAACGGGGAACTACAGGAGTCAGACTAGGTCATTAGCTAATTGATATTGACGTACGAGGGACGCAACAAAAATGATCACATTGCTTAACTTGTAAATTGGAATGTCACTTTTAATGTGGCCAATTCCGTACTTCAACTGTTTTCTGACAGGCATACATTCTATCTCATATCTCGGAGGTAGATTTCTACTGGCGGACAGCCCCCTTCTTCCTCTTCGCTGCCCTGAGTCCTACAGTGCGAAGTGGCTTTCCTCCGCAGAGAAGAATGTCGCCATCAAACGAGTGGCCGAAAATCAGACGGGTCTTGCTAATAAAGAGTTCAAGATCTACCAAATCCATGAGGCTCTAGTAGATCCTCAAGTATGGATATGGATCTTAATACTCTTTGTCATTGCTAACAACATTCCTAACGTATGCGATCTATCCTCACCTGTATTCTTGGTTAAAATAGGGTTCATTATATATCTAGGGAGACATCAGTGCGTTTGGGCCATTGATAATCGAGGGAATTGGCTACTCCAAGCTTGGATCTAGTCTCCTCGGTACGCCATTGGAGGCGCACAGGTACTTTAAGGAGTTTAGTCAAGTGGCACAGATTTATGCTAACGACGGGCGAGGGATAAATCCCTCTGGGGATCGATTCATGATTCTGATCTCAGCAAGTGTCTCACTCGACCAAGAGCTCTCTCTAGCGTTAGATAACTTTTTCTCGAAAGCATATCCTCATCATCTGTTACCCTGAGCTAGGCCCACATTTACATTCTTCTAGGTGTTATTTGTTCCTGACAAGACGTTTTCCAGGTCACTAGACCCTTGTACATGATACAGGAAGCTAAAGTGAAACTGACCCAGAGTCCAAAGATGGGGACCGCTCAATAGATTCTCGATATCTCACAGGGTTAGATGTACTGGTCTGGATGGAATGCCATGTGTGAGGTAAAGCCACTTCCCGCAACGAACTGCGGACTCTATAGCTCTAACGCAAGTTAAATGCTAATCGAGTCTCTTGAAATGTACATTTGTTACTTCAAAACCGAGTCGTCGGGTTGCTACTGAGATCCTAGAGCCAACATCTAACACGTAAGGAAATAGACTTCCCAAGCTAAAGCTCACACTCTATATAGTACAGAACAAGGTGGCCGCGTGGTAGCACTGGAAGAACATATTAAGGTACTTGAGGATGCAATAAGCTCCTCGTTTTATTTCTTTCAAGAAGCCATACAGCACCGTGGGTCCTGCTTGACTCCTCTGTTTGGAGTGTATGTGCACACAAAGCATCGAGATTCACGTGTAGCTTTTTCAAGGCATTCAGCTTTCTAGGAAGTAAGGGTACTACGTTTGTGTATACCATGCTGCGGTTACAACTTGGAATGACTATGTAACGCGGCATTAGGCCCTCAATCTCTACCTTGTATCGGATAAATCAAGACCAAAATCAAGCCTCGAACAATAAAGAATGAACCATACATTGATAAATGGAAGATTTCCCGTCAGCGATGCACTCATTGGGCCACTAGCCGGATAGTTCCACCAGCCTGTAGGCTTGAACAAAAGGCGACAAGGGTAGGAAGGAAACCCAAACAAAGTAGATGAATACCCGTGGTGTAAGATCGTATTAGTCTACTTGCATTAGACATGTAGTCAGAGCACTCATGAGTCCATGCTACTGGTCATAAGCCCGATACCTTTGGACAACAAACGGTGTCTGCACTACTACAACTTTCTTCTCGGTGGTCTGTGCTTCAGTCACTAGGGCCAGTGAGGTTTGTATGACAACCGGTATCACGAATCCGTAAGGCTCAGTCTTAGCTACACGGATAGTGGCAGGCTAGTGGCAGGCTAGTGTTCCTCACCAGGGTGGTTATTATTGGTCATAGTTGAGCACTGGGATGGTGTCTGGACAGCATCTCGTACTAGTTACACCTTGCCCGAGTGGATGCTGAATTGAACAGATATTATAGTCGAGGATTATCTGTTACCCTGTCTAGTAGGCTCAGCGTTAGATGGGTGGGTCGTACACATGGTACCTTTTTCGAGGAATATGCGCTACAAAGTCAACATACTTACGAAGACTATAGCCCAAGAGGGAATAAGATAGGAAAAGGGACACACAAAGGGAGGAGGCTTTCTTGTAGAAATGACTAGGGTACTATTGGTTTCTGCTGTACCTGTACTGGGCCGGCATGCCTGGAGGGCTTTTGGTTGTAGCGAGGGCTGGAATAATGCCCAAGATTCATCCCCATTCCGGAGACGTGTGGGGTAGCACTGCTTGCCGAAAATTTCTTTTAACACTTTGTTACTAGTTTGCGCGAAGACGCCTTGGGATATAGTCACGTTCTCATTATAGGATTGACTGGGCCCAGTGGTCACAGAAGTAAAGCAGCATCCTTGTCTACAGGCTCAATGTCAAAGCCAAAGTGTGCTAAGTGGTCATGAGCTGGGAATATGCAATATCTTGTTTGTTCTCCAACTTTGCGCTAGGGGGTTAGGAGACATATGGCATGCCTTCGGGTGATCTCCTCGCCAGATTGGCTGACCGCGACAATATGATGGTGTAGAAAGCCAAACCATTCCAGACCATATCGTATTAGGGCGCATGCATGCGCGAGAGTTGGAACAGTTACACACTTATCCTGTCTCGCCTTGTAGGTCATTGGTCGACCTAGATAGATATACTTGAACCCAGTCAAACCACATACTACCCACCGAGCTACAGACGTTGCCCAGTCACCGCATTATAGGTGATCCTGAAACCGGTACACTCCTCACCGTACCTGTTCCACACAAGTTTAATTTTCTTCTTTGATAGCAGGGCTAACAGGAGTTACTTTGAGGCCACTGAGGCGATTGAGTCGACATGGTGGCTTGTGGCTAACTTGTAAGTAAACATATTGGCGGAAGGCTACTATCGGCATCTCAAGATATAATAAGTGATCATCTAGAGAGGGTTCGTGCGCAAAGGTTCTGTGGCCTTCTCGCTATTATGACTAGGAAACCTGAGGGATGAATGATAGTTGGCCGACTGGTGAATGAGCTTGCTGAGGACCTCTATCACGAGACCGAGCAAAGAGATTAGCCTTGCATAAGTTTCGTATAGGAGGATTGTATGTGTGATGGGTCATCGAATTGGTGTGACCATACTGGATTATAGGGTCGTGATGGAACGTCAAGTAGCTGTAATTAGACCATGACTACTCATGCGAAAGGGAAATGTCCGCGTCAAGAAATATGATTGCTCAGGTTTAGGACTCGGAGGCACAGGAAGAAGTTAGCTTGGCCTGCAGGATATCCCGTCAATGCCATGCATCTGTAGGTGTTCCATAAATCACGCATGACACGCATACTGCACGGGTTATTCATCTGAGAAACTTTAGTGCAGTTCGAATGACAACAAGGCCGTCTCAAGTTCCCGGAGCATATGGCAAAGTTCGTGGCCTACTGAACTGTATCGCAAGGTTGTCTGCCAGGCGTGACATGAAACCGTGGCACCGGCTCCTAGTAGCGCCGAACTACGAAAGGGCTAAACTAAGGGGTCATAGAAAATTGCTCATGGCGATCTAGGGGGACAAAAGTACGTTCCAGAACCTTGGATGGGTTGGGCTAAAGTAGTGGATCCAGCTGGCCCACATATCACCCACGATACGCGTTAACCGCCTCTTATAGCACAACTAGAAGAGAGAACTAGGACTAATCATCATAGAATGAACCCGTCATGTCGGGCTACCTGCACACTCCACCGGAAATAATGAGTGGTTGTGACCTATTGGGGTTGGGCGATTGCCAATCGAGATGCCAGCCCATATTAGCGTCTCAGACCACCATCATTGTCTCCACCGAACCACCTCCGTTGGAAAACTATCGGAAAGACATGCCCATGCACTGCGCCAAAAGGCTTACACTATACGGGAGACTTGTCGCGGAAAGCGCGCTGAACAATTTTGAAAGCACAGTATTGTCAGTGTCCGGATCCATCTTGACGAAGCACAGATCCCTCCCGATAGTCTAGTGAGTCGATGGCGTGGGTCTCTCCTTAGTGTCTATGATCCGGGGCATGGGACCTTCTACGTGGCCTGATGTATCAATGACTCTGGCCATCTTAAGCTACGAAGGAACGTGCCCTCCTGCAGAATTGAGTATGACCGAACAACAGCGGCTGGAGCTGGATGTGCTGTCAGCTGTCACATTCAGCTGAGAACCAGTTCGCTGCTACCTTTGAGAATCAATCTCGGCCCAACTTGGTATCGGTGATCGACAAGGGGAAGAGGGCTTGTGTCACAATTCTGAACCCATTTCTGTCGCTGCTTAACAAAGGTAGAGTGGCACAGAACCAAGGGGACTTCTCATGGCAAATTATATGGTGGGCCGTCTCCTTAGTAGCCATGGGATGGCTCTTTGTTCCATGAACTGTGTAAGGAGGTGTCAAGACAGCTGTCTTGCTACACTGCTCTGCTGATGATTGATGTCCTCCCCATGCTATGCGCAACTCGTCGAACAGATTCATCTCCATTCTCTTGACAGCAGTGCTTGACAACTGTAAGTAAGACCAAAGAACTAGGTTGCACCATCTCGAGAATACCATTGGGTCTCTAATATGAACACCCCTGTGCTGCCAAGACTGATGTTGTCCAATATGAGCCGTCGTAGTCTAATCAACATAGACTACCATAATCACCGTACGACCTTAGCGAGTGTAACTTTAGCCAACTACTGCTAGTCATCCGGGTATTACTTGGCAGTGGCCGTTTACTACGACGGGTCGGTTCTTGCAAGGGAAGCGTTTTCTATGCAGATTTACGGCGTGGGTGGACAGTCACACTATCACAGTATTATGTTTGTATATGACAAATACGCGCATGCTTTGTTTCAATACTCCTTGTCCTTTATAGTTCTTTTTTGTCTTTTTTCTTTGGCCTCAATATCTGCCGGCGTCCTCCGTCAACCTTGCACGGTATATGCTTGCGGCCACTTCTCCAAGCTTAGAGAAAGGGATACCTAAAGCGAGTGCCGTCGTTGAGTTTCGAGGACTGTCACCCCACGGCGCCTTTGTCCCCACATTGAATCCACTCCCAGCTTCTGCACATTCCCCGGTCCTGGTTATCCCAACTGCGTTCAACAATCGTGCGATAGACCTCGGCATCTTCGCAGATGGTGTCCTCAATCTGGTCGAACAAATTACTGATAAAGTCCCGATGTTTCTCTTGAACACTGGCAAGCCCGTGAATAAATAGAGGGACCAGAAGAAAAGGTGAAAGCTCCAGGATAGTAATCCCCGCCATCGATGCCACTCCTCGTTCCACCATGGCCTGGACCTTGTCATCGCGCATACTGTCGGGATGGAGAATGAGATAGAGCCAGGTAAAGAGTGCCGATGTGTAGGAATCGTATAGGTCTTGATATTGCTCTTCAGGGAGGGTTTTCGGTGGTTGCCAGTTATCTAGGTCTTGCCATATTGCCACGGCTTCCGTAATTGTGGTCGAATTGTTCACTCCGCCGGTCCGCGATCGATAGTGAAGAGAATATGTTCTTCGTATAATGTCTAACAGGCCGTCGTTCATTCCAAATGTATGGTCTCCTTCTCCCGATTCAGAGGTGTCGTTGGTTGCAGGTTGATTGTTGCTGGCCGGGGGATAAATAACTTCGGCGGTGAAAACCTCCAGGATTGAATAATCCATGGTGGGAATTGAATGGAAGTTTTAGTCTTTTAAAGGCTACAGGGACTTAGTTGAGCTTTTTATATGTTACTATTATCTCTACAGAATAGTCCTAGTCTAACATTTACAAAGGCGCCGGAGCCGCAGCTATATTTCATCCCTAGCGGGTACGGTTAAAAGATTGACGATATTTCTTTTGCCGCGGGAAGGGGGGGAGGGGGGGGAAATAAAAAATAAAAATAAATTATATTAGAGAAAACCAGAACAGAAGAGATACTCTCGCCCAACCCAATGAGGTGGTACTGTACCTACATTTTTGCCCTAAATTGGTAGCACCGCGTATCAACGGTGGGAAAGGCGACACGTCATGTCCGATATAATCAATCAAAACCGGCGAACAAAAGGGACTCCCAACGCTTTCAAGCCATAGAATATAATTCTAGACCGACAAAACAGCGGTAGGAACTGCCAAGACAATCTCTAACGTGGATCGCTGTCAAAATCTCCGATCACTTACCTTTGTGTCGGAACCATTTGGCACCCCTAGAGCCTCTTGGAGAGATAGCCAGAGTGTTAGTCTTTCCACGTTAGCCGCTCGATGGTCACTTGAAGAGGATCTCGGCCAACTAATGAAACTACAACGAAGAGACAAACCCTCAGAAAAATAAATAGAATAAAATAAAATAAACAGTTTGACCCACGTTCATGGTTCCCCGTAATAACAATTCATCGTTTAATTCTCATGAACACAGCAGTTTTAAATCGGACTGCGTAGGAAAAATGTAGGATAGAGGGCAGTCACGCCAAGGCCAAGAAAAAAGATCTTCGGCTCAGTGCTTCTAGCATAAAAATAGTCGGAAGAAAATTTTCTTCACCTCTCCCTAATCGAAGTTACTCGCTTACAACGTGTACCACAAGTTTGACCTTTTAGTATCGTAGGCATGCTCAAGAAAAGACTATAGCCTACACGTAGCCTTTACATGTTTATGCGCCCTCATCGCCTATGAGTTGGCCTGTCGTCCTCGCTTGAGAGATATGTAGCAGGAATGCTGCGAAAAGCCTCACTGGTGGTTGGGTTGAGCGGTACAGACTCCAACTGTACCACAAGCCTTTTCGACTAGAAAGCTGCTGCTTCCAACATCGGGAAGATCCTGGTAGAATACGGCGGCTGGATCGGGTAGCCGCAGTAGACGAATTTCCCATTCTATTTGGCACATAGAGTAGCTGGCCAAGTTCGGATCTTCCTGTCGGTAAAGCGCAAGAGCAAACAGTCTATATCTCACATATCTGCGAGACTGTTCTCACGAAAAGGTACAACCGCCGCTAGGTATATCAGCCGCTCGGTCTCCAGCCATGCGAACCATCCCGCTATACGAGTCCCTAATAACCTCAGAAACTCCCCTTTCCCTGCAGAAGAATTGTACTGTCTTCCGGATCAGGGTGGCATTGTCCTTGATATATAAATCTCTCTGTTGCATATCGGAAGTCGGCAAGTGAGCGTATTCTCCGCTAAAATTCACAATGGCCTGCACAAGTGATAGCATATAGCCCCGTTTGAGGCTATGATCGGTCTTGTGTCTCCAACTCCCGCCATATTTACTTTGTTTGTGTTGTGCTTATGTTTTATTTCTTTGCTGGCGGAAGACCGGGGTATCCTGCAAATATATATTAATATAGATTTGCTCCAGTTTGCAACAGACTTGGCGGGATATTTACTATAGGGCCATTGTTCAATTGGCTGTTCACGCAAAACCGATATATCTATACTACAGCGACAGGACTTAGTATACTTCTAAGTTCATTGTGAGTGGTATTTCGATTGCCTGCAGAGCGACTTGGTATATCATTGCCGATTACGGATATGCGGTGCTGCACGGTCCTTTTAGTATCCATGCATTGTGACGTGTAACTAGAGTTGTAGACCGCATATCTACTCTGTAGTGCAGTCCACCACCCAGTGAGTGTGCCATGATTTAGGGCTTTTTCTGGTCCATCGTTTGGAGGGTTTGGGTGCTCTCCTTCCTCATTTGGTGTCAAGCAAACACAACAAACAAGACAAATCAAGCAAAACACATACAGGCAGCGTCACGCTAATCCTGTTTTAGGCGCTCTCAGAGGGGTTTCTCCGAGTCCGTCCGTGACTCCACTGAACCCTAACAATCTAACCAAACAGAAGGAATCTTACGTCTTTCGGAGATAAGAGTCCTGGAGCACCAATTAATTAGTCGATGTACTCCAATCAGCAATATGGAGTAACGGCTCGGTCACGGAGATATCGGTCGAAAGCTTCGGCTTATCCACCATGACATGACACTTACCACCAAGAGAACAGCACTCCAACATCTTCCTTTCATAGCATCAAGGCGATACAGATTGCCCGACCGAACGGAAAGTCCTTAAATAGTTGCCATGACTGGGTCCCCTTATGCCGTGAAGAAACGCCGACGCCCAGCGCTGTCCTGCAGCGAGTGTCGGCGTCGCAAAGTTCGTTGTGACCGGAACCGCCCCTGTGCTCAATGTATAGCCCACAGGACCAATTTGTGCACATACGATGATGCTCGCCCAGGACTACAAGAACATCAAAGACACGAAGAGGCAAACGATGGTTCTAATATACTAAATCCACTGGGTACCAGTCAAGGGACCGGCGCTGATAGCGGGCGAACGATCCTTGAAATCCATCATCCAGATAATCCTGCCGTCCCCACTGAGGAGCAGCCGAACGTAGCTCCGGATACCTCGTTTCCCTGCCCAACTCCCCCGGCGGATTCTGGTCAGGTCCATGGTATAGTATCCAAGACCAGGCTTTTTGGTCCCGGCCATTGGATGAGCACAATTCCTCTGGTATGTCACCCTGTTGCTCGGTCAGTACGGCGTCTGAATCCTGATTGATCGCGCTATAAAGTTAAAGGGCTTACCAACTCTGGAGCCTGTCTCCCACTCTGCATCTCCGTTTTGTCAATCTTTTCGGGGGGTGTGCTATGAACCCGATTGCTCAATCGTGGAGGCTGTGGCCCAATGTAAGCAATTAGCTCGCGACATGAAGAAGCAACTTCCTAGTCGAAGCCCACTGCCGGCGGGCATCCATCAGTCGTTCCCTAATCGCCTGGTGATGAAAGAGTTAATCGACCTTTACTTCAACACCTTCGAGTCATGTTATAGAATTCTTCATCTACCGTCATTTCGAGCAGAGTATGAATGCTATACCCAACAGCCAGAAACGGCCCATCCATCATCTGTGGTGAAGATATCTCTTGTCATGTCTATTGCAGCTGCATTGCATTGTGATTCCACGTTACGCTTTGACTTACGTGTTAAAGCTCAAAGGTGGATTCACATCTCGCATACATGGCTCTCGGCACCTCTCGAAAAGGATCGTTTAACCATAGACGGGATTCAAATCCATTGCTTGCTTCTGTTGGCGCGACAAGTCAACCGCATTGGTGCAGATCTAGTCTGGATTTCCTCCGGTTCTTTGATACGGATGGCTATGCAAATGGGGTTGCACCAAGATCCGACTCGCTTAGGCCCAATGAGTCTACTTGAAAAGGAGCTTCGAAGACGTCTCTGGTACACAATCTTGGAGATCAACGTCCAATCTGCTCTGGACTCTGGAATGTCCGCCTCAATCACAGTGAATGAATATACAACCCAGCCACCATCTGACCTTGGCGACGATGAGCTGGAGGAGGTCAATCAGCACAAGCCGCCCACAAAACGAGTTTCATACCCTACACCGACTTCCTTCCAATGCCTATTGGCAAATTCCGTACCATTACGGTTGGTAGCTACGACAGTCATCAATAGCCTGCAGGAGGGACCCCCATACGACCAGGTTCTCTCCCTTGGAAGCGAACTGGCATCGGCTTGTCGCAATGTAGCAGCGTTAGTTGACAAACATGCGTCACTCGAGGATGGACCATCACCAAATGAATTTCGGTATGGCTGGTGTGACCACCTTCATCGCCGGTTTTTGCTGTGCCTTCACCTACCTTACGCGGTCCAAGCCAAACAGAGCCCTCTATACAGTTACTCAATGAAAGTGTGCTTGGAAGCAAGTCAGGACTTGGTCTCTCTCCTGGAGAATAATTCATACCATCGCTTGCTGCTTATTGGAGGAGGCATGTTTCGGGACATTATCACGCGAAGTGCCTTAGTGATCTTTCTAGAACTTGTTACACAGCTGGAAGATGATAGTTCCACCTACTCTAAGAAACGGAACCGCTTACGAAGAGAGCCACTAATAGCAGATGCGCGTAAGGTGGTCCGATATGCGCACGATAGGATGTGCTACGGTGAAACAAACGTGAGGTGCTATCTATTTACCTGTATGGCGATGGCCCAGACAGAGGCCATGCTGGACGGTAGATCTACAAAAGATGACATTCTTAACGCCGCTCGAAGCAGCCTCGCAGTATGCCATGGTATATTGAAATCCATGGCGGCCGGTGCACTTTCGAACAAAGCGATTGATTCCGACCTTGGAGCTTGGACGTACAATGACATGGCACCCGTACCTACCGCTGTCAACACAGACTTTGACTTCCTCAATGATGAGAATATGAATTTTGACTTTTTGGATTCCTGTATCCTTCAGCGGTGGATTGACGAAACATTGCCCTAGAAACAATTGAACCCTGAGCCAGAACCAATGTATACGAAGATCTGCTCAAGCTGGGGGCTAAACTCTTCACTCGTCATCCTAATCAAGCGTAGGACTACAAATCTCTACCACCGATCGCTATAACTACATCCAAGCTGCTGGGGAGTAGAGTTTTGTGTGTATTTTAATAGCTTAGCTGTTTCTGACTCTCGGGTTTCAACTACCAGACATACCTTGTCTCGATACCATTATACGGCTACAATAACAACTAATACGTACGGTATATTCATATCTACATATCCATTGGTAACAGAGTTTGGGCTTTAGAGCCTTCGTTGATTCCCTGACACTTGTGCTAGACCCTCAGAGGCCGGCAGTTGGAGTTAGTGGCGTAAGCCCGTCGGTGATTTCGGACGATGTTAACATTGCAGCGGGTCTTCCAGCCGCTTAGACTTGATTGGGTACAGAGTACTTGCTAGATCTGCTCAGAAGTCCCACAAGCAGCAAGCAATGGCGAATGTGATTCATCTATCTGATCTGATAATGCTCCATGATCTTCGGTTGCACCTTAGCACGAAGCATGGCAGTCCTCCTTGAACCGAACACGAATATGTGCTATACACTTTAGTACTTATTCATTTATAACATCTAACAGAGCCCAAACCTCACTATGAGGGTGAAAGTGCGCGGGAGTGTTCAACTGATAGATTCTTGACGAACGCACGGCCTGTACCGCGCTATGCGAAATTTGCATGCGTTTACTGTAATTCGTGGTTCAACTTAAAGGGGAGCTCGTATTTACCGCGGCGATATTGGCCCGACATAGCCAGTTTCTTTAATTTTATAGAAGAGCCACCAGCATTGTCAGCCCACTCAGTCTTGCGCTGTGCTAAACTCCGAATAGAGGGACCCGCAATTTGCCGAAATTGATATTGTTTTCTTAATCCGTGAAGATACTCATAGGGTTATAAGTAGGGCCCTCGCAACCCTTGACCTTTTGGCCTTCAGAAGCACTAACTCGCGGTATATATATGCTAACAAAGGGCTCCTATTTAATTCTAACCTATCCGACCGTCAAACATACTAGACGACGAGACTAGATCAACTGGCATTTGCTCAACAATTTGGGACAACTACTATGCCCCTTTCTGAAAACCAGGCATTGGCAGGATTTAGTCCTAATACTGACAATCCTTATATAAAGAAGAACAGTGAAGGCCATACTATGTCCACGAAGGAGGATATCATCGATCGCCCTCCTGATGGAGGTGCTCTTGCCTGGTCTGTGGTGATTGGAGCTTGGTGCACCTCCTTCTGTAGCTTTGGATGGTTGAACAGTAAGCCTAGGGACTTTCACCTTGAAGGTATCATCGCTAACCGGCATCTTCATGCAAGGCGTGGGCATCTTCCAGGAATATTACCAGAGGAACTTACTGAAGCAATACTCAGCCAGTACCATCTCTTGGATACCATCGCTTCAGGTCTTCTTTATGTTAGCCTCGGTAAGCCATTCTTAACCTACAGTTTAGGTTACCGGCTAACTAGGAGTCAGGCTCCACCTATAGGATTTTTATATGACAGATATGGCCCACGATATATTGTCTTTGTTGGCACATTTCTTCATGTGTTTGGTCTGATGATGACCTCTATATCAAAAGAATATTACCAGATCCTTCTTTCTCAAGGTGTTTGCAGTGCTATAGGCGCTGCCGCCATTTTCCAACCAGGTCAGCATTCTTTCGTGCTTGTGCATAGCAGATGTCCGTGCTGACTGCCGTTAGCCCTCAGTAGTGTAAGCGGGTGGTTTGATACGAAGAGGGCAACTGCCTTTGGAATCTTATCGACCGGATCTAGCACTGGGGGTGTCATCTTCCCAATCATGGTGACCCATCTCATCGACCAAGTGGGATATGGATGGGCGATGCGTATTGCAGCCTTTATCATACTATTCCTACTTGTCATCGCCAACTTGACCGTCAAGACTAGACTACCCCCACAGCCCCAGGGCATTACCGCACAAGATCTTTCTCGTCCCTTGCGCGAACCTCCATTGGTAACTATTATGGGTGCCTATGCTATACTTACGTTTGGTGTCTATATTCCCATAAACTACTTGGTGGTTTCAGCGACTGAGCAGGGAATGTCTGTGGAACTGTCCCAATATTTGGTCCCTATCCTCAACGCAGCGAGGTAGGTGTATGAGCTTCTCGACTCTCCTTCATTGCTGACAGAGTTACTAGTTTCTTCGGACGGTTTGGAACAGGAGTCGTCGCTGATAGGCTTGGTCGCTATAACGTGTTCATCTTCGTCTGTGCTATGACAGGAATCCTGATTTTGGCCCTCTGGATTCCGGCATCGAGTAATGCACCAAGTATCGTCTTCGCAGCGCTATTTGGATTCTCTTCAGGAGCCTATGTATCCCTCTCACCCGCACTTATTGCTCAAATCTCCCCACTGAAAGAATTTGGGTATCGCAACGGTCTCATGTATCTCTCAGGCGCCATCCCGGGTCTCGTCACGAGCCCCATCGCGGGCGCGATATTAGCACGCGACCATGGCTCGTTTACAGGAGTGAAGATATATGGGGGAGTCTTTTGTCTTGTCGGCACGGTGCTCGTGGTTGTTGCTCGACTTATGAAGACTGGACCAAAGTTATTCGCCAAGTTTTAGTCTTAAGTTTCCTACTTATTGCGCCAGAGGGAGTGTGATGCACCCCTGTATAATAGATAGACTCATTTCCACTCATGATCGATAAGGATAATCAATAAATAAGGGATAAATTATTTACTTTGTTATTCCCAGGCCTTTTGTATCATCGCTCTCTGTCCATGTCCTCAGTTGGCTAGAACGCGCGATATTCTATGTTTACTGTCAGTATGTAAGAGTTAACTCCGAAAAACAAAGGAAAGGAGACCTTTCGACTCCTTCTTTAAGAGTATCTGGGTCGACGCAAAACACAAGGCGGAATCGCCCTGGGTTTGGCGCCCGATATTCTTCCCCGGTGGATATAATAACGCTTCCCTCGCTGAAGCGGCGCGAGAGTAATCGTTGCGCCGCCCACCCATCGCCATTGATTTCATGGAGGGGAAGGTGAGAGCTCAAATCCAGCCACAGAAAGAGACCGGCATCCCTGGGAGGCTATCAGAGAGATGGACGATAATGCCGGACTTGATATGGAACCTAGGTAAGGTAATCACGTACCCGTACGGAGAATAGCTGATCCCTTTTCGAGCGAGAAGGTCTTCTGCTAGTAAGCGACTCTGCAGCAGACAGTGATGTAACTTGTGTAAGAAGTTCGTAACAAAATCCTGGTCCTCAAGAAACTTTGCGGTCAAATCCGTTGAGAACTGGGATGGTGAGGAAAACCGACTGATGCCGAGTGATGAGCAACTGAGAGTGGAATTGGTCATAACGAGAACCAAATTTACCAAATGGCACGCGTTGCTTTTGTAAAATCCTCATTTTCAGATATGATACATCCTAATCTCATGCTACCGGCACCAAAGTCCTGTAAGGGCATTTTGTCATGTGTTTTATTTGACATGTATGGGGAATTTTGTCACAAACCTTGGACATGCCATGTAGAACATGAACCTGATTAGGATTAATGATTCCGTTGAAATCAATTGCTCGTACAGGTGTGAAGGTCTCTGGCTGACGATCCTCGCGTTCGTAAACGGAAAACCCGTATATCTCATCGCTGATTAAATGAATCCCCTTCGAGGCGCAGGGATATAGCAGCCCGATTAGGGTCTCGCGAGAGTAGCATTCGACCTGCCCAACCGCATTCTATTCTATGATTTTATATGCAAAGGGGTCATCACGATTAGAACTGACCCAGAGGATTGTGCGGGTTGCAAATCATCAATGCTCGGACATTGATTCCCCGCGCTTTCGCAGCTTCAAACCCAGCTCCAAATGCGAGCACACAGGCTGGCGAAATCTGTTCCGTATCTCCAACAGACACATATTCTAAATGTATGCTATGGTACAGGTCACGTTAGCCTCCGGTTCACCTCATCCTTACGCTTCGCTCACTTGGTTCTCATAGCTAGATCCCTGGAGAAAGCGCCATATACAGGTCTTCCAAGCATGGTAGCATCATCCTGGTCTGGATCGCAGAGTACCGAAGCGGAAGTTTCATTTAAATTTGTCACACCAGTTGCGAAGGTGATTTCCTCGGCGGTGATAGCCTTGGTTGGCTGGAAATGCGTATTTAAATGAGTAGCCATCGCACTCCGAAGACGCAGTGTGCCTGTATAGCCTTCTCCGTAGGCACAGCATCGTTTATCAAAGCGATTCTTGACCATCCAATGTTAGCATCCAGCATCGATAGTCACTGGTAGCAGTTCGTCTTACGTGATCGTTAATAAAGGCTGCGAGGTCGTCATGCATGAGCCACTACCCCTGTGTCAGTGCCGTATAGGACCGAGGCTCGGTCACCGAATCTTACATTTTCAGCATTGGCGAAACTGACGACTCCTTGTGGATTGGTAGTAGGGCTATATAGCTATTGCTCTCTATGAGTAAAGTCGATCGTTGCCCAGTGGGCTCCTCGTCCCGACAACATGATTCTCTCGACAGCTCACTTATTTTGGACTGTACGTACATGCAGTAATGGATTTTCAGGCGTAAGAGGGAATGAGTGGCTGAAGTACGCAGCTTGTTATATTGAGTATTCGGGGATATCTCCATCTCCATCACTTTCGCATCCCCAGGATTCATTGCGTGATTCGGTTTGATTGTGGCGTCGCACTAATCCAGCATTGATTGCTTTTCACAGCCAATAAGTTCCACTCTTAGTCTAGGACTGCCGATTGCAGGAATGTACGTCTCTTCTTCGGGTTAATTGGAATCAGGCTACCTCTCTCTGCCTAGATGATTCACATCTTTAGCCCTTGAAGGCTCTGGATTCTGTTGAGATAGGACTACATATTGAGATTCTTCCTCCTCTATTTACGCAGATCCACTGTTTTTGGTCCAATTCTATGTCCAGATCACATCCTGCATAAATCTATTAAAAAACTGCAGACCAACCATGTGACCTCTTTGCATTCCTTGGCAGGAATTTTATCAATAAACGATCCAAATTTAATTCAACGTCTTCTCTTCCCCGCTCGGCAACGCAATCGTGCGAACTGGAAATGTGGCTGTGGTCTCCTACCATTGCTTGCTTTTGGACCATACAACTCTTACTCCCTTCATGGCAGTTGGAGGATCGCAGGAGTATTGAGCCGGTCGTCACGATCAGGAATGGAACTCTAGTTGGCCGACAGAATGTCCATTACAATCAAGATTTCTTTCTTGGAATTCCATATGCCCAGCCACCCGTAGGAGAATTACGATACCAAAGTCCCCAGTCGCTGAATGAGTCGTGGGAGATCCCGAGGCTGGCAAAGACGTACGGATTCTGGTGTCACTCTGCACCTCTTTCTCTGCCGGGCTACACCCAGGAGGGATTCCCTCATGAGGAAAACGAGGACTGTCTAACAATAAATGTTGTCCGCCCGACTGGAGTGACCGCTTCTGCTCAGCTACCGGTCCTGGTGTATATCTACGGTGGCGGGTTACAAGAAGGGGGCAGCGCAGATCAGCGATACAACATGTCCTTCCTGGTCCGGGAGTCGGTCAAGATGGGCACTCCCACGATCGGAGTTAGCTTTAATTACCGAGTGTCTGGCTTTGGATTTCTGTCTGGTCGCGCTGTGAATGATTTTGGGGTCGCAAACCTTGGCTTATACGACCAACGAAAGGCGCTACATTGGATCAATGAGAATATTGCGGCGTTTGGCGGGGACCCGACTCAGGTCACTCTCCAGGGAGAGTCGAGTGGAGCTTTGTCGGTGGGATATCATCTCCTTGCATACGGTGGCCGGGACGATCGACTTTTCCGCGCCGCGATTGCGGAGAGTGGTGGCCCTCTTAGCTCGGCAGCCCTTATACCGCTGGACGAACAAGAGCTGATGTATCAAGATGTTCTCAACGCGACTGGATGTGCTGCTACAACAGAGACCCTCGACTGCCTACGGCAGGCACCGGTTGAGTCGCTTAAAGCTTCATTCCAGGGAAGATTCTTCTTCCCGGTGATCGACGGGAAATTTATCACTGGCTACCCCTCGAATGCCCTGAAGCAGGGGAAGTTCGTCAAAGTACCATTACTGATCGGATCCAACTTGAACGAAGGAACAGGATACATCGCTTCAGGGTCATTCGGCGCGGTGAATAGACCGGCAGACCTCAGAGCTGTGATCACCGGGTTTGGACCGGGGAAGTATCTTACCAAAAGAACACTGGCCGAGATAGTTAACAGATATCTTCAACTCCCTGTGGAGGAAGTTCAAGCGGACCTGGGAACAGTTCGCATGTCCCCTGGTCCGCAGTATGGCTGCCTCTATGGACACAGTACGTTCTATATTGGAGACTACCTAGTCAACGCCCCCAAGCGCTACAGTGCTCAGATGTGGGCTGAGCATGGAGCGGCCGTCTATAGCTATCTCTTTGACGTGGTTCCAAATGGCGTGTCGCCTCAGGTCCTCGGAGCGGCTCACTTTCAGGAGATCGCCTTCGTGTTCAGGAACTTTGCCGGAGTGGGATACACGATCCCTCCTCTGACTTCTTCTGACGAAGACGTCGAAACGCAATTAAGAGATGCAAGTCAACTGATGACCCGCATGTGGCTTAGCTTCATAACCACGTTATCACCAAATAATCATCAGAGTATGTCGGTTCCTTCCTGCCTACCATTTGGTGACTCACTGTATGCAGTTCCCGATCTTGAGGTCGAATGGCCCGTGTATCAGAAAGCGTCGTCGAACAATCTTGTCATTCGCCTTGAGAACGCTACGATCGAGGCCGATACCTGGAGGTCGAAGGCCATTCAACGTATCATAGACGCTTTTGATGAGTACAAATTTTAGATGCGTAGTCTCCTTTGCAGAATACAAAAAAAGTAGGTACTTGGTACTCGTTCGATTTTTATTTGGCTATGTACTATTTGCTAGCCCACCCTAGCATTCTGCCACCTCCCCATGCACCTAAGTATCTTGAAGGCGATTGCCGTGGGGATATGGCCTTCAAGCAGTGGGGTGAAGCAGAGTTGTAGATCGAGTAGTAGTGTGGGCGCAATGAAGCCCGAAGGATAGACGATTTTTTCCTCTACTCGCTCAACCACGAACTGGTCCCCAATCAGAACAACCTGTCTTTTCATCAGAGCAAGCGCTAAATGCCGTCCGACACAGCTTCTCGCGCCGTAAAAGAAGGCCAACATGTAACCAGCCACGGGAGCGCCGCCCTAACGCAATTTTGCGTCGGACGGGTCGGAACAGACCGGTTAATACGTCGTCCCAGGTGGAAGGTCCGCGTCAGAGCCCCAAAGATGATGCGCGTAGTTAATTGCTGGGGGACGGATGCCAATATGCGCGTCGGTCGGAACGAACCGTCCGTTTATCGTGGTGTCACGGATCGCCTCTCTCAGCAGTAGCGAGAACGTAGGATAAAAGTCGAGTGAGCTTCATGACTACTGCATTGAGCTGGAGTAACAGATCGTACTCCACCTCCCGAGGGAGTCATTGTCTGCTCTGGCTTTGTTTATCATCGAACCGTCGCCTGTGTTTTAGGGTAGAGTGCAAGATAATAAAGAGTCTGATTGAAGTGGAAATATACGCCCGTTGTGCTCTCAAGCAGAGCAAAGATGAGCCAAATCATATCTCTCAACAAGCTGTGTAGGCAGTCTTCGACATTAACAGTGATACGATACGGCTGCAGCTCCTAAAGCTTTTACGGTTGTAGTAGTCCCAACAGGACTCAGCAAGCGCCCATGTTCGGTCATGCCCCAGATATCGTTTTCGCCCTGTCTTGCATTCCGTTCTTCGACAGCACTCCATGCCACCAGCACCTTGCTTATACTTCCACAGCATACTACTTTTTTCCTTTCTTTCTTCTTTTCAATTGCCCATGTATTGCAACAATGATTTTCCACACCTATGATGTCGGCAATGTTAATAGACGGTGTGTGTTGACAGTAAATAGGATGCGCAGTGTTTAAGCTTTGATATATGAGGTTGGCGAGATGGGCCTGTCTATGCCTTCCCCAGGTGACATGTCAGTGGTACAGAGGCCAACCACACCATATCACAAATGGATACATCAAGCGTTATTCTAGTTCTTGATTGTGCAGTGAGATTTAACAGAGTAGAAAGTTTCAGGTGGAATTTTAACTTTCATGACGCTCGACGCACGACGCACATAGAAACTCCAATAGTCGTTATGTTTAGGGAATCTTTGCAGTACACGAGTCATTGGCTACCCTCTAGTTTCACATATCTTTTTTGGGTTTAAAGGATGGTAATGTTCTTCCTCATGGTATGTCCTGCATACAACGTTATCGCTCACATGCCCAATCCCAATATATACTAGAGTTAAGGGAGAGATTTGGAGCATAGGTGTTTTAAATCAAGGTCGATCTTGGATGTCTGCGGAAAACTAATCGGATTAGACGTACCGTAGTTATCTAAAGCTCTCCTCTACTACTCTTTTCTTGTGATCAAGTCTACAATTTCTTCTGAACAGAATCCTAGGGATGCTGCTTGAACGTGACGAGGGTTGAACCCCGATCAAAAGAGACCTAACCACATACGGACTAGCATGAAGAGCCTACCTGACCATCTGTTAAAGGCCCCCATGGCCGGATTGAAGACCGGCCCTAAGGAGAGAATAATATAGGACGGCAGTAGGGGGACCAGGGATATTCCTTGATGATTGATAGTTTCGTGGCTACCTTTTCTATATTTTCTGTCGGTCGAAAAGAAAAAAAAAGAAAGAAAGGGAGCAATATGTATCTATGCAGGTGGGTACACAACAGACCACATAGTGACCCACTCTTGCAGAAAGAGGTGAGACTGACAAAAGTACGGAATATGACTGGTTTGCACAAATTGCCTGCGAAAGCCGTAGACTACTCCCCTCTGCAACATAATTCTGAGGACTGGAATGTGCACAGACCATGTGCGTAGCGCGTAAATCACGATTGACTACGGCCGAAGGCTTGGGTACAATCGGGTTAGGTGTTGGTCAAGACTTTTTCGGCCATGGTACGATTCACAGTCAGACCGCCAAAATGAAGGCCAGCAAAACATTCAAACCATTATCTGATGGAGCTGGTGTAGCTCACGTGTAATGGGATTGATTGTCTTAAGGTCTAAATCTATCATACAGAGATTCCTTGGTGTTGTGGTCAGGTCACGTGGTTGCTGCCTTAGGCTCCCATAGGCTCTGACATTATCAAAGCGGGGTCTTGAGTGTACCAATATAGGATATAGCATAAGAGCTGCACTACGTAAGCCAAGTAAACACACCCAAGTCCGTTTGTGGCTGGCTGACACCCTTGTTGATGTCTTAGTTCTCTAGATGCACATTCTTCATAAATTAAGCAGGGTGATCGACTGGGCCCACCTGAAGTAAACCAATCCCAGACCCACTATAGTTAATAATTGCAGCGGGGATGTAACCCTCCTGTCGGTTTGTTGCCACTGCCCGTTCAGCTGAATGGTGGGAATTTACGTGGCTGAGTTCGATCACTAGGGCAGCAGGGGGTGGCAGCAGGGGGTGGCATAAGAACCAGGTGATGGCCCAAACCAGGCCTGGGTCCTCGCTGATGCCATAGTAGACTGTGGTCATCATGTCCATCATAGTCAACCTCTTTCTGGGGCTCGCTGGCCTCTATCTTCTGCAATGGGCGCTTGGGGATCGAAAGAAACAGGCACCTCTCCCACCGGGGCCGGCCTCAAAACCTATCATCGGGAATCTGTTGGACCTACCGCCGCCAGGCACCCTAGACTGGTTGCATTGGCTCAAGCATAAGGAACTTTATGGTAACTTGACGATCATCCCAGTCGTAAACGCGATATGTCAGAGTATTAGCTTATTACTTGCCCTTGTCGAAAAGGCCCGATTAGCTCTGTCACGATCTTCGGACAGACACTTATCATCATCAACGAATCTCAGGTCGCGGTCGATCTCATGGAAAAACGGTCGGGATTGCATTCCTCTAGACCTCATCTGCCTATTGCAGAAATGTACGACGGCGACGAAGACACTCTCCGACCAGGAAAAGAAACGGAGCTGACTGATATGGTAGAACCGATTGGCAGGATACACTGGGGTTGCTCCCATACTCGAACCGGTTTCGAGCGTATCGGAAAGCTTTGCATCAGGAGATGGGCACCGTTACTGCAATTTCAAAATATCACAGGGTTGTTGATATGGAAACCCATCGACTGCTATTCCGGGTACTTCAAAACCCAGACGACCTGATTCAGCATATCAGGAAGTAAACTTTTCCCCATATATAAAAAGCAAGCCCATGGACTAAACCATCTCTCTAGGGAAGCAGGTTCGATCATCCTGAGGATTGGATACGGTTATATCATCGAACCAGATGCGCGTGACCCTCTGATTGACCTGGTGGACAAGGCGATGGAAGACTTTTCGCAGCTGGTCCTTCCCGGGGCTTGGTTGGTGAATTTTATCCCAATGTGTATGAGGGCAACTCTCGATGTGAGAAAGTGTGCTGATGACAGGAAGTGAAATACCTCCCGAGCTGGTTCCCTGGTGGAGGCTTTCATGAAACCGCAAAAGCGTACAAGAATAGGGTAACAGCGATGAAGGATTTGCCCTACGCGTTTGTTCAACAACAAATGAAGCAGCACCGCAATATACCCAGCTACGTGTCAAGGCTTCATGAACAAGGCCACGTGGAACTGGGCTCGGAAGAGGAAATAGTGGCCAAGTGGTCTGCTCAATCACTTTATGGGGGAGGCGCGGAGACAGTACGATTCACATTGAAACGGGGGTTCCATGCAGGAGCTAACCATTCGTATAGTCCGTCTCTTCGCTAGCGTGCTTCTTTCTCGCCATGACGCTCTATCCAGATGTCCAGAAGAAGGCCCAGGCGGAAATTGACCATGTGGTGGGCACTGGCCGTCTACCCGGCTTCTCTGACCGTGACAACCTCCCTTATATCAATGCTGTCGTGAAGGAGGTTCTCCGATGGCACCCGGTGACCCCGTTGGGGGTCTCACACGCATCCAGTGAGGATGATATGTTCCAGGGCTATCTGATACCCAAGGGCGCAATCTTGGTTCCAAATATCTGGTGAGTGAGCGAGCCTTCATATTACCCTAACACTCTCCACTCACATACCATATGTTGATAGGGCATTTGCTCATGATCCTAATCGATATCATGATCCCATCGAGTTCAAGCCGGAGCGCTTCCTAGGGGAAGATGGTCGAACGCCCGAATATGATCCACACTTGCTCTCATTTGGTTTTGGGCGCCGGATTTGCCCAGGACACCACCTGGCTTCAGCGAATCTCTACCTGGCTATTGCACGAGTGTTGGCGGCGTTCACCATGAGCAACGCGATCAGAGATGGGAAAGAGGTCCCGGTCCAGGCAGAATTCTTGACGGGGGTCATCAGTCACCCGGCCCCATTCGAGCTCAGCATTCAGGTCCGCAGCCCCGAACACGAGGCTCTCATTCGAGCGGTTGAGAAGATCTTTCCGTGGGAGAAGAGCCACGCCGAGGAACTTGCACATTCAACCGCCTGAATTGTGTTAAGAGAGGATTAGAACGCGTCCCATGCGGAGGAGTACGTCTGGTTAGGATTATATGTATACTTTCTCATAGCTGTAGACAAGCCAAGACAGAGTATCCAAGCACCCTTCGCGATTCCTCGCGTGCTCGGTGTGATTCTGACCACTCTATACATCGCATACTCCATCTAAAGTGTACACTAGTTACTCCACCCTTGGTGCAATCTTGGAAGAGAAATGACAGGCTTTCATGATGTCATTCTACAGCCTTTCATCTTCTAATAAAGATCCTCTAAAGGATGCTGCGGGAAGCCGTCTTGGCTGCGACATGGCTGGAGGACGGGGAAAATTGCAACATCCGTACACTCTGGGCTGAGAGACTTGGCAAAATGGAGAAAGAGGGAATAAATCCCGCTGGACAGAATTCCTCTAGGTGGGATTTAAGGTTACAGAAACGCTCATCACTGTGGAGAAACACGACTATCTGCGGGATTCATGCCGCCAGTTAGGTCTGGGCAGCACCGGGAGGGTAACTTATTCCGCCTGTAGGGGAGAGTCCTGTCGGCTCTTGATCGTCGACTTCTACTCCAGGCTAGTAGTGTTTCCTGGGGTACATTGAGGCGACATGATTGGTCTTGGACTATCTACCCCACGGGGTGAGATAGAGCAGTGGAGAAGAAGGGACCGAGATTCGTCTGGAGCTAAAGGCATATCAACCCATGGATTAAAAGGCATCATGCATCCCCGGTCGCCATTATGCAGCTTTGACATCGAAGCACCATCTCTAAATACTTCTCTCTTTCTCCCTCATATACCCACTTTGTTTGGCCGACTTTTCCCTTTCCTGTCCATCCACAGCCTGCCCGCTTTGCACAATGTCGCCAAACCAGTTGGATGATTCGTACGAGAAAGAAAAAGCGGAACAAGTGGAGCACGTCGACACGATAGACGCCGAAAAGGGGCATCTCCAGGATGTCTCGGAACTGAGTGGTATTGAAGACACGGCAGCTTCCAAGGCCGCGTGGCTGATCTCAGTCACTGTCTCCATTGGAGGCCTTTTATTTGGTAAGTCTTCTACATCTCGGTTGGGGAGTAAACCAACATCCTGTATAGGCTACGACACCGGCTATATTTCTTCGGTGCTAGTGACAATTGGAACGTCCCTGGGGCATACTTTGAGCTCCAGCGAGCAAGAGCTCGTCACCTCATTGACGAGCGGCGGTGCCTTGGTTGGTGCAGTAGGGGCAGGTCTTACTGCAGATCGTTTTGGCCGTCGCTGGCCCATCTGGGGGGCATGTATCCTGTTTGTGCTGGGAACTGTTCTTCAGACATGTTCCTACTCGGTGGCCCAGTTCGCGGTTGGACGGTTTGTTGTCGGTCTCGGCGTCGGAAGCGCTGCCATGGTTGTCCCTCTGTACAGTATGTTCATGGACTCAATTTGATGGTGTTATTGGGACATGCTAACCCATCTACAGTCGGTGAAATAGCACCGGCTCAATATCGAGGCCGTATGGTAGCCTTCAACAACATGAGCGTTACCTTTGGTCAGTTGCTGGCCAGCGCGATCGGTGCCGGGTTTGCCCAGGTCGAAGGGGAAGCATGGCGAGCGACCGTCGGTATTGGTGCTGTACCACCCCTTGCCCTGGGCGTCCTTCTCTTTCTTTGCCCCGAGTCGCCTCGACAACTAGTCTCACACGGTGATAATGCGGGCGCCGACGCTGTGCTCCGACGCATCTATCCGCAATCCACCGCAGAACAACGCCAGGCCAAGATTCAATCAATCGAACTGTCACTTCAGGAAGCCACCACTGGATTATCCGATGAAGCGCTTTGGGTAACAGTTAAACGTGTCTTCACCACCCCTGCAACTGGCCGTGCCGTGCTGACTGCGTGTGTGGTTATGGCGATCAGTCAGCTGGGAGGCTTCAACACCTTGATGTATTACGCCTCCACACTGTTCTCCATTGTTGGATTCAACAACCCCACAGCTGTGGGCATCACTGTGTCAGGAACTAATTTCGTCTTCTCGATAGTCAACCTCTTGTTGGTGGACAGATTCGGAAGACGCATTATATTAACGACGACCGTTCTCGGCATGTCTATCTGCATGCTGATCACGGCCGTAGCGTTCCACTACATTCCAGTCAACTTGAAGACCTTAAAAGTGGAAAGTGACGCAGTTGGCTGGCCCGGGACAGTGGTCCTTGTCACCATTATCTGCTATGTGGCCTGTTATTCTTCCGGTGTCGCGACTATTGCGTGGATTGGAACCGAGCTGATTCCACTCGAGGTGCGAGCTATTGGAACGATGATGGTATGTTCCTCTCTTTCCTTTTTGAGCATGATTCACCATCTGTATATTCCGTACGACTAACACAGCACTTAGAATACGGTTACTTGCTGGAGCACCAACATTATCATAGCCTCGACCTTCCTCTCCATGATGAAGGGCATGACACCGAGCGGTGCATTTGGCTTCTACACGGGTATCTGTTTCTTTGGTTGGGTATTCGTTCTGCTATTCTTCCCGGAATGCAAGGGCATGCCTCTGGAGGCCATCCGAGAAGTCTTCAGCAATGGCTTCGGGGTGCGCTACTCGAAGCATGGCAGAAAGGCCATCACAACGAGGCAAAGTCCACTACAATCACCTCATTTAGCCATTGAAATGTCAGTAGCAGACATAGAATCTTTTTCATCCACAGGAAGGCAGCTAGAAGTCTTCAAAGAAATAAGTGAAGATATATACTGTCTAGTCTGTCAACTTAAGCCTTTATGAAGCCGGACGACCTCAACTGATGCTTGTTGTACGAAAGAAAAAAAGGATATAGTAGCAGAAAAAGAAACAAATTTCTAGGAATTTCAACCATCCATAGCTGTCAACCTGCGCATATTTACCTTATGTACTTCTCGATTCCACTTTCACCCCCCAATGCTGCGTTCGTGTTATCATCGCATGCTGGCTGTCGTCGCTCCCTACACTTCCTCAATCCATTTCACCAAACGTACGTTGCCTTTGTAATTTCCCATTTCCCTCTGCAGGAGCTATCGAATTAGGCTCGCCCGCCGAGATCCTTGTAATGGTGTGCGGTTGGTATTTTCGATCATGTCGACTACACCCCGACCACTGTTCGACACTGGCCCTTTCCCCTCGCGGATCTAATGGCTTGAGCGCATAAGTCCCGTTGGAATTGTTGCTATTGTCAGGGTCAGTGGTCATATTTGTGGTTGCGCCCAGATTCATATCGAAGGCCTGCAGGAACTTGCGCAGACAGGGAAATGTAGCGGCCATTAGCGAAAAGTGCATCGTGACTTCGGACACTATCACGGCTTTGGTAATGGCGAAAGTCCTATCGCCACGGAGGTCTTTGTCGGTCATGCGTCTCAACAGTATCAACCGGAAGATGGTGGGAATGACGACCCTAGGTGAAGGCAGCACGATACAGTGAGTCGAGGGCTGCTCGCATGCGGAAAAGAGATCTAGCCACATACAAGAGCTGCAGAGAGAACGCCATCAGGACAGTAATCTTGGCCGACATGCGCGCCTGAAGACCCCAGATTATCATGATAATCAGACCGGGAATCAGGAGTTGAATTAAAATATTACCAACCTCAATCACTGTCCATCAAATAACCTTGATAACCGTGAACAGAGTTAGCATTCCACCAGGTCATCAAATCTGAATAAAGGGTAGACTATACCATGGTGTGACAATGGTCTGTTCTAAACTCCTAAGGCCTTAAGAGCTGACATTGGAACGCTGCCACAAAGACCGAGATAACTCCCTAAAGTACGGCTAAACCGGTAAGTATATAACTTGCCTGTACCTCAGCGTGCTTCACAGTGAGCCGTGATATGAGTAATGCTAAGGAGACTTTGGAGGAACAGACAACAATGGGATATAAAACCCAGGCTATATAGATCCCCTAGGCGGCGGCCACGTTGTCAACCCTTCAGTAAAAACGGAGCTGTCACGAATAGATGGATACTTACTTTTAACCCGAGGTCGGCGCGAGTAGGCGCGAGTAACTCCTCTCGCTTACCAATGCCATGGAAAACAGCATAAAGCATGATTGATGTCTGCGGTACTCCAACAATCTTTGTGTATGTCAATAAATGGCTAGTTAGTCTTTGGCAATTAAGATTATAGTTGAGAAGAATTCATCTACCGTTCCGAACAGAGCGACTGCGTCGTCGAAGCCGAGTGGAGAAGTGAGACACAGTTGTAGATACATTCGAATCGCAATGATGAAGATAGACTAGATCACTCCGACTAAGGCGGCAATAAAGATGAAGGTGACATGGTTATGCGGTGTAACCTCTAGGGAAGAGCCATCCCAACCGAATCACAAGTTATTGCCACGGTAGCGTATAATCCAATGGTTTCAGAAACTAAAGGCAACGAACGCATATACACTCCTAGTTTCTAACGAGGGCACGTAGGGCAAGGGATCCTAAATACTGTGTACAAATGCTGGGCCGGATCAGAAGGTCAAAGCGGTACCGACGAACGATTTATTCGAGATCACCGAGTGTTACCAGACATTGACCGATGTCTTCTGTTAAATGGGACAGTATAGTGTGATTGATCGAGCCATAGCCAGAGCAGCTTCGTCTGGGGTGTATCTTTACAGTGGGATAGTGGAGAAACTGCGCCTCCCCTAGAAGGGATCCCCGTGCCGTGCCGTCTTATCCTGGCTCAGCATATCGACCATATCGCTAGGTGTGCTATAACGGAAATTCATCTTTCAACTCTGTCTCTCCTTACATACACCCAGGGGCATTGAAGCCTCCCAGATGTGCCCGATAGGAATAGCTTCTCCATGATTGGAATGACCGAAAAGGAAGGGCTTCCAGAGAATTGGCCACCATGCCTCTCATATTCTTCGTCCAGAGGTTATGTAGTACAGCCAGTATCCCGGAATGGCCAGGCTTTCTTTCCTAGGATCCCTGAATGTTAATTGTCACATTGTGCAGGCGCTACGCCGTTTCCCTTGGCCACCAGACGCCATCCATTAGATCACTTGCAATATACTCTACTTAATCTCCGCCCGAATTTACCAAAACCAATTTCCCATTGTAGTCCTGTACGGTCCCATGCTACGGTATGGCGAAGTGACACTGTCCACCCGGTCTACGTATGCAGTGATTGCGCTCGATTCTCAGGTCTCCGTTTAGGGGTTCGACTGCACAGTTCGACTGACAGTTCGACCTGTAACCTACACCTCCCCTTTCGATCTCGACCAACACATGAGATCCCTACAACTTTACTTCCAAGCCTTCATGCGACAAACAGAAATTAATATCTTGTCAAACTGCATTATCCGTTGACAAGACGGCAAGCGATCATCATGAACTGAAGGAAATCGAAGCGGATCGTCCCCCCGGGCAGGTCCTAACCGAGAGAGGCAAGGGGGATGTCTCGATATAGGCATACCGAATGAGGCTAAAAAGGGATTTACATGAACGATCAGAGGGATACGCAACGCATGGACAAAAAGCAGGAACTCCGGGTTAGTATACACCGCGCCGATATCAACTGCTTTATGTGACTAACGATTGTAGAGGAACTTCCGGCTTGTCAGCACCATTGGCTTCACATCATTTTTTATGGGAACCTGGGAAGTATTGTTGACGTATGTGAGTGAGAAGCAGGTGCTTGCGAGATACTTGGCTGACTTGCAGAGAGATCAAACAACCAAGGCTTGAGGGCAGGCGGACGACCGGGTCTGTTTTGGTCGCTTGTCTGGTCGTACTGCGGCCAAACGTTCATTGTTCTTTCTATGGCAGAGATGTCCTCTATGTGAGTTTAACGAACCCATCGCTGGCGCTCGTGAAATCTAAGTATTGTTTTAGGGCAACTACCGCGGGTGGCCAGTACCATGTGAGTAGTCTAGGCGTTGCCATCTCGCAAGCTAAGTTTTCCCATCAGTGGGTGTCGGAGTTTGCGCCTAGGAAATATCAAGGCTTTCTTAGCTATGTCGCGGGTGTGGAACCCATTCTATGTCAGCCCCGGTGGGATCATCATCCATACTGATGCAGGATAGGCTGGTTTTCGACCCTAACTTGGCAAAACTTTATAGCTCGCGCCTGCTACCTAATTGGAATAATAGTGCAAGGGTTGATATATCTGGGAGATAGCGCCTACATACCTGCTCGCTGGCAAGCAACTCTCCCCATCATCGCGGCCCCCGTCGGTGTTTCCATTTTCAACATCTTTGCTGCGAAGCATTTACCACTGGCAGAAGGTATATTTGTTACCTGTCATTTATTCGCCTTTATTTCTATTATCGTCACACTTCTTGTCGTTGCTCCCAAGGTATCAGCCGCAAAGGTTTTCACAGGATTCACGGATTACGGCGCCGGATGGCCAAACATATAAAATGGACAGTCATGGTGGGCCAGGTGACGGGGTCATTTACTGTTTTAGAAGAGAGTCTGGATAATTTTCTCTCATACCAATACCTACTGACGGTGTCCCTGAATAGCGTCTGATTCGGTAGCACACATGGGTAAGCCTCTTAAAGAACTCACTGTGTGACATTAAAACCTAACTTTTGGAAAAGCTGAAGAGATTGAGAATGCTAGCATCATTGTACCACAGTTGATGGTATGGGCGTTTGTATTCAATATACCACCTACATTTGCTGTGCTCCTCGCATATCTCTTTACTATGCCGGATGTCCAAGAAGCCCTTGACTCCTCCACTAGTTATCCATTCATCCATGTCTTCCTCAAGGGGGTGGAGAACGCCACTAGTGCGATGGTGATGGTTGCCATAATTCTTCTCTTGCTCATCATGGTTACTATTAGCGGCCTGGCCTCAGAATCACGTCAGACATTTGTATTTGCGCACGACCAAGGCTTGCCTTTCTCTAGCTTTTTAGGGACTGTAAGTGTTTTAAGTATATCCCTGATCAGTAACAGGTCGAATTGGAAGAGTCGCTGACCACATAACCTGTATAGGTTCACCCAACGCTCCACATTCCTGCCAATTCAATCATATTTACCTTCATGTTCTCGCTTGCAATGTCGCTGACCAATATAGGCTCGACGGTGGCATTCAATGCACTGGTGTCACTATCTACTGTTGCCCTCATGGCAACGTATCTTATTTCCTTTACTTGTCTTATTCTGCGGCGCGTTTATTGTAACCCACCACTGCCACCATGCCGGTGGTCGCTTGGCCGCTTTGGCCTACCAGTGAATAAATACCCTGGCCGCGGTGTATGCTGTGTGGGCCTTGTTCTGGAGTTTCTGGCCCATTCTCCATGATGCGAGTGCCGTGAATTTCAATTGGGCTCCAGTCCTGTTTGTTGGTGTCATGGGAGCCTCGACCGTGGTATACTGGTTACACGCCAGGAAGGTGTATGAGGGAACCGTTGCCATCGTTGAGGGTGGGAAGTACTAGTAATACTATAGTTTAAGTGCAGGTGAGGCGCCAGTACCTTCATTGCGGGTCTCAGATAAGTACTCATTCTGCCCTTGCTACGCACCATGCGACATCCTTGATTCGGCGGTCTTGAAACAATTACTCGTACCTCGAGCCTTTCTCTATCAATAGCCTTTTAGGAATCTTTTCCATAGAATCGTTATCATTTGTTGTTCAGTATATCAACTTTCGCTTTCGGATTTCTCTCGTCTCTATCCTTCGTGTAGAAAAGTTCGTTCCAAGCTAGACTGACATGCTATATATATAAAGATATCAATACTTCTCTCCTCGTACATTAATATTTCAATTCAACATTAATGACCAGTGAACATTTGATTTTCTTTGTCCATAACAAATATCAAGGAACGGTATAAAACAGGGACATGGCGAATGCTAGGATGAAAATGAAAGCAGTATCTGTTGATCTCATATCATCCGGCCTCAGAACTCAGACCTGCGAAGCTCAAAGATCTAGTGGAATCTTGAGGGCTTTCCAAGAGTATCACATAGATGGGACCCAAGGCTCGCTATCGCCAAATTTATCGACCGTCAGTCCTGCCCTGCCGGGATCTCTAAACCCGGCTTCCAATTGCCGAGTGTAGGAGATTTTACGCAGTCGTTGAGATTCTCGTGGTGTAAGTTGCAGCTAAAGAGATTAGCGATTGGAATTATCCTTCACGCTTCAAATCGCGGTCGATATACTCACATATATTTCCACACCCAGAGCATGAATAAACATCGCTAGCCAAAGCGCCATTCCAAAGTTGATATTTAGCGCAGTCCCAAGCTCATCCGGAGAGCCGTTCAAGTCACCTAAGACCAGAACGTTTTGGGCCGGGTGAGACCCGTTGTAAAAGCTGGCGCAATCGGGATATCGAGCGAGTGCGACTTCCGTTCCAAAGAGGTAGTCAATCTTGTCACACGGTTGTGCCATGTAATACTTTGGTGCGATGGAGATGATAGCCGAAGATGCGATAAGGATTACACGGGTGGTGATGATGCATCCCATCTGTTGATCAATGAGCACTAACAAAAACGAAGACGTTATATCCTACAGTGGGGGCAGCCTTACATAGAAGAATGTCCGCAGCATCCAAGCTCGATGTTGTTCCAGCTGTAGTCGCTTGACGTTGTAATACGCCATGCCAATCGCTGCCGTTGAGAGAATTACCAGGAGACCCACGGCAGCCTGCGTAGGCATGAGTCCACCGAACGAGTGTCTTGCGATGATCAAGGCCCCAGCATTAGAGATTAGGACAAGGAGGATTACGATGTAGCCATTGACCCGGTGGAATAGGATAGCCTTGTACCTAATGGCTGGTATAAACTGGAAGAAGGCAAGGAAGGCGGCCGCTGCGTTGACGTGAGTCCTTGTTTAGATATAACGTGGTCCTGGTGAGTAGACATACGAAGAATGCAGCCGAGATGCAGGTACAGCCCAACGTATCCCAATCCCTTGTAGTAAAAACATTCCCCCGGGGCTGCATTTTTGCAGAACGTTGAGAAGTCTAAGTATTGCAGGCGAGCAAGGGTGAATCCCATCCATGCCCCCGCAAAGATAAAGACTGAATCACAGTGAGCCTCTTGTAACTGCTTTGGTTCAGGCGATAGCCAGCTTTGACATACATAAAGTGAAGTTATAGCCTTTTTTGAACCCCAACGTGTTGTATACCTTTCGAACCCTTTCAGCTATGGCTGTGGAAGTAGGAAATGCGACAGTAGGCATGATTAAGTCACGTAAGTGCGTAGTACAATTTCAGGTTAACTGCTATTATGGGGCCAATGTGAGGCAAAATGTATGTACGAATCTCCGTTCCTGCTTCTAGAGGTGCGATCCATCGTCCCTTTATACCACCTGGGACCCATCATCTCAAGGCACCAAGTTTAGAATACCTTCTGAGCCTTATTCGTTGTGCCTTGCTCGAGGTGAGTTAAGCTCAGCCGCAGGATACCTGAGCAGCAGGCAACATAATATCATCCTGGCTACTAAATCAAGAAACCTTTTGCGCTTACAAGCAAACATTCTGTGTGGCTCATATACCACGGGAGCTGGCGTAAGTTTAGGTGAACATCAAGGTAAGCAAGTGCCTGTGGTACATCTTTTCCGGTAGAGCACCTACCACTCTTACTAATATGCCCAACTAGACTCATATAGGAAATATAATGCGCTGTCTACGGATCCTGTTTGAACCGTATCATTGGTGCCGGTGGGTTGACCTCGTATTTCACCCCAGAGTCCCACAGCGTGATCCAGGCAGATAAAATGATCTTCCTCCCTATGGCGTTGAGGTCCTGAAATATTTTATCAGCACCCAAAGCGCATTTTGTTACTAGAAAAGTAATGGCACGAATTGTTGGAGGGTCCAAAGGGTGCCACGCGTGTCGGAAGCGCAAGAAACGTGTACGTTGCTATTTAATCCCGAGTCTATTTCAGTGTTACTGAGCAGCGAATATAGTGTGATGAGCGACGACCGTCCTGCGGACAATGTTTGTCGCGAAACGCTTCCTGTCCAGGTTACGTGCGTGAGGCCAAATTCATCCTTGTATCCTATCATGACAGCAGGAGAGCGGCTTCAAGGTGTAGTTCCGACACTGAAGCTCAATCCGACCGTCAAGAAATTGACAAGCGTCCGAGCGATCGAGTCGCAAACCGTACGTGTAGCAGTGGTCTATCTTCTGAGGCTCCGAGCCTTCAACGTTCGGCGGTTGCGTATTACTGTAGCTCCTATTTCCACAACGTGATCCAGGCAGGGCTGGATGTTTTTGGAAAGTCAAGCTACATAGATTGGATGTGGCTTACCCCGGAGCTTGATGTCGAGGAGCCAAGTTTAAGAGCGGCCTTGCTCGCACTGGGAACGGCCAGGATGGGTCGTGTCTCCAATGACCCTCGATTGACCCGGCTGAGTGCCGAATCATATTCGCAGTCCTTAAGGCATCTTCGCAAAACCATCCTGAACAGAGCCTTGGGTCTCCGAGACGAGGCTCTAGCAAGCATGATGTTCTTGGCTATCTACGAGGTAGCCCCCCCCCCCCCCCCCTCCCCCCCTAACTGGATGAAATTCGTGCTTAGATTAGGCATAGATTCTAGAAGGATCATCGAACAGAGGGCTGGGCTGGGCGAGTCATACGCACGGCGCTATGTCGCTGGTACACTCTCAAGGGCTCGAGATGGAATGGTCTGAGGCGAGACATAGACTGTTTAATGGGTTGCGCCTCTCCGCAGTAAGCTCTTTCCTACCACTATCGGGCCCCAACGGCTAACCCAATGATTCTAGATAATTCACAGTATTGGAACACGAAAGCCCACATACCTTGGGACACCAGAATGGACATCTATCCCATGGAGAAAGGGTAAGAAACAACCGAAGCAATACTTATTCGACTTGATGGCCGAGATCCCGGCTCTACTGGAAGCAATGGACTCCGTCAACGTCACATCGGATATTTCCCAAAGTTTAGCAAGGTTACACGAAGTTTGCGAGAGGTATATGTATCTAGCCCAACGGCTATACGCCTGGTATGAGACATATATGACCGATCACCCCAGCAAGGGGCATTGGGAGCAGCCATCGAGGCTTCCCTCAGTATCCCCAAATGAGAGGAGTCCTCCGACATGTATTGGTTTCCCCGACCATGACACAGGCCATATCCACTTGCTGTATTGGACATCTCACGTTCTCCTCTTTAGCAACATTGGCATGGTATACGAGAGTTGTGTGACGAATGCTCCCCATGGCGCCCACATTTCGCTACCCCCATTCCCCTGTGACATTCAGGAGATGCATGGCATGGCATTGAACATTGCCAGATCCGCGGAATACTTTCTCGATCCCAAGGCGATTTCGTTGGGGGCCTGTATTATCTCGTTCCCTGCATCGATTGCCTTTGGGTACTTTGAATATTACAACCTTCCGGAATGCGACTGGTTCCGCCAGATCTTTCGCTATATCAAGACGTTTGGTATCGATGTGGAGGGTTTCCTTGATGCAGTGGCGTCTGAAACTAGTTTGCAACTCGTACTATGTTAATTTCGAGGTCATGGGTATGGTTACAAAGGTGGATTCTCCTCTCGCCGTGAAGGCCAGATGGGCCGAGCCTGGCGACCAAGCCAGTCGACAAAATGGGATGTCTTGATTCGAACCATGCGAAACTGCATGATCGACGGCTTCTCGGATTGTCCTGTCTATGAACAACTTCAGTAAGCGAATTGCCCACCGTTTCGGTGGAGGAGGCTTGCACAGGGCTAACATTGCCGCACAGATACTCCGGCGGCAGTCGCGCAGTCGGATTGTTCCATTACCTTCTCTCCAGAGACGATGGATTGATGCGACAAGTGATGATCAATTTTGCTGCTTCAGCCACCTTCGAGGGTCTCACACAGTCCCGTTTCCAGTCGCATGTCCCGCAGCTCATTACCGGCTTCTCGCTTTATTGGGCCCTCCAGGTGTGCGATCACGATCTCTACTTTGGCGGCACCCAATTTGCGCGCTCATTCCTCCCCCGGATTGACGGGGTACTGGACTTCTTCGATTCGCACATTGACAGGTTGGGTCTGGTCAGCGGTCTCCCCGACGATGTGTGGCAATATGTTGACTGTGTGACCACCTGGGGTGCGACGGAGGAGTACCCGGACAAAGGGATGCCCAGCTCCGGTCGCATATCTAACCGGCATACATATTGCAGCATGCTCTACGCGTATGTCCTGCAACAGGTTGCGCGGCTGGTGCATAACATTGGGCGACCGGGTTATGCGACCGAGTATGAAACACGAGCGCTAGCTTTGCAACAGGCCATTCGAGCGCACTGTTACGGTGGACGCTTCTTCACCGATTCGACCGCCGATATCGCAGACGACTTATCCTACTCGCAGCACTGCCAGGCCTTCGCAATTATATCCTGGACAGCGCGACCGGACGATCGGGCTCGTCTGCTCACTGAATCGTTCACGGACCCACACTTCTCGAAATGCTCGTGCATGATGCAGTTCTGCGCCCTCCGGGCATTGCGGCTTGCGGGCGACGAGGTGTATGAGAGCTTCTGGCCTCGTCTGTTGGACTCGTGGCGCAAGATGTTAGCCAACAATCTGACCACCTGGGAAGAGGTTGATGTTTGACAGCGGTCCGACTGCCATGCGTGGTCCAGTGTGCCGTGCCCATCTATGAATATTGCACCGAATTGGCCGGCATTCGACCTATCGCGCCGGGATCGACCAAGGTCCTCTTCAAGCCGCGGCTGGGACTCAGTCAGGAGGTGCAGGCCACCATTGCAGCGGGCAAGGACAACATTGCGATCATATCGTGGGCCACGGAACACTAGCGGTGCAAAGAATGTCGAGCTCCGGCTGGCAAAGCCCATAGAAGTCGTCAGCCAGTTGCCAGGAGGTACCGAGCGAGACTATAATCTTGTCGATTATGTACGGCTAGATTCCATGGCTTTACGACATGTCGTCTTGGGGACAAAAGGAACGGGAAAGTAAGCAGAGACTCAGGGAGAGAAAAGGTGTATGCTCGCAAATACCTACCGCAACAATATCAAACCACCCAGAATTGAATTGTTAGTCCTATTCCTTCGTCTACGCGGGACTGAAGACTGTGCGAGGAGAGAGGTCGAGAAAATCCTATATAAATTACACCTGCGCAGACTCACGATGATTCTAAACGCAGAAGGCTCCAAGTGTAGGCCTAGGTTACACGGTTTCTAGAAATGCAAACCAGTTGAATAGCGTGATAGCAACTTTTCTGCATTAGAATCTCTGTTCCAGTGTCAGCTCCTCCTCAGATACAGCACTTCGGGCCGATTTGGAATGCTTCCAATGCGTGTTCATCAAATACTTCGCTGGGTGAACGACATTAAATATTGCAACCGCTGGTACAATGATCGCAGCCTCAAACACATAGTAGTTCCACTCGTGCAGATTGAGGTAGCCGTGGTCGCCTTGACCAAACTCGACCAAGCGATACACGGAACGGGCCTAGATGGTTCACGTCAGTTGAGTGCTCTGGCTCTGGTCGAAAGATACATACATACGAAGATAAGTATGCAGGAAACGTTGATGCAGAGTAGTAACTGTCTCCAGCTAGTCTCCGAGCGTACTATCGCAGAGTTTCTGCTGATAAAGTGGAATCTTATGCTGATAATAATGAAGAAGCCAAAGCTGACGATTTGAACGATTAGGCCGGCTTTGGCGATGTTATAACCGAGTCGAATGGTCGAAGGTGTTTTGGAGATGGCACAGACGCCCCCGATCAATTGAATCACCAGGGCGAGAATGTCACAGGTGACAAAGATAGGGGTCATAAACCGAGGCGTCACCCACAGGGTGCGCATATTGATATACTCTGGCCGGCAAGCGTGCATAATGATTCGACTCTAGCACGCCGGCGTTAACTCAGGACATGCGAAGACGAAACAAGAAACAAGACATAGGCACTTTACCATCGACATGTAACATGCTGCTGCCATCACCGTCGGAGCAAGGAAAACTAGCAGATATTGGGCGTCAAATGACCCTAGAATCGCTTAGCATTACCAGAGGCACATATAAGCTTCCCTGAACATATCACCTTCATCGTACTCATGGTAGGCCGAATAGGAGCGTGAAATGTACCCAGTTGCCTCCACTGTTCACTAGTTAGTTTCAATCGCCATGACGTTTTATATTCAGAATGAAGGCGATATAGGGTTAGGCACGCACTAAGGGATGCAACCACCATTGGCAGCCAGTACCAGCATCTCCACCAAAAGTACTCGATTATAGTCACCATAGCACTAATACCGTATAAAACGGCAAAGACAATGGCCGCGGCCTTGCTTGGGTCGTACGGGTATTGTTTCATGGGCGACATTCTGCGAAAGATGTATATCAAAACTTGGGTCAAGTTAGAACTAAAAGTCAGAGCTGCACGATATAGGAAGAGTCACGTCTAACAGTCATAGTCGAGAGTCTCTACAGTATTTATAATTTGTCTCTAGCTACATCTAACTTGGGTTTTGTCCAGCTCAAGCGTGTGAGATGGATGCCTACCAGCTTCATCAGCCATAACTCCGTACAGATGGATAATATTTCTTTTTTTATGATCCACCAGTGCCCCAAAAGGCTTAGCTGGTCTAGCAACTACGAGCGGGCCAATCGGAGGCTCTCAACGCCCGGGATGCACAGCCCCGAATGTAGGACGTCGGGCCGATATCTGGATATTCTTCTGAAGTTGATTACACGCATGTCCAATTATGGCCCCTTGTAAACACACGCCATGGCGTCTGGATTTTCAGTGAAACGGACGAGACGGCGTCATACTGCTGTGCGCACTGGCTGCTATACGTGCAAGTAAGGAAGCCATGAATAAATAGAGGTGTTTTTGGAGCAGCACGCTTACGCTTTTGTAGGATCCGGCGGATCAAATGCGACGAAGCTCGGCCAACCTGTGCTCGGTGTACCTCTACCGGACGCAAGTGTGACGGATATCCTACGGGATCGACTGCGTCTAAAGTAAAGGGAACATTGCAGACCCACTTATCCCTTCAGCCTTTTACCGACGCGGGCGAAGGTATGTCCTTCGATTACTTTTGCCGGCATACAGTGTCCCAACTCTTCGGATACGTGGACACCTCCTCCTTCTGGCGTCATATCATCCTCCAGATGTGCTATAGTGAGCCGGTTGTTAGATATGCGGCGATGTCCCTATCGGACTTGCATCGCAGCTTTGCCGATTCGCTTAACCCTGGTGGCCGGAGCAACAACATGATGAAGAGGGAACGGTCTGCTCTTGTTCACTATTTGTCGGCTCTTTCCCACATGAAATTTATGGTTCGTTCCCAGATCCGATCTATGGATTCTGTTCTGATGGCTTGTCTCCTGTTATCGTCCATCGAGATATTCCAAGGTCGGCACGAAGCAGCGGACGTACACCTGCGTTGCGCCTTACAAGTATCTGGGATGGTAGGAGACACAGGCCTTAGGCTGCAACGATGGCATGCATCAGACACGACTATGATGTCTAATCATCCCATGCTGGGAACCTTGGTGCGCCTGCGATTCCAATGTGACATGTTTCTAAACGTCTCTTCCGCGATCCCACACCATCTGGCTCACGCCGCGCAGCATTTCTCGCCCACAAAACAGAACCAATTCACAAGTCTGAGCGAGGCGAGGGACATCCTTTTCACCCATATCGATCAATTCACAAGGTTGGTCAACCGGACAGTGCTGACACAAATCGCAACAACGCCCGGGGATATCGGCGATCGGCGCAAATACTCCGCAGCCATGGTAGCGAGTGGGGAGCAGCTTCGACAGCTGCAAGTGGAAGGTCTAGCGGACTTGCTGCGATGGGATGGCGCCTATCAAGCATTTCTTGCCCAACACGCCCATGCATTTTCACCATATGAACAACACGCAGCCACTGTTGTGGAACTTTACCGCGATATTTTAAGGATAATGCTCCGACTGGATCACTCGAAAGGGGAGCTGGCACCCGATCCCTTCGAACAGGACTTTGGGCTCCTTCTATCCCGAATACAGATGCTGATAAGCGATCCCACTGAACCTGCCGTTACCCCAGACGGACAACCAGTATTCACCTTAGAGATGGGCCTTGTCCCTCTTCTCTATTCCATCGCCAGCGACTGCCGGGGCCATGCAATACGCCATGCCGCGCTTGCTATCCTCGCAGCATCGCCCCGTCGGGAAGGGACTTGGGATGGCACGGCAGTGTATGAAGTTGCCCGGCGCTGTGTGGCACTTGAAGAAACAAGCCGCCTAGAAGGCGAGATGGCCGCATGTGGTATTCCACAACGCAACCGGATACTAGGCCTAGAGGCTCAGATCGATCTTCTGACTAAGAAAGCTGCAGTCATTCTACACCAGGCCGAACAAAGTCATCATGAGGTGATCCAATGGTGAATATGCATTCTACAAGAAACTCTGAGAATAACAAAGGCCACAATTCAGCCTACTATCTCCTGATGGTACTCAGTCTGTGGTCTTTGTACTCTAACTATCCGAACTCCCGATTTCCAAGAACCACAATGAACCCTCCTTGAGGAACGGACTGCTACCGAAACTGGTGTCTTCGTATACAACGAGAGCTTCATAGCCCAGAGAGTAAGTTACGCTTTAAATTGGCAATCCCACCGGCATGGGCTTAATGATCGGCGCAAAATATGTAAAAACCAGGAACAGCTTAATGTTTCTTCAGTTTTATCTCCTCTCGCCGATCCTATGTTATATTTTGCAGTATTCTCCTTATGTCACCAAACTGAGGTAAATTTTGGGCATTGAACAACTGTAAGGCGAGCACTTTTTAACACAGAGGCACGGGTGAGAAACGGCGTGGTAAGCCCTGGTACCCAAAGCCTATGACCGAGACGATTCAGATAGAACCCATTTATTGAACCGTTAAGAGAAATTCAACCTAGACCAGAGTTACCACGTCCTTTTCTCCTTGAGATGTATGTCTCTAGTATCCTCCGGCCAGCAAAGGCGTTCGCTGCTGACTGTGCGAATGTTGGAACACAAAGTGCCCAATTCTCTCATACACCCTTTCCACTTGCCGTACGATCACTGCTCTTAATACTAAGCCTTCCCAAACAACTAGATTATTATCTTGAATGAGTTGCAGAATTTCACATGTAGCACCCTGCTCTAATTTGTCCTTTTGATCATCGAACTTGACCTGGGCTAAGTATTGCCGGTCATGCCACGTCCTTCATCCGCTTTAGAGCAAAGCTTTCCCATGATCCCACTTGATATCTGTACAGCAAGGCATGTAACGTGAGACCCATCACGGAGATATCACGGCTCTTTGTGATGTCATAGGTCGATAGATCGACCAAATGTCTGCGTTGCGGAGTTTCAAATTTTAAGAGGCCATCCAAGGACGCCTGACTCCAACTTGGTGTTTGGAAACGCTTTTAATGAACATCCTCACAGGTGGGCTCATTGATCCTTTGTGGTATGTTCTCACGCCCGTTCGTCAGAGCCGGCTACCTGCCAATTCAGACTCTGTGGTAAGGTCTGCCAGAAATGGCCAACAAGATATCGATGGTTCAGGGCGGTTCCGACTCGGGCTGCAATGGTGGACATTGCAACCGATTTGTCTCGCTCAGGATAGGTAAGATCACGATCCGTATATTCCCTGAGTACAACCCCCAATAGTCTCGCATTGGATGAATCATATATCACACAGCATTATAGCCAGTGGACAACTTTTCAGATATTGTGAAGAGATGTAAGCCGGAGAACAACCCCGCACGGTAAATATCCAAGAGGCTGAGCAAATAAGCCCTCATACTGGGCTGTGTAGCATGGAAGGGATTCTTTCATGGTAGTATCTCGAGTTCCACCCATATATATATTGTTGCCTAATAATTAGGATATCACCCTGTCAATAGACTAACACATTGAATAAACAAGCAATGACCCATAATACCCACCAGAGAGACACTGAACTGTCAAGGAATACATACGAGTGACCTAAGCCGAAGACGGTGCCCGAAGCGCCACCTTTTAACTGGAAACGGCTCCCGAAAGAAAAATTAGGGATTCTTCCTGCAACAGTCACTAATCATTGGACTTATTCCGTAAGACGTGCCAATCCATCTTTAAAGGATTATCTCTGCTTTTCTCGAACGCCCTTTCTCTGTCTGCTGTTTCTCTCCTAGAGATTGACGGTAGTCTTGACTCTCCGCTGGTCTATTCTTGTAGATATCATATATATCTACTTACTATTTCTCTATCTCCCCCTGTCTCAGAATGCAAACAGCGCGACTGGAGCTTGTCCGTCTGACCATGGAGCATGTGGCTGGGTACCACGCCATTTGGTCCGATCCAGTGGCCACCCGATGGAGCGCTCACGGTCCGTGCAAAACGGTGGAAGACTCGCGAGCATGGATGTCTGGCTTGTTACTCGACAAAAGTCCAATGGGAGAGAATTATGCGGTCTTGCTCCGGAAGGATATCGAGGCGGACAGCATCGTGAATCGGTTCAAGTGTGACACTAGGGATACTGACCGGCATGATGTCTTGGTCCATGGAGGCTTTATCGGCTGGGTCGGAACTTGGAAAACGGACCCAGTCCCAGAAGTGGGCATGATTTTTCACCGATCGACCTGGGGCCTGGGCTTCGCAACGGAAGCATTGGCAGCATTTACACAACTGTTTTGGACATATAAGCCCCAATTCAATGTTCTGGAGGCATACTGCGATATCGAAAATGAGGCATCCATCAATGTCTTGCGTAAATGCGGCTTTCAGCTGGTCGAGGTGGCCAAAGGCGATTATGTCCTCCCTTGGATGACCCCGTCGACACGAGATACGATGCAATTTCGCTTGCAAAGAGCGGGCAACTAGGAGGAGGGATGCGACCAACTATGTGGAATTTGTTGATAATGCCCTTTCTTTCTCCTGGCTACTACTGCGCTGGAGCTGTGCCCCCTCCTTTCCAAAAAGAGTCTCCGATCTATCTGATGGATCCAGGGGCTACTTGAGGGGGAGGGGGGGAGATGATTTGAAGGTCAAAAGAATGGCCCTTTGTCATTAGCCCCATATGTATTAGATTGTCTAGTCCGTATTGGTCTAAGCCTATATAGATAAATTAGCCTAGACATGATTCTGGCTCGTATGGGACCACGCCGCAATAGCCGGCTGTGGATCCCCGTGGGAGGATCAATAAATTTAGTTTTTCAATAGATCATTGCTGGACCCTTTGACCTTTCGCGCTAAGCTATGATTACGGAGAAAATTTAGGTTCGAGTTTGGAGTTCAGTAATCATATCGACACTAGTCTCACCCAAGCTGCTACGCTCTCTTGCTAACATATCGCCATTGTACAAATTGTGTAAAGAAAAGGACAACCGCTTGGCATATTGTAACAACATTCGAGTATCTATGAAAAGATTCTCATTTCCTCTAGCATCCACCAATTAGGGGTTCAACTTTGCTAAAGGTTCCTTCTGGATGCCAAGCCGACGACCTGTTGCTAATTCTACGCGATGTTACGTTGGCTGCGGTGGTTATGAAGGGCAAGATTATAAGTACTGCAGGTTGAAAAGGCTGAGGACCGTTGGTGGTCGCTTGTCCAGGTTGTGTTGGCTTGATGGTGAGCCCTTCGTCTGAACCCAGTCATTCTTTTGTCGACGCTCATTACGATTCCCATTCTTTCGTTTAATAAATAACCCTTATTTGTCGAACTCAGCATGCACCAAGTATACTCGCTCCTTGCAGGGCTTCTGTTTGTCTCACTCTCGCGAGCATTCAGCCTAGACGCCACCACCAAACACTGGAACTACACGACGAATAACTTGGCGAGTACTACCTCTCAAAGGTGTAAGGATGCATACAGCGCGGATATCGCTTGCGATTCTTACTTGCTTCAGCTGGTGAATGCAAATGAAGAACGCCACTTCTTAGACGACATGGAACCGGAGAACTTCACCCAGACCTGCACTGCCGCCTGTCATTCGTCCTTGACTAAGTATATTGCAAACGTCAGAGTGGCATGCACAGAGCGCGACGACGCCGCAGTGAGTTCCTTGGGTTTTCTGGGCAAGGAAGGAACCGAGAATGTGCCCGTCCAGACCATCGGGCACATTTTGGAGTACCATTTGATGCGGTCCTGTGCGAAAGAGGAGTATGTTGTCACCAAGAGTGTCTATCCTAGTGTACCTCCTCCACTAACGGTCAATCAGGGATGGCAGTAACTGCTACCTTACTCAAAGTGGTGTTCTTCCCTCGGACTTTTCTTGCACCTGGAACTGCGCTCTCGCCTACTACTGGAATAGGCATTTCTATCCCTACAGCTATTGGAGCCTTGGCGATTCCCGTATCGTTGAATTGGACGACGATGGCAATGAAACCAAAATCGGAAACAGTATGTTGCTTACCACTGGGCATAGTGATATCATGGATACGGATGGTTGGAAGACTATCCAAAACTGTGGGTTTGGAAACTCAACCAAACCACCGTTTGACATCGGGCTGTCAGGTAAGGTGGAAGAGAACAGTGTTACATCCGTATCAAAGTTCTCTAACGAGACGGACACCTCTGGGGGTTCGACGACCAGCACCGCTACAAGTACGGGGTCCGGGGCTTCCTCAAGTACACCAAGTCCCACACAAACAGGTGCAGCTGGTCGGTCGTTCTATGTTTCTTTCTGCTATCTTGCCACACTCGCGGCAGTTGGGCTTTGCACGATCCTGTAGCTTCGAGTAGAAGCATGAATCATGGAGTGGATCTCTCTGTTGTCCGATGATCTGGGTCCACTGTAGTAAAAAATCTTGGCCAGAGTTATATTTACCATAGCGGCCAGTGCTAGATGTTCATCGAGGGCTTATATGCCCTCGACTATTCGAAAAAAAACCAAGGCGGGGAGATACCTACTAAATTACTCTTTTGTATTAGCACGGGCTCTTCTCCCTCGTAGAGCTGAGCATAGAAATGCTCGGACAAGCGATACGAACTAAGGACCTTGTGAATTAGATTATTTATCACAGTCTCATATACATGTGGCACCTTCGTGCGCTGGAGGCCCGCGACATAAGAACATCAACATTAAATTATATACAATGTGATGGCATCGTCCGAAAAAAGTCAGGACTTCGTATAGACTGCCATTATTGAGCAACCCTCCCTGACTGGGACTTCCACCACTGGGTTATGGGTTTCAAAAGATCTACTGGCAGAGACCCGTCTCTCGGTAGGTAAAAAGAAAAATAGGAAGCAAAGGAAAGGGAAAGAAATAGCTTAGGAAGGTATCTCATCGTGTAAATCCGCTCTCATGAGCGCTCATTGTCAAGCAGGAGCTGCGTCGCTTCGCTCCAGCCAGAGGCATTCACCATTTCCATCACGGTTTTGCCAGTTTCATCTCGCTTCCCCAGATCCACACCGCCTCCTTTCTCGATGAGAACGCGAAGGAGCCTAAGATCTCGGTTCTCAATGGCTTGCATGACCGCGTTCCAGTCGCGGTAGGTCTTGTTCGGATCTGCGCCCTTCTCGAGAAGCAATTCGATCATGGTAAAGTCCCCATCCATACATCGGCGCACCGCTTTAACGATGGGAAGATGCTCACCAGGTGCGTTAGGGTCTGCTCCGGCCTCATCGAGCAAGAATCGCACAATATCCTGGTGGCCCTCGCGCAGCGCGGTCGTCAGGGGCGAGAACACTCCGCCGTTCTTGTACTCCACGCTGGCCCCGGCAGCTAACAACAACTTGATACTGTCGAGTTGATTTGCAATGACGGCCAGTTCCATGACCCCCTTATGCGCCGACAGGTCGGTCACGGCGGGGAGAAGTTGCTGCAAGATCGTGGGGGACCGGACCGCCATACAAACCGGCCAGTCCTGGCCACGCTGGTTGGGGTCCGCCCCATGCGCCAGAAGGAAAGTCAGCAAATCGGCGCGGTCATCTCGAATCGCGGTCGTGAGAGCGGTATGCCCTTGTGCATTCCGGTCGTTTGGGTTCGCACCTCCATGCTCCAAGAGCCATTGTACGGCCTCCGCGTTGTTCATCTGCACCGCCATCTCCACGATGCCGGGCGGTTGGTGGAGGTCTGCGCCCGCGTCGACGAGGTCGGGCAAGAGATGCGTCCGGAAGTGCGTCACGCACTTCCAGGCGGGATATTCGGATGCCATGACGTTGGGATTGGCCCCGTTGGCTAGCAATAGGGCGAAGATGTCCCCGCGGTTGTCGCGAATGGCGGAGCACAGCGGCGTATAAATTCCATCCTTTTTGGAGTTGGGATCAACGCCCGCGTGAAGGAGGATCCGCACAGAATCGATGTTGTTGATGCTAGTTGCCTGCTCCATAATACCAGGGGCCTTTCGCACGTCTGCACCACGAGCCATCAGGATCCGTAGACATGCCGGGCGATAGATGGCTGACCAGAGTACATGCTCCGGTCCAGGGAGATTGGGATTCGCTCCATGATCCAACAGCGTTGTCACAATGGTCACTTGGTCGGCCTGCACTGCTTCAAATAAAGCCGATTTTCCTTCCCTGTTCTTCAAATTCGGATCTGCACCGGCATCCAGGAGCAGATCGACGAGTCGCTGGGGGGCTCTCTTCCGGATGGCCTCAATAAGGACCGTGCTCCTATTTCTCATCTCGTGGTTGGGGTCTCCCCCATGTGCAAGGATGAGATGGACGAGACCAGTCTTCAGGCTCAGGATAGACAATCCGAGGGGGGATTCCAGCTCTGACCCAGCCATGAAGCTTGGATCGGCGCGGTACTTCAATAACATTGTGGCGCCATCCATGAACGATCCTTCCACAGCCGAGAAGAGAGGTGTCTTTCCGTCTCGGTCTGGCGCATTCGGGTTGGCTCCAAAGGCAAGGAGGAGCCGCATGCCCTCAATATCGCGATGAAGTATAGCTTCATTAAGCGGATGAGTATTCTCTCCCATATCCGGGGATACGCCACTATCCAATAGTTGTTCCATTAACTGATGGTTTCTCGCCCGAACCGCGGATACCAAAGCGCTCTGCAAATGGCCCACGCTTGCAGCACTCGTATTGCTAGGCGTTCGACGCGGCATGTTAGGTAAGTCACGCTTCCGGTAGGTTGATATACCCGGTAGGAAAGAGGTATGATCCGTCTCCCCTTCTTGGGCGAGTGTGGACGCTGACGAGCTCTGGAGCCGTTGACGGTCTTCGGCTTTGGTCGTTGTGATATGACTTCTGATATGAGATAAATCCAAGTCCCGGTCTGTGGATATTGAGAGGGAGTCTAGGGATAAGACAGATGACAGAGTCTCCGGCATTGAGTCGACGGGGGCTCTATGTGAGCTCCCCGCGCCAGTATCTTTGCCAACATCGTCCTGGCTAGATGATGGCTTCGGCGGTACAGGAGGGACTGGGATCGACGGAGGAGGACCCGCAGGCGCGATCTTCACAGCCTGGGACGGCTGCTTCATCTCAGCCATACCCCGTTCGAGAGACTTCGCCTTGTTGATTCCCGTCACTGATCTGCCTTTCGCCATCCGATCGAGGGCTGCTGCAAGTCCTGCGTATCCAACTCCAACAGATTCCTCCGGCTTTGTATCACCGAGAGACCAGTGGAACGCCAGGACACTGATCTGCAACGCCTCCATTGTCTTCTTGAGCGACTCGCGGATTCTGTGCAACTCATTGCTCGGCCGATTCCATCCTTTTTGTAACTTTCCAAATGTCCCACGGTGCTCGTACTGGATCAGCTTGGTCACAATGCGGTCCAGGTGCTGAAAGTCTCGGTATGCCTCGGTGAACTTCTTCTCCACCTCTTGTACGATGATCCGGGGAAGCGGTCGCTTGGCCGTGGTCGACTCGCTGAGGCCAGCTTCAATGGTCCATAGGGAACGACAGGTATCGAGAAAGACTTTGGAGAGATCGCCAAAGCCATCCGGGATGTCATGGACGGTGCTTAGGTAGTCTAGCATCCGCACAGATATACGGTTTCCCAGCAGGGTTGCCTGGGCGGAAATTGCGAAGACGGCATCCTCCGGGGTAGGAGCCATGATACTGTGAGATCGAAGTGTTTCGCCTGTCAGCAGTGGGGATGGGTCTTTCTTTTACGATTATGGGGGTCAGTTTCAGTTCACGGAGGTTTTTGTTTCTTTTCGAAAGAGATGCCGACGTCGAGGTTTGCAGAGTAATAAATTTCAGTGAGCGTGCAGCGTCGCACACGATACCAACAAGACCCCAACCAAAGCAACCAACCCTCCTGACCGGCTACGATTGGCCTGAAGCCGAAGTCTTATTGGATGCCATCCAATTGCTCCGTTCGGGAAAGTGGGCCACGGAACCATGTGTTTAGCCAAACAATCGGGGGTTCTTAGGTGGTCCCTCAGCTTTACAGCTTTAGCCATGATGATCCTTGTGCCTGGAGCTAACCAAGATCTTGGGTCATTGGGACGCCCCCATCCTCGCTTCATGTAATTTTATTTCTCAAAAGTTGGTGAAACTGGGCCAAAGTTTGACCCCCTCCCCCCCGGCGCACGACCAATTCAGAATCCACTGTCTTCCCCGTGCATGAATTGTCCGAACTGTCTGCATAAGGTATATAATAAAAAGAGATATAGAGAGCGTGTACCTTCTGTCAGTCTGTCAGACGCCAGCAGATCACGGTTCTCGCTCCACTTCCGGTACTCCCCTTCACCTCCCGGCATACATATCTTCACAAGGTCAGAGATGGTTTTCCATTTTTTTTTTCTGGTTAATGTGGATTCAAAATACCATCAGCCTTGGTAATCGACAATTCGAAAGGATTGGAAAGCCTCAGAAAAGCCATGGATTGGATTTGGAGGAGACGATGCCAAGGGAAGGTTTTGGCGAACGCCTTTTAGGGTTTCTTGGCACGTGTTCTCGACTTCGAATCGGAAAATCTCGTCCGACGCCGTCGATTATGGGTTATGGTTGCGAAAGATTGGCTACTGGGGCGAAAAGAAATCGACAAAAGCCGTTGATTGCGGTGGAGACCTGAATAATACGATCATGGCCGACTCCATATCCCCCCTTCATTCAACCCTCCCGCTTCTATGCGCTATTTATTTTAGAATTTGTCGGGACTTGGGTATAGAGTTTTTTCTTCTCCCCTCTTTTTTCTTCTGTTTTTTCTTAATTCTTATTTTTAAGCCTATCGCTATTGAACCATGTCTTTCTTCTGATCTACGAGATCCCCTTTCTTACTTCATCACTCCCAACCTCGTGGAAATCTCGGAAGAGAACCAAAGATGAACTCCGGAACGAGTGAAACTAGGGCAATGGCTAGCGGTAAGCCCTAGACCTCAAACCGCTCTTGATGGCGTGAGATCGGCATTGACAAGCCCTGGCCTGGTCTCACTAATGTGGGAAGAAAAAAAAAAGGAGAATCCAAGCCCTTCTACCCAGTAGCGAAACCTTTCGTCTCTCTCCATGTATAAGATTAACAAGGCGATCTCATCCTGCGCTTATCCTTGTTTCAGACTTAGAAGGCTTCACCCACCTCTTTGTGCTCTTATTTAAGTTCCAATAACTCTAACCACCCTCAATCCCTTTTGGAAGAAAAAAAAATCTTCCCTTTGGTCAAGTACCTCATGAATTAGAACACTCAGGGTAACATTGCTGCCCCCGGATCTAATTATTCGGTTGGCTCTACGTGGTACGGGCTATCTAAACGAAGAATAGTTTATATACCCATGAGAATTTGCCACGAGGTGCGGAGTAGGGCCCATCGATCTGTCGTAATACAGTAGTCTATATTCGAAAGGATCCCGTTTGCCTCTTGATCCAATCATGCCCGCTAGTACTATACCCACAAGCCCCCATTATTTCCAGGTGTGATCAGCTCCTGCAGGAGACTTTTAGGTATTGACCACAAGCGAGATAAGCAACCCAAGGAAGAACTCCTTATATTCCATTGATTTGACAGACTAGATAATACTAGGCAAATATTCTCTAGAAAATGCGGGATTCTCCACCGGAGGTGGGTCACTATGCAAAATGAGAGTTGCTGCAGGCCGCAGCACCTTCTCATGATCAAACATAGTCGCGATTATATTCGGTCCCTGTCTCAAGTTCACGCCAGTATCTGCAGTTCCTTTCGAGACTGGTTGGTGGTTCAGATAGCATGTTCGTGGAAAACGACCGGCAGCTGGTCGATCATCTCCAACGGACAGGCTGCAGCACCCCGTCAACTTTAGTGCGGACTGTAGATGCGGAAATGGCCGCTAATCAGTCGACTCAAAGCCTCTTGCTGCATAGACCTTACGTACAGGATTTGTAAGTAAAGGGAGAAATGCCCTGGAGATTAAAGGGGTAGTTACGTAGTGTCAGTAATGCCTCGCCATCAAGAGCCTCGTGTGAATATCGTAATCATCCGCATTATATCTCCCTGCTGTTCAACTTTTCTCTTAGTTGCGCCTTGTACGCGCCCCCCTGATCCGCTGTCGGTGGATGATCAAGTATCAGGTTGCCTTGATTCTACTGGTCGCCCCCCTTTTGTTGGCATCTTTCAAATACAAAAGTTAGTTCCTAGGTCGTGCATCACGTAGCATCGAGGGAGGGGGCATTGCGCTCCGTTGTAGGGATCCTGAGTGGTCTAGACCGTGCGCGCATTATACCGGACTTGCAACCTCGGCTGTATCTCAATAGCCCACTACGGTAAAGTCCGTGTGCCCTTTAACTTAGCAGCCAGTCTGCCCTTAGCAAAGGACTGCCCGAGATGACGCCTAAAGGTATGGACATCAAAAGGCCAGCAGGTCGATCGTGATATTACCCAACACCGCTTAGACCGTCATCGAGACGGCGGGCTGTAGCAAACAAATAAATAATTCCCGTAAATATATTTGCTCGCACTATGAACTCTTTAATGAAGAGGTATATTCTGTCATTGTTCAACAGCCGCGCTCTGAGATGGCTTTCCCGAGTGGAAATTAACTCTCGGAAAATATGAAAGGATTGTCATCAAAAAATAAAAATATATCTTGCAAGGTTGCAACCCGAATAGATAGTCTGGGAATCTAGATGCTTCCCACAGTAAATAAGACAACATAACATAATCTCCACCAAACCCGCCTCAGACCTGAGCGATAGTACCGATTTAAGCCTTCGAAGCCCAAATTAATTGGCTTTCCTCAAGTCCCGAACACGAAGTCCTCGTCCAAAGGGGTTTAACTCATGTCTTCTTGCTAAGACGGGACTTGCCGAGATCCGAATGCCGAATACGACCTTGGACTCGATCTATATTTGCCAAGGTGTGTCGACGATAAGGGGTGAAGCCCTGCCTCTTCTCGGCGTGACCCTTTCTTATTTATCAAGTACGAGGGTGCGAATTTGTCCAGCCTTTCAACTGGAAGTCCTAGTCGTTGACGGTACCAGAACAATCGGTAGCGATGTTGTGCACCACTTTAACTACTCGAGCTGTCTGAGAGGTCCTGCGGCGTGACCATGCAGCCAAGGTGGCCTCTTACCCCAGATCATTGACTAATACCGAAGCGAGTGACATATCATCCATCCCAAATACCAGTTGGAGGGTCTCCTTCTATGCTTCTAGAATTTTTTTCAAAGCATGCTAAGGATGATCTACATCTGTGTCATCGAGTAACCCTGCCAAAAACTATATATCCCAGTCGCAATGGTGCAGCGTCGTGCAAGCTCTACAGTAATTTAGCGGTCATCCTCTCTGGCTATAGATTATGTAGTACGGATCCCGATTTATTCGATCTCAGCCGAGGTGTATCGATCGAGGTAGGTAAGACAAGTGTCATGCTGTGGAACACAACAGATGTTCCTACGATATAACTGAAACAGTCGACAAAGAGATAATAGCATCACTGATATAGTGCAGTGACCATGACTCAGTAAGCTCCCCTTGCAGAGTCGCTATAGCCATAGCCATGATCTATTGGTTGCTAGCAATACAACCATCATCTGCCAACATTGGAACCGGTGTCGCGGCTTTACAGGACGTGAAACTACAATGACGCCAGCAGATCTGGTCTCAGGTGGGCTGAAGTTGAGATTGGCTGCGTCTAGCTGATTCCCACAGCGCAGTAATTCGTACGTTAGTTTCAGATTGATCAGGATCCTCCGGGGCAGAGTGGTTGATTGGTATGAATGGCCGTACTGCACTTTAACACTGGCGGCACGACTGCAGATTATTATCAGAGTGGTTAAGATCATTAGTGGAAGAGGCATGGCCGCTATTTGGGTACAGGCCCGATTTGATAGGAAGATCTGGATTTCTTCGAAACAAGCCAACATGTGGAAATTGTCCTCGCGTTTCTTGTAGGATTTCACCTAGACTAGGTGGCATACAAACTTCTTAAACATGACATGAAAACTTCACTAGCTTCATTGACAGAAGTGAGCATGTAGACAGCAGAGAGGGGTCATAGAGCAGTATACGTTAGATCATATTATCCAACAAATGGCTTCACTTCTCCGTCCCCTGTGCGAAGGGACCTAAACACCCCATGTAGTCTATAGACTCTGTTTACCCCTAGTCTCAATCGATAGCAGACACATGGCGACGGAGGAGACAGTAACAGCGCACTAGAGACATAAATGGGGGCACTAGTGTTCACATCACCGGCATAAATCGTGACAATCGGTGCATAAAGTCCGGCAATCCGATTCAGACAACTAGCGATACCTGTGGCTGTGCCTCGGTTGGGGCAGGAAAGACCTCGGGGGTATAGGCATACAACACACCGTATATAATCACCTGGAAGAAAGACTCCAGAGTGGAACAGACCAGTTGAGTATTGGAGGTATTTGCGGCAGTAAAGCAAAACAGGAGGATACCTGTGATCAAAGTGGAGATGGACATTGTACCCTTCCGACCAACATATTTGATACCAACGACGCCTGTGATGGCATAGTTGCGATACGTCTCATATGTGGAGGCTGACGTGCTTAGATACTGTGGGAGGGACGCGTCGAACAGAGTATAGCCCATGCCAATCGTGGCCCAGCAAAACCAGATAAGAATTGCTAAACTGTATTATACGTTAATGTATAACAGAACTAGCAGCAGAGGGCATACTGGTGATCCTGAGTCGCTTTGTCGCGAACAGTGGCCCGATCTGCAGGACGGAAAATTTCGACAGAGACCTGGCGACAATCTGCTTCAAGGAGAGCGTCTGTTCCTTTATCTTTTCCGGATATCCGCCAATCTAATCCAAAATATCTGTTGTCAGCCAGGTTTTCGCCTTATTCCGATAGGCAATACCCTGAACCGCGGCAACGGCCTCGTCCTGACGGCCTTTGGCAACCAGGAATTTAGGTGATTCGTACAGTGTAAAGAAGAAGCGACAGATTAACATATCAAATATGATGGCGCCGAGAGAAAGAACGAGATATCTCCTGCCTATATTGTCTGCCTTCGTACAGCTGGAGGCCTCAGAACAGGAAAAGTTCAGAATGAATGCCCACGCAAGCAAGCTACTGGAAAGTTAGTTCGATTCCTACATTGTTTCCGGAGCTAGACAGACCTGGTAACCAAGTTCCCTACGGACCAGAACACAGTTAGCAGCTCAAAGGTTGCCTGACGCAAAGGGTAGAAATTCAAGAAATATTGCAGCATCTACCGGCATATTTCCACCTACACCCAATCCTAAGCAAGCATGTAGAGCGCAGGTACTACACTCCGATCAGCAATCCCGAGATCAAACACATGTACTCATCTTAAACCCACCTTATCCAGGTAGGACCGCCACCTGCCGCCAGGCCAAATACGCCACACAAGAACAACGTGATATTGAATACCGGTCGACGTCCAATGAGACCTGAGGCAAGCCCCCGGAAAGTGGCCCCAATGATGAGGCCCACGAACAAGGCGCACGTGGTGAAACGGACCTGGGACTTGGAGACCCCGAATTCTAGAGATAGCAGGGTGAGGGTCGAGGCCACTCCCTGCGCATTGCCAAGTTAGCTTGACGGTGCTGGTTTAGCACAAGAGCGATGACGATCGAGCAGTCTCGCCTGCAGCCAGAGGATATGTGCTCACAAGAGCGATGACGATCGAGCAGTCTCGCCTGCAGCCAGAGGATATGTGCTCATTGAGTTAGCCCTCACTCGACTTTCATGAATTGGGGATCTCTCGGCTCACTTGTCGGCGATCCAGCCAAATCCACGGAGAAAAAAAGAGCCCCCATTGATAACGGCCCATACCGATAACCTGGATAGCCCTATTGATTAACTTCGCCTTGCCTGTGATGGCCTCCCAGTCAGACATACATTTTGTAGTTTCAAGCAATCAAGAAGTAGGATGTCACATATGGGAAAGATGCAGCGGGATGGGTACAAAGGGTCCGTCTTGCGATTCGCAAGCTTTAGATCTGTATTAAGAGGCTAATTGAGATTTGCAGATTGCAGCAAGATACGACGGAATGAACGTACAATTGTAGACCGAGTCATGGCCCGAAGCGGCAAGAGGAGACTCAACTTCCGCGCGAAGACCCTCCAGGGTTGGCGTATAAAACTGAGACATGGGACTGACACCCTTTTCCTGACGATCCAAGCTATGCATGTTAGATTCTGTATCAGATCCAGGCTTGCGCTCAGCGTTGACGATCGGATTAGAAGGTGCAGGGGGTGAGGGGCGAGGGGCATTACGACATCGAGGAAGCTTTGCCGGTCTCTGCGCCAGAATGGGAGAATCCAATTGGGCATGTTGATGAGGCGTTAGATGTTGCAAATAGGGTTACAGCTTGGGGTGAGTCGCGTGGCACGCTTTCTGGGAATGAGGTGATAATCTATACGCCGCTTGGGTTGATAGACTTCAAAGTTCTAGTACAGTGCAGAATGCCTTGCGTTGGGGCTAATCCGGGCGCTTGGCCGTTAAAGCTGTTGCTCTTGGGAAACTTCGATTACAGCCTAGATCGTGAGGTAGCAAGTCACAGAATGATGCCGGTACAATGGCTCACACGCCCGCGAGTATCGAAACAAGTCGCAGAGGATGTGTGGCAAGGAGTGATATGTGTGGCGCAATGGGGTTGTCAAGATGGAACAGGTCGCTCTCTGGGATCTGTCGTGGGCGATAGAATAGGGAGCAGCTTTGGGGTCTTTCGGACCTAGAACTGTTATATATTCAGTTTTGCGACTACCATAGGAGAAAGAAATTCGGAAAAATTATGTCTTGTAGTAAATTGGATAATGTCGGACGACTTGCTAGATAGCCAGCCTTTCACCATGCAGGGAATCCAAGCAACGATGGCAGATAGCCACAGGTGCCGTGAAGGTATTGCCTCAAATGTAATGAATTAAGATTCGTGAGATCAGCACCCCTTATGGGATGGGGAAATGAGAGAATTGGGGAAAGAGAAGCCCAGGACAGAGGGGGACGTCTGCAGCCTATATAGTCCATGGTGGTGCAATGGTTTTTCCGATACTATTAGTGAAAACCTGACATAACATCAATGTATAACGAGAAGACCCACCACACTAGGAATGATGCCCAGTGGACTGGCGCTTGCAAATCGGGTTCCATAGGAAACCGCATTCGCCGCATTGTCCAAGGGCATTCCCAAACAACGTTTTTTTTGTCTAGACATTAGTTAGTAGTATCCAGGACGCAACCCCAGGGAGACCACTCTCTCCGGGTGAATCAGGGTGCCTCTTCAAAGACACCTCTTGTATGTAAGCCTGTGGGCAGCTGAAGGTGAAGAAATAGGGCAAGGAAACAGGACCGACATGAGCCGGAGAGAAATGCTTACTTATATGACTTGACATCGTTGGGGTAGAGTTGCTGGGTCTTCGCAACAGACATACATCCCGGGCACAGTGCCACCTAGATACGGCATATTTCTGAATCCCACTGTGAGCAGCTGGGTTGAGAAACATAAAGTATCCGTTTCTCGGCCATAAGAAGTGGTACAGTCGGTGTTGAATATATCGTGAGCTAGGGCACCGTATCCCAAAGAGGAAAGGGAAATGAGAGCACCAAACTTCATCGAGGTTTCGGCCCGCCGATACCCACTTGACACTGGGACGACTAACACAGTATTAGCCGAGCACTCACTTTTTGTTCGACTCAGTTGCCAATTGACATCATCACGGTAAGATATTATTGAATACGCCCATGAAATTACCTAGTATCGCAGCGCCTGACATATGCCAGGAGAATTAACCACCTACAGAAGTATGTGGATTGTTGAATACTATGGTAATCAGACCACATATAAAAGGCCTCATAATTCCCACCTAGGTAGGCCTTCTTGAGAGTTGGGTAAGGATCGTAAATCTGATCGTTGTGATATCATTTCATACAAATACCTTACCAGATATTCTACAGACATGGGCTAATGCGAACCAGGTAGGCACTGTAGTGTCCATTATTATTCATGGTATGCACTACCAGATGCTAGTAGAGCACTCCGATAAATATATAGAGAGCACGTAGTAGTAGGATAAATGCTAATATATGGAGGATATATTTATCTATCTATCTATCTCTTTATGCATTTGCCATGGGAGCACGATGTGGAACAAGAGTAAGGAACACCGTTAACAATGTCTTAACTAGTATCTAATATTAACATGTGTCGATCATACTCACGAATCTACTTATTCCGTTACCATAAGAGCTTTCAAGAACAAAACATCAATGAATTCCTGCTAGCTAGGGTTAAATCGTCATGACTGATATAAAGATAAATACAAAGAAGGAAAGATAACAGAAGGGAGGGAAAGACAGAGGTATCGTGATAAGAGGCATCATGAAGAGACACGCTATCTAGTCGAGAAAGACCAGATTACCGTCCTGGTTCGAGATCCTCTCATCCAACTTCATCCAAGACCGATTCCATCCTCCCTGGCCGTCCGCAAGTTCAGCTTCCAAAACTTTCCCTCCCTCGATTAGTCGCACATTGCGAGCCGATGCCCCAAAGTTCCCACCACGCGCCCAAACGAATTTGCCAAAGTGGTTGGAAAGAACGTTATTCAGCGGAATGGACGATCGACGCATGTGGCCGGAGATGGCACCACAGTGTGCGACCAGGTCATTCCCTTCCAGGCAGATATCCCGGGACGATAGGGAGAAATTCCCACGCATCGGCTCCACTGGCTTGTGGTATTCAGCCGGTGGTGGGCGCGAGTTGAACGGCGGCGGCGGCGGCTGATTTTGATGGGCCATGGCCCATTGCTGCTGCTGCTGTTGCTGCTGCTGTTGAATCTTTCTCCTCTCCTCCTCTTCCTTCTTTTCCTTGTGCTTCCTCATGGCGTCTTGAGCGACCGAGCCAGTCATCGCCCCCCCGATCGCACCCAGGAAGCCGTGATTCACCTTGTGACCGGCGTATGCTCCGGTCGCTCCACCCGCAACTGCACCTAGAAAGCCTCGGTCCTTCTCATCTGGTACCGCATTTGGCGAGTCGGTGGGCTGAGGAGAGTATGGAGGGGGGGCTGGGGGTTGCTGAGCGTAGCCGGGTTGTGGAGAGGGAGAAAATGGTTGCGGAGGGTAGGGGTTGCTTTGGTTCGGTCGCGAATTTTCATACGACGGATACGGCGGCTGTCCCACCGACGGAGCGGATTGATATGATTCACCTCCCGACTGCTGGTAGTAATTGCTGGGTGAAGGCGATGGTTGCGCCCATGGCTGCGGCTGATACGGACTGTGAGGTCTCGGACACTCGGACGGCGCGGGGTAGGACTGGTTGTAGTTGTAGTTGTAGTTATTCTCAGTCGGATTGATACCGGGTGGAGGGTAAGGATAGTAGCCACTGGAGTTCGGAGGGCTGAAGGATTGAGAGGAGAGGTTAGGAGGTCTATTATTTTGCGGTGGATAAGGGTGGTTGTTGTTGTTGTCGTAGCTGGTGGGGGCGTTTTGGTCCCCACTGGCATATTCTCGCATGGTCATGGTAGAGATCAAAGATATGGAGTCTTTCTACGTAAGCTGTTATGGTTTTTAGAAAGAATAGATCCCGAGTGAAGTGTGTCTAGACAGATATATACACATATATGACAGAGGAGAGATGAGCATCCAAAACAACCCCCACTGGTGGCTGTGCAGCCTCACAGGGCTGTGTGCACTGCCACCTTGCTCTGATTGGGCGGAGCGAGGGAATCAAGCCACACCTGAGATGGATCTCCCAAATCAAACCATCTTTCTTTCCAAACAGAGAGACATGCACAGCTAATATCAGTCATTACGAGATTTCTACCTGATCATCTAGTATTGTACTCCGTAAACATGTTCAGGGAATGTTACCCAGAGTAACATCAGCTCCTTCCTTTTCATGGCTGCCTAGACGGCTAAGCGTTTTCTCTCCAAAAGTCTCCACAGTTGTAGGGCTGACCACGACCCAATCAGAGGGACCCATTGGACATCAAACAGGAGTCTAGATATGACGCTTCTGCATGGCACATCACAGGAGACACAACTACATGTACCGTCAGTGGACTTGTTGCACCGGATCCTTGTCCTATGTAGCCGCGGAGGTCTGGTTTGGGAGGTCTGCGCTCTGCATGATGGATAATTGCTGCCTACAAGGTCAGCTCTTAGGCAAACCATTGGTCCTGAATGGGATATCTCCTGCACGAAGCTGCTCCCCGTCATCCAATCTTAGGCTGATGCTAAGCGCTGTCGATAGTTCATACATCCAACTACCGTGGTGAACATTTTCCGGTCAACCATCCCCCTTCCATAATGCTGCCAAAAGCCCATCGCTAGTGGGCGGCCGTGTCGGGGTATAAAGTCGAGGGGAATCCCTTGATGGTCACAGACCTTCTGCTTGAGTAAACAACTCGAGCGAATATTGAGTGTTCTCTTCCTCAGTTAGGCTTTCCTACTCGTCTTCCCTCTAGCCTCCGTCGCACCGCTATCACGATGGGTGTACTCAAGATCCTCCTCAAAGCGATCCTCATCCCGATTGTACTTCTACTCGTCACAACCGTTGTCGTGGTCTTTCTCATCAAGAGGCGCCGGAGTCGTAAGGAGAAAGAACGAAGCCTTGAAAGCGGATTCCAACCTCCGCCGATCATGCAATGGGTGCCAAACCCCGACTCCATACAAAAGCCGGCCCCGATCGCTCATGTGTCAACCTTCCAACCGGCGGGGAATATAGGGCACGGAACGGGATAATCCTCAGGTACCATATCGATCGCGTTGTGCCGTTATATTTGACAAGGATCCGCTGACCACACTGTCGCTTAAGGAGCCCTTGTCTATCGTAAGGATGTTCTAATGTGGATATCGTCCTTGGATCACGGGTGCGAGAGCTATAGCATGGTGAACTTTGTTTATTTCGGCTTTTATCTTGGTCTCTTTTTTTTTTTTTTTTTTTTTTTTTTTTTTTTGTCTCTGTACCTTTCCTTTGAAAGCAATGTCACGCTTAAATGGCGAAGGCGTACCAAGGCGAACCCGGTGTATTCCTAGTTGTCGATATCCTCTGGTCAAAACGTAAAATATGCCATTTACCACCACTATAAAGAGGGAAAATAGCTCTTGAGAGTAACCTCAAAGCAATCGCTGCCCCTTGAACTCCAGAGCGTGAAACCTTTATTTAGGCTTAAAAAATGTCTTCGCCGGGAAGCCACATCATCTGCAACATGCCCACGGGTTCAATCGAATTCTCTGCCGCATTCCGTAAAGATGTGCTCGGGTATCCGTTCCCGCTTGTCGTCTCGCCGGGGTCTATGTCGAATGGTGAAGAATGGTTGGGCGCGGTGGGTGTCGCAGACCCCTGGGAGTACTGCTCATGCTGTTGTCTATTCGGATGGGCAAATAACACGTCGCTGGTTGGCCCTGATGTAATATGCTGAAGAGGAGCCGGATAGATTTCTCCGCGGCCGACGATGTGATCACTCGAGCTAGAAGACGGCATCGCACTAGACCGGGCCCCGACAGGAAACAATCGGAATACACCAATGAGCATGTATGCTGGATCTACAAGCTTCACACGACGGACAATGTCTCTGAAGCCTAAGATCATTTCAGTCTCCACTTGACGCTCCGCAGAAAGGCATTGGTCAGGCAAGTAAGACATTCGGCTCACGCCATCGTATGAGGTAACCATAGTTTTACCATGGTCCTCGATCATAGCAATTGTGATACCCATGGAATTCATCTCTGGCTCTATTACATCCCACTGCATTGGTTCGTAATGTCAGCTAAGGTGAGTATGTATAGCATTGCCTTTGGCAATCGATGGGGAGGGAGTACATACCAGGATCCGTACGGGAGCCCAAACGCGACGGAGTTGATGGAGTAAGTAAAGATGCGATAGGAGCCTCATTTTACTAAGATCGAGTGCAGGACTATTGGGGCAGTGCCAATCCCTGCCGTAGTGGTTGAGATAGCTCAGATACACGGAAACCGAGATAAACGAGGAGTATGCAGCGAACGGTGGCAAGGTGGCTAATGACGTCTGCGTGGAGGCAACAAAGTTCATAATGGTATCTGATACCTGATTGATGTGTCCGACAGCGACCTCGATACATAGCTGAGTATACTCTGGGGATGGCTGCTGCTCCTGTAGGAACAAAATCATGGCTAAATGGGGGAGGATGCGGCAGATATGGTAAAGAGTCTGTAGTCCTAGGCATTCGCGAAAGTCCACTTCGTGGTGTCGTCGGCCGTCAAATGCGCACAGAGTCGGCGAGAACATCTCATACATTCTTCTAGTCTCGGCGTCGAAGTTGAACAGTGCCGCCCATTGCATACCGGGATCCACATTTGTGTGGAGAGCGCCGACGAAGTGTCTTATTCGTATCCTAGTCGCAGGTCAGCGCGGTGACTCTCTCTTTGTCGGAGTAGGTTCAACGTACCAGTGCTCCACCATTTGCATCATCTCTCTGCGAGGTGTTCTACACTCGATATCAGATGTACGCAGCGGGGCGTGATAGTGAAGTGGAGGGCTTGAAGCTACATGCTCATCTTCTCCAGTGAGACATTGACTAATCAGGCCGACATAAAAGAAAGACGGTTCGAGTTCTTGGGAGGACTCTTGCGCCTTCAGTCGCTGACTGCACACTACTGCCATCTCTGCCAAAACAGTCAGTTGACTCACTCCAGTCAAGACAATACACGCGAACGATCGGCTTACTAGCAATCTCCCTGCATTTTTCGCCTCTTCCAACACCGCACCAGTACACGATCAGGTTGAAGAGCGATGGGATGATATCAAACGATGGCCAGTGGATCTGGGCAGCAACAATTGCGCTCGCCTGCTTTGCCCATATCTCCCCCGGGCGCGTTGTCACGGACCATGACCGGCCGACGTCAGCCAGGCGTATCGTTGGTGAAGGCTTCAAAAGAAGAGCCGCCACCGAGAAGATGGAGCTGCGTACCGATATTGGAAGGGTGCCTTCATGGTACCGATCCTTCACTCGTGAAGGGTCACAGACAAAACTAGATGGGAAGAAGAGGGTGAAATACGCGTCGAGTAATTCCAAGCCCTCCTCCTTGGAGATGAGGTCCCCATTCATAATGAGGGTTCGTGAACCTGTGCCGCATGGGCTCCCTGGAGGATATCGAGATCTTCGCCTCCTGGCGGGATAGACGCAGTCGTATTCCCAGCTCCGGCACCGGTCGCAGATGGGAGTCTCCCGGGAACATTTGCGCTATACCTTGGTCAGCTTGGGCTAAGTTTGGGGACCGGAAGTCATCAGTGGCATATATACCTTCTGTTCCCGACAGCGGACGCACGACAAGGGCTGCAGAGGCATCGTGAGAGTTTGGGGTGAAGTTGAGAAAGCCGATCTTACGCTTGATCCAATCTTATGTGATTTAAGCTTCTTCATGCACTCATTTAGTTAAAACTAACAGGATACAGGTCAGCCGCCCTTCAGGTCCGCCACCGTCGTTCAAACGGTTGGGTGCCCCGAAACTGGTCATGTGATATACCTAGCGGTGCACATGTCTATTACCGCTCATGGTTTATATTACGAGGCTTGGAAACTTTTCAATATATGATATTTTCTATACCCACTATAAGAGGAGAAAATGGAATCAAATTTAATTGTACAGGTAATAGTATTTAAAAGATCAGACGCCTCATTGTGTCCGCCAAGACCTGTGGGGGGCGCGTGGCTTCTCGCAAGGGGCACATGACCTGTGTACTCACTAACTAGTTAGTGAACTTATGCGTATCTCTGCTCAGTCATTCATATACATTAGCTGTAATCCACCACCAAGCGGCACAAACCTTTGTTTCCTACTCACTCAACCCCCTGGTGTTCGTCAGATCAATTTATAGTATCACCAAAACATTATAATGCCTCAAAAGTCATTAGATTCTGTAGCTGAATTAGAAGGCAGAATTCATCTTTCAATTCAAGTGTTTAAAAAGAGTCAGTTTAAAAGCATCCGTGCAATGATGTCCCATACCGAACACCTGCCTACCGAATCAATGGTCGAAAAGCACGCCTGAATGTTCCTGTAAATGGCCAGAAGCTTATAGATTTAGAAGAAGCTTCTCTTAAGAAATGGATTCTTGATATAGATAAGCGAGGTCTTCTTCCGACCTATAATATAGTATACCAAATAGCAAATCTATTACTATCTCACTAACAGCTAACAGAAGTCAGGATCTGTTAGAGTAAATTAGGTTTCTCTATTCATTAAGCGATATGATAAGATTATATCTAAATATACCTGTAAAATATGATTATTAATGTGCAAAATCCGAGAATCCAGAGGCTATCAGTCAGTGATTCAGTCTAGTTCAGAATACTATAGAAAAATATGATATTACTGAACGGGATATCTATAATTTTGATAAATCTGGGTCTAGATAATATAGTATCTACAGTAGTGGTTATTACTGTATCCTGTTATTTAGAACTAGCTGCCCTAGTAGAAAATAAAATTTCTTTATATATAAACCGAGCATCATTCTAACTGTGTGGTAGTGAGATATCTCCTAGGTTTTTGAACGTGGTCAAATTGTGGCCAAATTGTGTGCCACTCGGTGGTGGATTACGTTTACACTAACAGTTAACCTAGTTACTGCTTTATGACTAACCTGTATAACATTTTCCTATTTATTGATCTTTGTATGACATGCTGTGAGGAACGTATTCTGTCACCCAGAGTGCCTTCAGTCTATACCCTGGCTATATGTAGACACCACTCTCTCTTGCCATCCCACATCTTCTCGTAAGCTGGAAGCCCAAACTACAATATCCAAGAAAACAAGTGTATGTGCAAGGTGAACACAAGTCTCCAAGGACTACTTTGAAGAGTTGACAGCGACCACCATAAGCATACGATCAGCTCTTGAGATGCTTCACGGTGCAGCTTCTCACAGATTGGCTTAAAGACTTCGGACTGATCTAGGCGACTAAGGCCTTTCCTCGGTGCTTAAGCAACTGAGCGACACTCTCCTCCCCGCTAGAGGTTCCCAGAACGCTTGGCTTATTGTACACCCGGGCTTTCTCATTAAATATATATTGCTCGATAAATACTAGCTACAAGATCGTGGGGTCAATCGGGGGTGTTATTCTGAGAGATAGCGCCTAATAGGAGGACAACTACATGCACGTCCAAGGAAACGGGTTTGGCCTAGTCTGTTAAAATATAATCGAACTGCTGCAGTGGTAGCAGGTCATTTGAAGAGGGCTCTATTAACCGAATTGAAACTTACAGGCTGGCATTCATTAAGCCCTTTTCTTCCCCAGTCGGAATAAACAAAATCTTCAACCAAGGTCGAGGGCAATCATGCGGCGGCCCCGCAGTGGCTTTATGATGTCTCGCTTTACTTCATTCTGCATGAGCGGGGACTTGGAGCCCGCCATTCGCTGACGATCGGATAAATATCCTCTACACGGCTGTCGGTTAATTTCCCTCCAACGGATGTCTCTTCGCGTTCGGGGTCTATAATCCACGTATAGAACCTGTTATCATTAATAGGCTTCCGTACAACCGAGGAGAAATGCGCGAACGTCCGTAGAAGAACCAGTGGCATAAAAGAGACAATGTAAACCTTGCCCTTCCCAAAGATATGTACTAACTAAAATGCACTTCATTCTGCTTCTCGTATTTTTCTGCTCCGTGGCTCCCCGTACTGCCCTTTCTATTTCCCAGGGTCCTCTTTCGACCTCGGGTCGTTGGATTGTCGATGCCCATGGGAAGAATGTGACCTTTGCGGGCGTCAACTGGCCTGGAGCTGCCGACGCCATGTTGCCCGAAGGATTACAGTATCAGTCCATCGAATATATCGTCGACAAGATCAAAACGCTGGGGATGAACGTCGTCCGTCTCACTTTTGCAGTCGAGATGATCGATGATATCCTAGACACGGGACGAGATGTGCCTATTCATGACTCACTGGTCAATGCCCTAGGTGAGAAGAATGGCACGATAGTCTTCAACAATATTGTCCAGCAGAATCCGCAGTTCGGAGTCAATACCACGAGACTTGAGGTAGCCATTACAATCCACAGTTCGACCGTGAAGACTAACCACACCCGGGGCAGGTTTTCGACGCAGTAGCCAATGAGTGCTATCGTCAAGGGATCTACGTGCATTTGGATAACCATATTTCTAAAGCTATGTGGTGTTGCTCCGGGACAGATGGCAACACATGGTTCGGAGACCGGTATTTTGACGTGGCAAAATGGTACCGGGGGTGGGAATATATGGCTGAACATGTATGCTCTAACCAGTTGTTGGAGCACTGGGTTCCTACACATGTATAGTCTAACATATACACAGGTTAGATCTCTTCCTGCCGTCAAAAGTGTTGGAATGCGAAACGAGCTCCGTAAAGCAGAGGATAATCCGACCTTGATCGACAGCACGTATAACTGGCAGTATTGGTACCAGTACATGGTTGAGAACTCCAATCGAATCCATGCGGTGAACCCTGACCTTTTAATATATTTCTCGGGCCTCGATTATGATACGCGGCTCAGTCCCATACCCACCGGTGAGGATCTGGGGAACGGCATTGCATTCCACAAGAGCGATTTTCAATATGCCGACAAGATTGTGCTTGAGCTGCACAACTATGAGCGCACGGCAACAAGCTGTGACGACCTCAAGTCAAGCTTATGGGCAGCGGGCTTCAATGCCCTGGATACCCAGAACTCAAGTATTATAAACACCATGCCGGTCCAGATGACAGAGTTCGGTTTCCCGCAAGATAGCACCACATATACAGATGTCTATGCGTCTTGCCTGAGGGAGTGGCTGCCCAGTCTCCAAGCGGGATGGATGGTTTGGGTGGTCGCTGGTAGCTATTATGTCCGTAAGGGAGTTCATGATGACGATGAGAAATGGGGTGAGTGTACCCCACCAGAGATAGCAACGTCAGCTAAGCAGACATGTAGGACTGCTGGACCATACATGGTCGGATTGGCGGTCATCCGACGCGATTCATAAAGGACTGATTCCCATGGTTCAGGCGACGCTGGGGTAAAACAGAGGATGTTCTATTCACAATGTTGTGGCTTCTGGATAGCAACAAGCAGACCATTAACATCTTAAACGCGCCAGATGCCATCACGACCAAGCAGTCTTCGAATTGCCGAAGAGGCTTTCTAGCTTGAACCCAAGAAGTGGATGATGTTCCAATCCCTGAGCAATTAACCATCAAAGATCTGTAGCTACTAAGCCGTGATTTTGTATTCCTAATATCTACTAGAGATGTAGCTCGCAATTGGTATGCTATTACTCTCTCAGAAATTCCCTAGTCTCCATGGTTGAAGACTCCAGAACGCGTACAATTGATATTCTGTGCTGGGATCTGCCCGAGTAGACGCTCAAGCACCGAAGCTAGTACTAAGGACAGAGATCCCCCGCACCGTAGATTGTGAGACATGACAAGCGGAGAGAAAGCGACGCATTTACATTGGTTGCCGACGCGGATCCTTGCTCTGACTATTAATGTCATGTTTCTGATTCTCGCTCCAAGATATGCCGAGCACCCCCACCGGAATGCTCACATGGATAACAACCCACGCCGATCTTTTCATCCATTAGCTTGGACCTTTGGATCAAGCCAGGTGTTTCGAAGGTACCCCACTCTCCTGGGTAATATACACATCACCAGCGCTGTCGGGCCAGAGATATATATTGCTTTGCCGGGATGTCAATACCTCCCACAAATTGACACAGTTATCCGAGATTCCAAAAATGCTGTACTGGGTGGCATTACTTTTATTCTGCCATTTTGGCATTTCCTTCTCACTATCTACGGTTCGTATACCCCTGGCCAATTCAGCAAGGGTTCTGAGGCGCGATTTATATGGGTATTCCATTGAACCTTCTTCCGTTGTGCCATACCTCCAAAATGATCGAGCTTCCAAGTTGTTAGGATACATTGCAGAAGTCGCTGGAGTGCCCGCGTCCATCCGGGTTGGGGGAAATATTGCAGACCAGACATTATTTGATAAGACGTTGAGAGCGCCGTCGGAAGCGCTGCCAAACGACACGACAGTGGAAGTCTTGCGCATCCGAGAAGATTGGTTCAAGGGCTGGAAAGAATATTTCCCACACGGAACTAATATCCTATATACATTGAACCTACGCAATGAGACGGGGTTATGGATCAATGCCATGGAGGAAGCCAAAGCTGTGATGGGGATACTGGGCGAATCCCTCTCGCACTTCGAATTGGGCAATGAGATCGACCACTACATCAACAAAGGCTGGCGGGGGGCGGGCTGGGACACGAAGCAGTATACGAACCAATGGCGTCGTCTGACGAGCCAAATCCTATCGTCCCCTTTCTATCAGAATGCTACCCACCAGCCTCTCTTCCAAGCCGCGGTGTTTGCCGACCCTCCCATGGTCCCGGACCAACACGATGAGATCGACGACTTTGATATCATTAACGTAACCCGCGCCGGGCTGGTAGATACGAAGATAATTGACAGCTATGCGGTGCACCTCTACCCTCAATCAACGTGCGATGCCGTGCGTCGGCGGCGGCTTTCTTTAGACTTACTCTCGGACCACAATGTCATCTGGACAAACCTCTCTCAGTATATCCCGCAGGAGGCAGCTGCCCGTGCAGCGGGGAGCAGACTGGTGTTGGGGGAAACTAACTCGGCCTCTTGTAGTGGAAAAAGTGGTATAAGTGACACCCTGGGTGCTGCTCTCTGGGCCGCTGACTATGTCTTGACTGCGGCGAGTATTGGCATCGAGCAAACGTATTTCCACCTCGGCCATCAGAGTGAATATTCCGCCTTCACCCCCCTACCGTACGTATACAAGGGCGAGAATCTCACTGCGGGAATCCGAGCCAACTTCTTCTCTCATATCTTTCTCGCTCACGTCGTTTCTGGCGGGGAGACGGACACATGGAAAATTACTGCCTTACCTAGCGCAAATGCGTCGGACTTCAGTGGATATGCAATTTTTGGTGGTCAGGAGGAGCCAGTCCTTGCGAAACTTGTTTTTATAGATTTGGGCGTGTGGAATTCGACGTCTGGGCTCCATAATCCTTCTACGTTGTCAGCAACAGATTCTAAATTCGTTTCCCCCGGGGCCCGACCGAGACGAACTGTGGAAGTGCACACGACGTGGTACCCAGGAACGGAGGTCGAGCTTCTCAGATTACAGGGCCCAGGAACCAACGCAAAGAGTGGGGTGAACGTGTCGGGGGTAGCCCTCGACTTGGAGACAGGCACCTTGGTCGGTAAGGAAGAGGTTGAACCAGGGATTGTCAGTGATAGTGGCATCGTTCGCTTCGACATTTCTCAGGCCGAGGGGGTCTTAATACAGAAGCGTCGTACGGAATACGCATAGAGTCAATATAAGGATTCTGCCTAACATAATACAGACGAAGAGTTCGAAAGTCATAATGTCAATACCTTTACAATAGACCAACTAACTGATCGAAAGCGATCTGCAGACGAACGCTTGCCTATGATGGAGAACCGCCCGACATAGACATTATAAGTTAAGAAAGATAGCTGATAACCAAGATATACAACCTCGGATAGAGAGGGTTGTGGAGCAAGATATCGTTATAACAGAAGCACAGAAGGAAATCAAATTGAAGAGGAAAACTACCGCAAGCAACGCTATTCAGTTAGCCAAGAATATTAACGATAGAATAGATAAGAACCCTATACTGGTCCGTATTCTGAAGTAATAAGTTAAAGGCGACACGGTTAGGGAACTGATAGTAATATCTTCCAGACTATACAAGGTATTCTTCTAAAGCTATTTAACTGTGGACGGGAACAGCGCGGCATGCAATAATAGTTACGAAGTCAGTATTATAACACATTCCTGACTTACAATCGAGGCCACTTGAGCAACCAGATGTGACCTACATAAAGAAAACATTAAGAATATATACGTTAATCGACGGCCACACAATCCCGACGTTATTGGATACCAGTTCACAATTAAATGTCACGAGTAGGCGACTGGCCGAGCAACCTGGCCTACCCATATGACTTAATGTTGTAACTGCTGGTCGAGAAAGAATGCTTGCATTGGCTGTATTGCTGATCTGCCTGTGTCCACTAGGGACATCACCATTCCGACTGCGGTGTTTATGGTAGAAGTTATAGAAGAAGATTTGATACTAGGAATCCCGTTTCAACTGCAGGCAAAGTTCGGATTACAGATAGAAAGGAATGGGGATACACAATATGGGTTTTATTCAACTAATAGATTACAACAAATAGATGTTATCTTTCGCACTCAGCCAAACAACTCAAGATAGAGGGGAATAATAACTTGTTTTCGTGAAAACCGTTGAAAGAGCAGGGGACAGTCAAGGGATGAGTTACCCAAATCGAGTGATCCGCTGATGTACCGTATACTTAACTTATAATCATCACAACTAATGTACCTTGGTCCAATGGACCGTCAATTTTAGTTTCCTGCTACTTCACTTTTATTGTTGGCTCGACCTAGTTGACAGACATCGTGCGCATGAACAACGTAATAACCTTGGGAGCCTACCGGTAGGACATGGAGCCCAGGGATATACAAATGCTAAAGCATTGAACGGTGGCACCTTGGGCATGGGATGAGGATAGTTTCTCGCAGTTTTTCGAGGCAGAAAGGTAACATGGTTTCAGATTATATCAATGATAGTCATATAACAATCTCCCTGTTACATACTCGCTTGTGGATTATGTTATCTTAGTCCAGTAGCTGAGCCCTCCACAAGTCAAAAGCAACGGTGGCGTGAATCTCCCTCAGAATGTCTTAAAAAAGCTATTGTCAGCATCCAAGATTTGTGATCCACCCAAGCATGTACCTAATTTGTTCTCGGTGTTACAACGTTTCCTAATCCTAATCTTGATTCATGGTTAACTCTGGCGGTACCACTTTCGTAATCTAATGCAGAAGTCAATCAGCTGACGCAGAAGTGTTGTAAATGCAGCGCGTGTAATAAATTACCTTATAATAACCTCATTTAATTATGGCTGACTAAGTGACTTAAGAAGATAGAGTATGAAGTTATGCCTAGTACCCCTGCAGATACATCTAGTAGGCTTGTTGATATGAGTCTATACGAGATACGTGATCGCCTAGTGGCTTGGCTGATCACCGAACTCCATCTGCTGAAGGCTTGACCCATTAGTTAGAAAGAAAAAAGCGGTTAAGATAGTCGATAGAGTCGTCCATAGAATTGAGTATCTATCGGAATGGCATCCGATCCTCAGTAGGCTACGTACGTGTAGCTGATACAGCCTCATTCTGTCCATCTTTCCCCTGAAATCACAACACTTGTTATCCTTACCTTCACATCTAACTAGCTAATCTAAACGCCCCTCAGAGGTGTCTGGTCAAGTAGTCTCCTCTCTTAATAAGCCCTGCAAGTGAGCCGCGGCCTTATGACCAATATAACCGTTGTTGATATAGTTTACCGTTTACCAATTTCGGAAGATTCGGCTTGGTTTTCCCCCCTTGGTTATATTATGACGAGACCTTATGGGAGATAACCCAACGTCACTCTACCTTGTCTGGAATTTCCGCGGAGCCTGGAAGAAGCAAGCTCCATCCTTTCTTTGTCTTCTGTTGTTGTGAATAGGCCCTAAAGCATGTATGATGTAACGACTGCGGAGAGGATCAGGGTCCGAGGATATTGCGGAGGAAGTCCCACCATGATACGGATAAACGTAAAGATTGGGTCCTTGATCCAAGTCTAAAAGGATGCATGATGTCTCCTGGCTAATGTCTATGAACCTCTCCCCAACATTCTAAATGCGCGGCCAATATGCCATTGTCCCTCCTGTTTGTCCTATTTCCCTTGGAGACTTCATATCCTGCTTCCGATTCTCTGAACTAATATGCCGCTCGTCATGATTGATCTGATAAAGGGAACAAGATCTCCCAGATAGATCAAACAGCTCGCCGATGTCATTCAAGATGTCATGCTGAAGCATTTCAATGCCCCGAAATGAGATCGATACCAAGTAAGCAGTCTACGTGCATGGGACACTTATAATTCTTTCTAATAATGTCTGGCAGGTAGGTAATCACTCAGCACGAGCCTTACGGATTGATCTGTGAGGATACCAATCTAGGACTGAAGAGGAGCAACAAATTGGTGATAGTGCAGATATTTCGACAAGGGCGGAACGCCAAGCAGAAACAGGCGACTTACAAAGCCCTTCATGAGCAACTCTTCCAAATGTGTCAGCTGCGCGGAGAGGATCTTATTTTAAGTTGTGCGGAAAATACAGAGACAGACTGGAGTTTTGGAATGGGGGAAGCACAACTCTTGACTCGTGAGCTCTAGGTAGATGTGAAAGCTCTTCACAGACCGAACAGAAAACTTCTCGTTTTTCGCTCCCTATATATAGTTTGTACTCCTAACACTTTACCTATAAGTAATTTACAATTGCCCTGCACACCTGTGCATCAGGACGATCCCTATGGCAGCGTTGGCACCTAGATGGAAATGGCGACTGAATGCACACTCCCTCTTCGATTTTGGTAACTCGGTTACCTACCAAGCCTCTCATGCAAGAGTTGCTCAAATTCCTCTACTCAGTACTAGATATTCTAAATACCAGATTGAATTTGAACTTCTACAGGAGGGTGTTTCTACATATAGAATGAATAGTTCGTAACGTATGGAGATATATTCTCCGAATCAGCAGTGAGCGGTTGCAAGCAGGCAACGTACTTACAAACTGTGGTTAGGCACTCTATATGATTCGACTGATGGCATTGGGCCTTCTAATATGATGTCCCGGGATTTCCTGGCAAAACAGTTTGCGACTTTTGAGCTCCTTGACCTAGCGGATTCCCTGGCATGTCACTGCAATCGTGCCCCACAACCTCAACTATGGTGCTTATATTTCGGTTCTTTCTTTCTGATCCAAGGAAAGTGATTATGATTATGTAGGTCTAAACCTAGCACCATTAGTGTCACATTTATGGAGGGAAGCCCGACATACCAGGCGATCAACATACTACTGCCATAAACTAACGCATCACTAATCCATAATTATGCACTGCCTTTGTATCTATCCCCTCCAATGCTCACGACGAAGCGCTCTCCAATCGTTGCTTCGATTGCGGGTGATGCGGAGGATATTAAATTCCCTAACTGGTACGACGCACCGACGATGAGAGTTTCAAAGGCAGGGGGGGGGCATAGTTCTATGAGGTGAATGGGTGAATGCTAGTAGAAATGGTTAATCAATCATCGTCTCCATGATGGAAACTAACAGTCACCTACGGGACTCCTACTGAGATCGACGAGATGTAAGTCCTGTTATCGTCTATCTATTGCCTTCCTTGAATAGCGCTTATGCTTTCTGCAACCACCTGAGCAGGTTTGAAAAGAGAGTAAATCTTCGCAAGTTCCGCTACTATGTCACTGAAGCGCAAACCAATGCTTCCGAACAACGTGAATTGGCAACGCAACCAACACAGCATAGGCGGAGGCCTTTTTCCAATCGACGAAAGCGTGGAGATAACATATATAAGGCTTTCATGAGCACAATAATTGAAACACTGGGTGTCTAGTGCCAAAAGACCTAAGATAATTTCCTAGTCTGATTCTCCATCTTTGGTATACAGGGGGTTCAACCCTAGGGAGTATACCAGTTGCCAGTAAAGCCAGTCAAAGATCTCGCTTTCGTGCGGCTTTCTGTAGATTTCCTTGTCATTTATGTGGTCAGATACCATGCATATCTCTCAAGTTTGTTAGGATGTACAAGTTGTGTCTATATAAAGTGGCATTAGTAACGGCAACTTTACTAAAGGAGGCCGTTGATCCATCGGATATAACTCATTTATATGTACGGAACACCAAGTAACAATATCTTTATCTCGGTTTTCTTTAACTCCTTGAGGAAGTCGCTGCTTTTCCCCTCGACCAAAAACCAACATCGGCTGAAGGCCTAACTTTGCACCTCAATATACTTAACTTCTAGATACCCAGGCTTTCAAGTAGTAGGGACAGTACTGTACCAGCGCCAGAGCTTGTGCGCAGGGCAAAAAATTTAACTAGGCAGTGTACAGACTATGAACATTAACATGATCAAGTCGTGAAAGCGCTTGGTCCAAATTACTCGAAAGTGTTTTGGCTGCGATCAAAGCCATATCTGACATTCTCCCAAGGCACCTGAGTGCCTTGATACAGTTGTCGCACCGGTTATAAGCCAATTTAAGGAGACCTCCGTCTCCTCGAGGGATAGGCACGGATAAACCAATCTCTCTGACTAGGACGGTACCTGCGTTTGTAAAAGAGTGGATAAGTACCGCAGTCCATGGCTCTGTCAAGAATGCAGCTTGGTTTACAGATTCGTGAAAGTCTCGGAGCCTAGAGAAGCCTTGCCCGTCATATGAATATGTTGCGAGCTCTCCCACCGCAATGGCATTTTCACGTCTCAATAAGGGGACTACCCCCATTGCATGCCGAGATTTGGCTTGGATATCTAGACCGAGTTGTGTTCGATCAATGTCCTCAACTGTATCGGCCAGCATCATTGCCCCCAGATGCCAATGTGCCGCTAGTACTACATACCATGACTGTATGCGAGACGGAAGGTGGGCGTGTTGAGCCAGGCAGTCCAACATGAATTGCTTATAGGTCGAATTCCAGTAATCGTAAACTAAGAAAGCATTACGAATCGCTTCCTCAACATCCTCAGCTGCAGCTTGTCGATATACAAGGGTGTGTAGATGGCCGATACGACGGAATAACAGCACTTTTACCGGGGCAGCATCGGATAGAATGCCCGCGGCCTCCTCGTATGAGCACGGCCAGCGAGGCTGGTGGCAGTAGTAAACAGAGGTACGTTTATGAAGAAAAAGATTACCCCAAACACTTTTTTCATTTGTGATCCTCTTACCTGGGCGGATATCCCAGCCATCCAAATCGACCTGCTCGGCAGATGTACGCGACGCTGGTGGGGGGTATATGATCTGACTGTCCTCATCAGAAATTACTAGAGGGCGTTGATATAAAACGGATGTCAAGGTATCGGCCATCACGCCCAGCCAGAAGAGAAGGTTGAAGGTGTAACAGGCCTCTGAATTACTATTGATTTCGTTAACGTGCCCTGTATATTCTTCAGGATCTTTTCGGCACGGTCTAAGAACCCTGCTGGGGACTTGGCGCTGAAGTCTAGTCAGTCGGCGACGAAAAACGAACATCTGTCGGAGTGCCGCCTCGAGATACGTTGGTGCAGGATCATGTTGCATTAATTCTCCTAGTTCCCTGTTCTCCGCATAGTCTAGGGGGCGTTGACCAAGCGAAAACAATATGTTGGCAAAGGCCACGCGGAAGGATGGTAGTGCACGCGCTTCGTCTAAGGAGTAACGTGCTTGATCCCAAAGCATCTCGCGTATATCACTCTGGTGATCAGGTGAAGTTGGTGGGATGCGAATACAGCTTCCTCGCGAAGGGTCCCGAATCCACTGAGAAGCAAACGCCATTATTGTAGCACGAAGTGCCCTTGAAGCCATTCCATTCTCCGCACTTGTCAGGCTCCGACCCAAAACGCATGAAAAGGCCCAATCCAATTGGCAAACACGTCGGCATATTCGATTTGCACTGACAGGGATCCGGTCTCTGCCAATTGTCTCGGCAAGAGCAAGGCTGATATAAGGACAGTTGCGGTCCGTCAGCCAACAACTCAATGCATTCTCCACACTATCGTTATAAATGCACATCAAGGTTTGCGTCATCGTCGATTGTGCATACTCGTTTGCTACATGATTCGAATTAAGACAGAAGCTTCTGTTTGGGGGCATGAGTGAGGCCGCAGGTTCTGTTTGCGGGAGCACGTAAAGCGTGGACTCAGTATTGTCATCCTCGATACCAATCTGGGGAGTGCCAGTAGTGCCGTCAGATGATGGACCAACGCAGTAAATATCAGATCGGTCGAGGAATAAATTCTCATGGGGCACTTCCCAATCGTGACCGGTCCAGGAAGAACTTGAATCGGCAACTACGCGTGGTTCCTCACTAGTAATCCCCAACATACCTGCTCTCAAAGGGGGGCTAACAGCTGGGTGACAGGCTGGACCTCCCTTGCCCAACCAGCGAGGTTGTGAGCTTTCCTCGCCGACCGGCAACTGTGAGAGTGGATCCCAAGCCGGCATCAGGGGTGCCCGACTGGCGATGCTGTGGGGGGTGGGCCGCATAGAATCATGATTATTTGGCCCGGAATGGGCGGATGGAGCTTGCCGGGGTGTTGCCTGCAGAGAAGTAGCAATCGCAATGTTTCTAGCTTTCTTCGTCGAACGACGAGCTGAGGCTTTGTGACTGAGGAGCCAGTCAAACGTGCATTTCCTTCTATATCTTTTGCAGTTGGAGCAAGAGAGCCCCCAATCGTCCTGGAATTGCTCACCAACAAGTGTGGATATTGAAGAAGTGGGCGTCCTCTCTGCATCATCTCCGAGCAGGGCATCGCATGCCCTCTTCCCCTTTCGGCATTGATCGCAGCTATGATGTTGGCGACGGCGGTAAGGCATATTTTGTGGCAGAGTGGTACGTTACACCACTAGGTAGGGAATAGGAGGAGTATCGAACCAACAATCTCGGGAACGAGCTGGGGAAAAGGCGGGGTAAAGGCTAAGAATGTTCATCAATCGATTGAGGCTATTTATATCGCTTGGCGGATCCTTTGGCCCGAGGCATTTTTAGATCACTCCCAATCCGGAGGTTTACGAAGTGCATTTAAATAAGAGAAATAAAGCATATGTTTTGGATAAGGCTTTGGACAGTAAAGATTGTAATTTGCTGCTGGTTGACTCTAGATTCTAACTACTTCAGCCTCTAACAACATGGAAACCAGTGAAGTCTGGTAAGGCTGCTCGGATCTCCTTGGAATAGGCATACTCCCCTCCCGCATAATTGACCTGCTCAAAGACCTTTCCAGGCATACTGCCACCCATGTAGGTAGACTTGGTGGTTGGGAAGAGACTCTTGTCGGACAATTCATTGATCTTGGCCTTCCATGCTTTGGCAGCCTCCTGTGTTGGATCAATGTACTTTATGCCTTGACGCTCCATCTGCTTGATGGCATCCGCAATCCACCGACCCTGGATCTCCACGGTGGTTGGACCATTGCTCAGCAGAGTTGGGCCATGAGGCCCGTACAGATGAAACATATTAGGGTATCCACTGACCGTCATGCCCAGATAGGTGAAGGCGCCTGACTTCCATTCATCCTGGAGGTTATCCCCAAGAATACTGCGCAGTCCCATGCTGGTCATACCCCCGGTGGCAATATCAAATCCAGTCGCGATGCACACGACGTCAAACTCGTATTCCGTTCCATCCTGCAGCCGGATCCCTTTTTCGGTGAATTCTGCAATGCTATTGTCTTTAATATTCACCACATCGACGTTCGGGCGGTTGAATTGTTCAAAGTAGTCATATTCCAAGCAGGGGCGCTTCACCCCCCACGGATGTGGTGGCTCAACGGGCGCCAGGAGCTCTTGGTGCTTGGGGTCATGAATACGCTCACACACCTTCTTCCTCCAGAAATCATAGACGACCCGGTTTGCCTTGGCTTCAAACAGATAATCCTTGTAATTGGCAACCCAGTACCGAAAGCCCCCTTCGCTCCACAACTGCTCGAAGAATCGCTCACGCTCCTCCTCACTGTCTTCAAATAGCCCTCTTTCGCAGAAGGTGTACAAGAACCCGGCAAAGCATTTCTCGCGATACCGGAAGAGTTCCGGATAGAAGACCTTGGAGGCTTCTTGTTCCTGGGCCGTCAGCGATCGCTTGCGCATGGGGACAGCCAGATTGGGTGTGCGCTGGAACACCTTGAGCTCTCCAGCTTCCGGTCCCCAGGCTTGCGTAACCTGGACCCCAGAGGCACCGGTCCCAATGATCGCGCAGCGTTTCTCACGCACATCCACCTTCTCGTCCGGCCAAAACGAGGAGTGGTGGACAATCCCCTGGAACTTCTCGATCCCGGGCCACTCTGGGATATAGCGCTTAGCCGCGAAGCCTGCCGCGATGATGAAGTACTTGGCGCGCGCCGTCCGGCCGTCCGCCGTCCGGATCTGCCAGCGCCCTTCATCCGGATCGAACTGTGCGCCCACGACGACACTGTTGAAGGCGCAGTCCTTCTTGATGTCCAGGACGTGGCTCACATGGTCAAAGTACTTGCGCAGCTCCTCGTAATTTGGGTAGTTTGTGGACCATGTCCAGTCCTTCCAGGTCTCCGGGATGGACAGCTGATATTCGGGGATTTCGGAGTCTACGGCTGCGCCAGGATAACAATTCCATCGCCAAGTCCCACCCACGTCGTTACCGGCCTCGTAGATAACCGCTTTGAGTCCGAGCTTTCGCATTTCATGCAAACAGTAAATACCGCCGAACCCAGCGCCGACGATCAAGACGTCAACATCCAGGCGATCGGCGTAGTTCCCATTTGCGGCGCGGAACGAGGCATCGTCGGCAAGCTCCCGTCTGACAGGCATAGCTTATGAAGACTCAGGGAGAATAGCAAAAAGAGGAAAGCACTAGAGGAGAAATATGAAGGTGTTCTGTCAGAAATGTCACAAGAGGTTTGGAGAGAGGTATTCGGGAAAGAATATTGCGGTACTAGATCCCCTCAGCCCCAGGGAGCAGCATCACTATATACCCTCATTATTATCACCAGACGCAAGAAGCCAGGTCGTCCTAACCGACGGAGCCGCTCGTGTGCAGAAACCACTTATGCACCACTCCTCCATGAGGTAAAAATATCCTTCTTGGTTTCCTGGTCAATTGTCCTCTGCAACCGTACACCAATGAATGTAAGCCGAGCTCCTGGGGGGTACCTGTCCGATTGAGAGGGAGCTGCTTAGGTGCAACCAGGGTTTGCATAGTGTCAAGTCCTGTCGGCCTATCTGAAGCAACTCTGTCTGGCGGGATGAAACGCCGGCCATGCACACCCCCGTGAAATAGTTAACTAGGCGTGCGGATCCGCATCGACATTTTGTGGCCCGGAACACCTCGGAGTGATCGGCGTTCATCGTGAGCTCACCCTCGAATGACCATGGAACCCCCCGCATGCGGAACCGACTCTGCATATCAAAGGTGGCTTGGCAAGCATTAGTGAAGGTGCGTTCTAGCTCTAGCATCACATTTCTTCTTACCCCCGCAGCTTAACTCGATATGTCAGGGCCTGCATTCTGGACGCGCGGGCCCCTGTAGATGGTCTTTTGCCGAGACCGTGCCTCGATCTACGCAGTTATGTAGAAAGCGTCTTGCCGTACGATTCAAACATTCATCTTCGTGTTCCTCTTGTCTCTTTGCAATCATTGCATTTGACCCTGACCGTCATGATGACCAATTTCGACGCGCAAACAGCCAGTTCACTAAAGCGTCGAGTGGAAGAGGCGTGTACTGACCAAGAGAAAGGGATCCCCGGCGCGGTGGTCGTCGTCGTGGGAAAGGACGGTCACGAATACTTTGCCCATGCCAGCGGTAAACGGGGATATGGCTCATCGGAGCCTATGACGGTTCAGAGCGTCTTTTGGATCGCCTCGTGCACCAAGATGATCACCGGGATTGCGTGCATGCAGCTGGTGGAACAGGGCCTTCTCACCTTGGATGATAGCACGCAAGTCGAGGGTCTCTGTCCAGAGCTGAAAGAGGTACAAGTATTGCAGCCCGATGGGAGCCTCGTCGAGAAGAAACAGGGCATCACCTTGCGCATGCTGCTTACCCACACTGGTGAGAAACTCCCCCCAAAACCCATGATGATTTCCCCCAGACTAAAGTCTGACTATCTCACTATAGCTGGCTTTGGCTACTCATTCTTCAACGAGAAGCTACGGGACTATAGCAAACCGATCGGGTACAACGAATTCTCGGGGTGCATGTATGATATGCGGCAGCCGCTGGTCAATCAGCCCGGCGAGAGATGGGAATATGGGGTAAGACTCTCCGCTGCGAGCGAGGATACCGACCTAACAGAACATGCTAGATTAACATCGACTGGGCGGGCGTTGTGGTGGAGCGCATTACGGGCCTGTCGTTGAATGACTATTTCCATCGCCACATCTTTGAGCCTCTGGGGCTGCAGGAGATATCCTTGTTTCCCAACGCGCGGATGCAGTCCAAGCTGGCACATATGAACTCCCGGGCACCCGGTGGGCAGTTAACACCGCGCGATCATCTTCTTCGGCGGCCCTTGATCATGGAGAAATCGGAAGAGGGGCTCGCTTGCTTCAACAGTGGGGGCGCCGGATGTTTTGCGACGCCTCAAGATTATTGCCAAATCCTCGCGACGCTGTTGAACGACGGCATCTCGCCCACCACCAACCAGCAGATCCTCCGTAAGGCGACGGTCGACATGATGTTCCAAAATCAAATCCCCCAGTTCCCCCAATTTGCGTCCCAGGAGATTCCGCCCTCGAAAGCGGACCTCACGAACCGCATTCCGCATCTGTATCCCTCGACAACTCCGCAAGGGTGGGGGTTCACCTGCATGCTGACCGGAGGGGCGACAGGCCGTTCGACGTACACGGGCCACTGGGCTGGACTTGCAAACCTGTGGTGGTGGTGTGACCGCGAGAAGGGGGTCGCCGGTATGGTTTGCACCCAGATACTGCCCTTCGCCGATGCTCAAGTGCTTGGATTGTGGATCGACGTTGAGTCGCTGGTGTATCAGGGGCTGGCTTGAATCTGAATCATCCTAGTTGCTAGATTGTTCTTCATTGAGACGGCGTGTGGGCATCTGTCTGTCGACGTATAAATACATATATATATATATATCTATATTTCAAGCTTTGATCAATTGAAGCGCTGCATTGTGAGAGGAGAGTGGAAACACTGCTAATCCATTATCCCAAAACGAAAAGAAAAAAAAATCCAAAAAAAAATGTCTGATAAACTATGCATTTCTTCACTTCAACTCCATCTATCTGGAATAGGAAAGACAACCTCTTCCATGCGGGGGAGAATGAAGGTTCGTGGGTCAGTCGTGATAGACCGGCAGCTAGTTCTAATCTAGTTTAGACAACGTCTTGGCAGTTGAATTCGCTGCATTTTTAGAGCCCTAGAGGGATCCAAATTGTAGATCTTCTCCCCAAGACGCAAGGGCCGGAAGGGGGCTGAGTCGTAGGTGTAGGTAAACTCCTCCAGTCATGATCGATCTATGGATCGTGTTCCCCCACGGAGCAAGGGATCTTGGCGCAAGCTTAACCCCCCCAATATTAGGTATCCCCCGCACTGATTGTGTCGATCTGACATGAAGGGATAGCCGAGGTGTTGGCTACTTTCTGGATGATCAACGGTCTGCTTACCTTCACTCTCTCCGTTCTCCTCTCCTGCACACATCCTTTCGGCCGCAGCGTGACTAGACCCTCACTCGCCATCGCAAACTACCACCATGTCGGCGGACGAGAAACCACCCAGTGAGCAGCGGATACCAGACATCACCGATATGGAAAAGTACCCAGTGGCCGAGAAAATCCTCCCAGGGTCGCGGCTGGAGCATTTGGAGGACCCGGATGAGGGATTGGACGAGGAAGAAAAGGCAAAAATCGTAACTATCATCCCTACACAGGATCCTGTTTTGTATTGATCTGACACACGCACGAACCTAGGATCGAGCTTTACTCTGGAAGCTCGACGTCCGATTGATCCCGTGGCTCAGTTTGCTGTATCTGATCTCCTTCCTCGATCGCACCAATATCGGCAACGCCAAGATCGCGGGTTTGCAGGAAGATCTCCGCATGTCGAACGGGCAGTACAATGCCTCCCTGACGATCTTCTTTGTGTCCTACTCCATCTTCGAGCCATTGACCAATATCCTCCTGAAGCGGATGCGCCCCAGCGTCTTTATCCCCATTATTATGGTATCCTGGGTAAGATGGTCGGCGAGGGCCACGAGGGGACGCCCGCTAACGCATCTTCGTAGGGGATCTGCATGACGTGTATGGGCCTGGTCAAGAATTTCTCCGGTCTGATGGCGGTACGTGGCATCTTTGGAAACCCCCCCCGATCAAGATGTGTCCCCTCTGACGGAGCATGGATAGGTGAGGTGGTTCCTCGGCTTGAGCGAAGCTGGCCTGTTCCCCGGGATCGGGTACTTCCTCTCGTGCTGGTACAAGCGGTCGGAATTCGGGGTGCGCATGGCCATCTTCTTCTCGGCCGCAGCCCTCGCGGGATCCTTTGGCGGTCTTCTTGCTGCCGCGATTGCCCTGATGGATGGGGTCGGGGGGAAGCCCGGCTGGTCGTGGATCTTTATTCTGGAAGGCTTGGTGACCGTCGTGGTCGGCATCTTATCGTTCTGGATGGTCTTTGACTTTCCCGATGAAGCCAAGTTCCTGGAAGAAGCCGATCGCAAGCGGGTGATCTACCGGCTGGCACGCGATCAACAGGCCAGCGCCGGCCATGAGAAATTCGAAATGACCTATTTCTGGAGCAGCCTTAAGGATTGGAAAACCTATACCGGGGCAGTCATCTATATGGGGGCCGATGGGGCCTTGTACGCCTTCTCGTTGTTTACCCCGACCATTATCAATCAACTAGTAGGTGATGTCGAAAGTGGATGACCATCAACCGTGCTGATCACTGACCAATCCCAGGGTATCAACCCACTCTGACATCCGTATCACTCCTGTACGATGTGTATATTGACCGACTACACAGGGTATAAAGCCATCCACGCGCAGCTTCTGAGTGTGCCCCCATACGCCGCCGCGACGGTGGTCACCATCGCTGTGGGGTTCATTGCGGACCGGACGCGGCAGCGGGGGATCTGTAATATCCTCGTCTCGCTGGTGGGCATCGTGGGCTTCTCCATGCTGCTGGGAGCCAAATCCGCAGGCGCACGATATGCCGGAACCTTTCTGGGTGCCATGGGCATCTATCCGGCCATTTCCAACACAATCTCCTGGGCCAGCAATAATACCGAGGGTAAGCCACGTCTCTCCGTGCTGATGTTGAGTGCGCCATAACTGACCGTGGCAACCCAACAGGCGTCTACAAACGAGGCGTCACGTTGGGCATCGTGATCGGCTGGGGAAATCTGAATGGTATCGTCTCCTCGAACATATACCGTGGGGATGACGCTCCGGATTTCTATCCCGGTCATGGAACTGTTTTGGCCTACCTGGTTCTGTTCTTGTTCGGGGGCTCGGTGGTGCAGTATATTCTCCTGCGACGAGAAAATGCCAAGCGTCGACGGGGGGATCGCGATCGCTGGGTACAAGGCCTGGATCCGAGGCAGATCGACCTCCTAGGCGACAAGAGGCCCGACTTTTTGTACACATTGTGATCCTCTGTGCTAATTTAATCCGTATAACGTCTTGATCGGGGACGGTGAAAGCCGGGCTCGACACTCGCTCTCATGGGGATACGTACGGAGAGATTAATCTAACTGAATGGGGCAGGGTTATAGCCAAAAGAAATTGTAGCTAGTCAAGTATACTCTGTACATGACGTGAATGGACACGCTGGACAGCATTCAAATAGTTATTGCATGCCAAAAAGGGGGATGGATTTCACGCACGGTAGAGCCAAGCCGATCTGGACGGCAAGATCAATCTTTTTGTCAGCCGTATCTTTCCCGGATCGTAGACATTCGTCCTGAATCGGAGGACAAGGCCTAGCCCGATCCTCATTCTTCGAGAAAGGTTACCCTTCCCAACGATGGCCTCCGAGAAGCCTACCGAGGAAATCTTCCCGCTCTCTACTTGGTAGCCTACAATCTCCGGTACAAAGGGCATAAAATTCCGATGCTAACTTGTACGCGTAACAGGTAGTAGACTCGGGAAGAATAGTGGAACGTTGAATCCGTAGAAAATCCATCACAATTCCCAGCGCTGGGGTAACAAGATAACGGCCCGAGCAGCAGGACTTCATTCTGCAAGAGATATCGCATAGACTGGCAGAAATGATGAGCAATTGAGAGGTAATCTCTGTAACGGCCAGAGCAGAATAGGGCTTAACCGCTTCAGGGACCTCAGATGGAATGACTTGCATGGACCCATTGCAACACTTCTGCTTATGGGATTCTTAATGGAAGCAGCCGTTGTGTGTATATATACTATGAACGAAAAGGCTGTGAATAATAAATACAAGTATCAAGTATTAAACTCAGACATCCTTACTCTGTGATTGCTGGACGTTTTCCCCCTTCTATATGTGCCTTCCGTTTCTCTTCTGCATGATATCGCCAAGTACTGTAGGGGTATTGACGAATGGGATGTGGAAACAAAGGTCGGCGTGTGAAGGAGAGTCTCTATACAGTAGTAGATTGGCGCCATTCCGAGATAGGGTTAGTTTAGATAACCTGACTAAGATGTTACTAAGAGATAATTTTCACACTCTCATTGTCGTCGTCGTGGTGCCAAATCGACCGCAGAACAATATATCCGTAAAGAACCCGGACATATAAGTCTGCGGTTACATCAGTTGGAGCGGCCTCCAGTCACCATGGCTCCTCCACCTGCTGACCGCGTCGCGAGGATAATGCTTTCTTGGCACTCGCTCGACCTCGTCTCGTGCACCACACTACAAACTTTGTGGGCAGGGTACGGACACATCTGTGCCATCACTGCCCGAGCTACCACCGACGAAGCGGCGGAGCATGTGGGCAAGCTTTGCGGGCTGGACTCGGGAGCCGCTGGAACCACCTATCCTCTCATCCTGAAGCTCATCTCACCTCCAAGGAAAAGCGCGGGAGATGAGGATGAGGGCCACCTGCGAAAGATCCTGAGTTACGAGGTAGAGCAGTACTTTTACAGTGATGTGGTTCCGCTGCTAGGCGACGACATTGCGGTTGCCAAATGCCTGGTTTCGACGCGAGACATAGATGGCGTGGAGGGACTCGGAGATCTGATGGCCACCGTCATGGTCGATCTGCGTCCAAAGTTTCCCGTCGCAGGCGGAAAGAGGAGCGTGCTGAGCCGCACACAGGTCTGTGGGGCGCTGGACTGGCTGGCCCGCTTCCACGGCCGCTCGTGGGGACTCTTGCCAGATGGTCTTGACGAATATCTCTTACCACCCCTCGAAGAATTCCGTAGAAGACAGACCACAGGCAAAGATATGGGGAGCGGGCTGTGGCTGAACGGCGGGTATACCTACCTTGCGACACGACGTCAAGAATACGCTTCGCTAGCTCAAGACACCGACTCGGAGTGGTCAAAGGCCATGTGCACGGCCTCAGAAGGCTCTGAACTCTCCATCGCTGAGATGGCTGCATTGTTCTTAACCCCTTGTGGCAGGTCGATTGAATCGTACATTCATGGCGACGTCAAGTCAGAGAATCTCTTTACAACAACTAGCGGAGACGAGGTAGCGTTCTTTGACTTTCAATATGTCGGGCTCGGCCTGGGTGTCTGTGACCTCGCCAAACTGTTTACCTGCTCGGTCCCTCTGCGTATGCTGGTTGACACGGATGAGCCGGTGCCCAAGCAGCTGGCGATGTGTGATGGGGAGAAGCAACTGCTCAAGCGGTACCGCACGAATCTCCTCCAGAATACCGAATCGGACCTGTATGAATGGGAAACATTCAAACGACACTGGGAGACGGCTCTGGTGGATTGGTGTAGGTTCCAGGCCTCCTGGGGCTTTTGGGGAAACACGGAGTGGCTCGAGGCCCGTGTAAGATCAATTTTAGCCGACCAGGAATGGAGAGACTGGCTGCATCAGGCTATCAGCAGCAGGGGCGGTTGAGGGTGAACCCGATAAGCGGAGCTCCATCAAGCGCGTTTGATTCTGTATTAAAGATTCCCGTTAGGCCCTAACAAATTAAGCAGGGTTTCCGGCCAGCATAGAAAAAGATATAATATATAATAAATACTTGGCCAGTCGATAGACCGATTAGATAGTCAAAGTATGCCACTGCATAATATATTTCTCAGTAACTACATGTATCGTGATGCGTTCATAATGACCTCTTCCCTCCGTCGGCAATGTGACCAGTTATACTTTAATAATTTTCGGTGTCTCTGAATTAAAAAACAATTCATCCCGGAGTTTAGAACAATACCTAAGCGACTATCTCTGTCGTCTATCATGGATAGAGGCTAACGAACTATATATATTATACTACTATTTTCTTCATGCTGCCATGCGGGGAATTTAGAAAAAGATGCCTATAGAATCGTACCTCAGTGAATAGTAGAAAGCTACCACTGGATACTATTACTCGGAATATGGGACTCTTAGTTTGACAGTTAACCACACTGACAATATACTATAGTATTTAAATGTTGTATGATTATTATATGATACCAAGGAATACACCACTTGTCCTCACAGTTTGCGACATTGACTCTGGTAGCAAGTTTCATGTTAACTGCGGAGATGTATGTGTGAGGCAATCGCTTCTTTTCATTTTCACGTTTATATATACTAGACAAAGAGTATTAATGAATCAATCAGGTAATGCTGGATTGAGCTAAATGTGTCGTAGCAAATACCACAACTGCTTACCGTTCAATCACAGAGCTGAGCAGTCCTCTCACTAGAACTAGGTGATTCACACCATCCTAGTTCGCCTAACCATATGCCAGTAAAACTTGCCGGAGGTGATATAAATGGTCTATCACGATGTGTTAGGCAAGATCTGGACCACGCAGTTTCAAGTTGTAAACACACTTGATCACCTTATGCAGATAAAATCTCTTTTCTAGGTCCAGGCAATGCAGCAAAGCTGCAAGGGATTGGCTATCAGGGTCTAGATTATCGAGAAGAGAACTTAGACCCCAGAATGCTTCGCAACACAGAGTAGGATGGATAAGTGATTTGTGAGCTTCTAGATCGTCCGATGGAATTTGCTTGACTCTGCAACACTTCCCGACTAATCGCACGCAAAGGTGCAAGGTCGAGAGATCATCTAATCTATAATCCTGGGTTGGAAAGCGTCTATCTGTTCTCAGAGGGCATTATCAAGGTTTCATATGTTTAAGCTGATATCGATCCTTTTCCCTTGCGTGCTGGTCGTTTCGAGAGTAACCGCCACCGAAATCTATAGCCCACGAAGGGAGTTGATTATCTGCAGCGTATCTGAAAAATGGAAACCAAGTAAATACACCCAGGTCACGGTCGTGCCTAATGATGTATGCTGTGGTCTCATGCATCACTCTTCCCTCTGACTTATCGTAATTGGGACATAAGGATATTTTTCCAGGCTGGGGTCAATTATACTGAGAAGCGCATACACTCGATCATGCGGCACAGTGCAATTACGGGGGCAGGTCAGTTCAAGAAGGGTTTGTAAGCGGCGGGGCACGGTCTTAAACAATTCAGAAGACCCAACTCCTCTGGAAAGAGGTTCACGGATAGAATTGTATAGCACGATCCAATTCTTTTATCTTCCGGACATGAACAGACTCTCCACCATCACGTTCCTGTTAACCTGTTGGAAATTCGCTGATGAGACTAACAAATTCTTGCCATTCACTGACAATTCCAGTCATTGTGAAGAGGTCAAGGCCACGGAAGGACCAATTACCCCACAGAATGTATGTTTTTCCATTGGCCAGCCACTCTTGAAATGTCCATAGTCTGAACCAGTATGGTCGATTCAAGATATCCAAAGTGCCAATGTAAGCACTCCCTAGACTCAATTGGCGGTCATGTTCATCGGGTCACAAGATCTTCTTCGCATCACTAGGTCCATAGAAGTATCGGTTTGAGCCCCGACCTTTTTTCGCAAAATCTTTAGCATGTCGAACTGCATCCCTAACATGCGTTGTCGCCTCTCCAATCCAAGCAAATACGGTTATTGCACTGGAGTAAATTTGGTACATCAACATAATCTGCCCCCTTTTCCCCTTTTCATCATCAGTTTGATTGATGCAAATGTAGTTAGCCCAGGCAATGGGGGCACGTTGAGAGCGTAGAGCACAAAGCGCGGCCTTCAGGTTTAAACCTCATTATTATCAATCATAATGGGTTCTTTCTGCGATGGATCTGATCTCCCCAAACACATGAGAGCGCGATGAACTCAGGTTTATCATCCAGAGATACAACCCTGAGCTCTCCCTTAAGTGTATTTTGTCTCTCTTCATCAGGCATGATGTGGAAGAGCCGAATCTCCTTATGCTTATCATTTAAGTGTGTATAGTTGGGAGACATGCTGGTTGGGTCTCTTGCGGAGTTGAAAGGAATTTCCACTTCGGAAATATTGATTCTTGATTTATTGACCTGGTATAAATGGATATGTAGTAAGAAAGGTGTGCAGGTCCTTCTAAAACAGTCTAGGTTAAATAAACTCATCTGAGTAATAGCGTGATAAAGGACCAGGCTGAACACAGCCTCACGAGAAATACGTTGGCACGTCCACGTCCAATTGATAGCCTCCGGTTCCTAATATTATCCCTGCCAGATACACAGCCTTGCAACTACATGCACCGCCTCTATAATGAATAAAGCCCGATGCCTTAAGGAAGCCTAGCGTGAGGTAGTTATTGTCGGCCTATGATATTTGAGCGCCAGGCTTAATCGTACCGCTCTATTATATATAAACTAGTCATTATATATGCTATAGTACGTTCTAATGACCTTCCATCTGTGGGCTCTTTGATTAGTTATACTCTAATAGTTTCTAGTGCCACAGATTAGCCCTGAATCTAAAAACTACGGAAGGGACTATCTTCACTGTTTAGTAGACCAACATAAATAATTTCTCGTTATATACTAAATCTTTTATCTCCCGCCTTTTTAGGGTGTTTTAGAAAAAAAGTATCTAAAGAGTCATACCTCCTCTATTACTCTTAGAATGCTATCATTCGAATACGGCAGTGAACCAAACTAATGTAATCCTTATCTATTGAATTGCTGTAGAATTCTTGCACCGTGTAAAGAAATATGTTGTTTTTTCTTATAGCTTACAAAACTTTCTCCAATACCATGACACATATCCACTCTAGAAATATGCGAGGCAATTGCTTCGCTTTACTTTCTAAGTGCATACATATCATATAATGATCATTGAAAAGTAAAAATTAGGCAATAATATAGTAATATAAATGCATGTTAGTGAGTGCCACCCTTTCTGTTACCACAAGCCAGAGCCATCTTTCCAACTAGTTTAACCAAATTACGCTACCCTGTCTAACTTGATTATACACTAGTATAACAGCCTGCAAGTGCTTTTAATAGGGTATCATAATGTAATAAAAAGGGTCTCAACCACGACTTTTGAGCTGTGAGTACTATGAAAGATCATCCCTGTCACGGATAGAGGTTTAAGCAATCAGTTGAACGAGTGGTAGTCACATGACCCTTTGTCTATAAGGGCAGCACAACACAATAGCTTTATGCTTTCTTTTCTTTTCCTCTCTTTAGCTTAGTCTCTTCACGATAGACTACCTAATCAACTAATGATTCAGTCGAGTCCCTTACAATCCCAAGGAATTCTATATCATTGGCTTATTATCCTCATAGCTTAAGATATTCATGATAGATTTTCTTTCCGATAATATGGTGGAGGGTTTCTGTACTTGGAGGAATATCTACAGGGTCTCATTCATGAGTTGAGGAGCCGCATTTGCTTATTGCCTGCCCAAATATATTCAACTTTGTTGTGGTTAGGTCGACCAAGCAGATACATATATATTCCATGTCACTCTTTCAGGGCCGTGCTCCGTTACTCAAAGTTGTTCATTACAACAACCATGTAATGGGACATAATGCCGATAAATAATTATGGGTACGGATTATAAATCGAATTAAAGGGTGTGAAACGGACTAAACCAAATATAACGCCTTATCTGGAGAGGTATCGAGAATGCGGGATTCCGTATTACCCAGTAATCTACCGCATTCTAAGACGTGCAGTCATGGAAAGAAAGAGTCTGATATCTGACCTAATGATAAATGAGCAATACTTATAGACCTGAAAATGATCATCGAATAATGCGATATCATGGTGGTATGGTGTAATCGTGGCCTAGATGGTGACCGAGGGACTAATCTGAATTGAGTAGAATAATGGCTAATAGCGGGAGCATTAGTGGTAATTTTGGTTGCTTCGACATGCCCAGACAACGAGTGTTTGCATAAAAACAAGTCGCCCCACTAGGATAGATTTAAAATAGCCAAAGTCTCGATCGAGCCTAGACTTGGGCGTGTTCGTAAGCCAGCAATGCACGTGATATCATGGGACCTATATATTTATCTACATATATAAACGGCAAATCCGTAAGCAAATGGTAACTGTCCATCATTATTTCGCTTCGTTTCAAGGGTTACCATTACTGTCTGCGAGCAATGCGATTCTCAACGCTGGATCTATTGATTTGTTCTACTTGTGGTGTTCAGTACGACGTTAGTGCAGGACTGACTTCATGCAAGATCTGTGACGATCCACGTCAATATGTACCTCCAACCGGGTAAATTTCCCGTGTTCCTTCCCTCTAGCTAACTGGGAGCTAACGCGGAGTTCAGCCAATCATGGACATCCCTCAGAAGCTTGCACTCATCGAAGGAGGGATATCGTAATGTCTTCTCCACCGACCCAGATAATCCCAACTTAATCACCATACACACGGTCCCGAAGCTGGCTATCGGTCAAAGGGCCTTCCTTATTCTCGGGGGTCCTACCTCTGGGAACGTTCTGTGGGACTGTATTACTTATCTCGACGAGGAAACTGTTCGGCACGTGAACTCACTGGGCGGGATCCAGGCCATTGTTATTTCGCATCCGCACTACTTCTCCACCAGTATTCAATGGGCGGAGGTCTTCAATTGTGATCTATTCATATCAGCGGAGGACGAGCAGTGGCTTGGAAACAGGGCTGACGGCCGCAGACTGAAACTTTGGACCGGAGAGAACCTTCCTCTCCTGTGTTCTCACGTCCCAGGTGAAACTCAAGGCGAGTCAGACCTAATCGTTCTTAAGACAGGAGGGCATTTTCCCGGAAGCTCTGTTCTATGGTGGAAGTCAGCCAGGAAGCTGTTCATTGCCGATACAATTTTGATTGTTCCGAGCGGACTTTACCATATTGATCGCCTCCCCGGTACCGCGTCTTTTACATTCATGTGGTCCTATCCAAACTACGTGAGTTGTGGTCCTTTTCCGGTGCTTTAAACTTAGCTTATTATGTTACAGATTCCCCTTCCTCCAGATGATATACATGGTATTTGGAAAGCCATCAAAGATATCGACTTTGAGGATACCCATGGTGCCTTCTTAGGACAGGATATTAGAGGCAACAGCAAAGGAAGGGTGTTGGTAAGCGCCAAGATTGTAGTCAGAGCATCTGGTCATCTGCAACATCCATTGCTGGAAGAAGTCTAGCCGGGCGTTGACTTTTCTTTTTTTTCCTTTTTGTTTCTGTTTATCATCAGTTGGCTATATCGACGCATATTTGGGTTTAAGGACTAGGTCGTAATTAATTCCCCGGCGAGACGGCTACTCCAAGCGAGCCGGCCCCAGAATAAACCCCTCAGAGAAAGCTTTATATGACCACAGCACCAATTTAATATTTTCAGCACTTTTTGAGTCTGGCTGATCAATTATTGTCTTAACCCTTCTAAGTGACTCCACATGCCGCGCCAAATCACCTCCATACTTATAAAACAGCAGATAATGATCATTTGCCGAAGTGCCGATGAAGGTTGTTTGCTCAGCAGGTCCAGGATCACTGCATTATCGAGCGAGTATGCAGGCGCAACGATGAGCTGCACCTCCGCATCTACCGCTGTGGTCATTCCTGCAGGATTATACTTTATTATTTCGCCGTCATCGAGAGGCTTTACCGATGGCTGTTGGGTTCCGGGGATTCCGGCATCTTTATGGAACGTATAACGATGGTTGGCTATCCCAATCCCAGCCATCGCAACATATACTCTGTTGCTAAATGGACAGTAGCATGAGAGTAGTGATAGTCAGGTTAAGTAAGATAAGTGTGTTATGGTTGGAAGGGCCTGTTGATTCTTCAAGGATCTTTGTTGGACGTTATCTACTTCATTTCATGGCCACTTGGTGAGAGACGTCGAGAAACATAAATACCCTCATGCTTCCCCAACAAGTTGATGTAGTATTCAGGTTCAATCATCTAGCCCAATGTTCAAGGCTCGTAATATATTCGTTTCCCTTCTACGTTATGATCCATCGTTGTGTCGGCCAACGGTCGTAAGCAGCTCAAGCCTCGTCTCGCAACCGTATAGTCGCCTGCAATGGGGATGAAGTTAGAAAGATAGCCGTTTCCGGAGTCCTTTCTATGCGTTTTGGTACTCTAGTGACTGTTGTCTCATCTCGGGATTCGGGAGCGGGCTGGAGGGCCGACAAATCTCGTTCGGTGTCCACAACAGCAGACACGGGGGTTGAAGGGACAGGGCGTATTTAAACCCCTCCAGCTCGTGTGATTTGCCCACCATTTATCTGACGTATATAACCTGCGGTTAGCATAATTCTGGTGATTATCTTCTAGTGAGCCATTCCTCTAATTTCAGGGTCCCAGTACATATTCTACTGTTGATAATGAATTCGAAAGTCGAGGTGCTCAGTGATGTTGGGCATCGTCTGATCTAGGAGGACATCGATCGGGCCTGTCAGGTTCTCCAGCAATTTCTTCTAGATTAGCATATGTGTAAGGTACGCGTTCCTGATTGGGATGGAATCCTCGCGGAAGAGCAAACATCACCAGTCAAGTTCTGACAGAAATCTGAATCCTATGTTCTGTGAGTTGCTGCATAATACTTAATTCAACCCGGATCATCATTAGGTCTTAGCTTCGTTGCTGACAGCCGGTGAGGAATTATGCTTGTCGCACTGGGATAAAGTCGGCACATCAACCTAAGTTGCCAGCCTTTCTCCTTCCCATCATACTTTGATTGATGCGAATGTAGTAGATGATTCCGGCAGAGCGGTGCAGAGCAGAAAGCGCCCTTCTAGATTGGCTAGCATAGACACATTATTATCGACCATATTCTTAAACAATGTAAATATTGTGGGACAAGAAGATGTTAACCAAGTACCACGGGGCCTAGATTATAACCACGTTCTACGATGATGTACTGAGATTGGCTTTCCACAGATTCGCTCATGACTTGGTACGCGGTCAACTTCTGCAGGTTAGGCAGATAGCATATCGTCATCCAGCTCATCAAAAGTTTGGTTCATCGCCGAACCAGACTCCTTCCGCGTGCGGCCTAGTTAGCCACGAAAAATATAACACGGCACTTAAACCTTATGAATAGGCCCTGCTGATTATCTGCTGACCGACGTAGAGCTTATTTGATTTCCAAGGGAGGAGGATCGGCAGATTATAAGGCAGTCATCAACGTATATTATGTGCTTGGCTCAGTTAGGAACCAGACAATCACCGAACTAATGTGACACTATGACAACAATCTTTCTTGGTTCTATACTACATAGGGCCGCTTTTTCTAACCCTCATAATACATTCTCAGAGACTGATCTGACAAAAAGTAAATACATTGGTCAATGCCACCCGGACTAGGCGACCTAGATTATGCTTCCCATGGGTAGGTATATTTGTGGTGTGACATGCTTTCCAAAGTATTAATCTTACTATGAACGGTGCCGATTGAACCAAGCCAAGGTAAAGAAATGCGAACAGCTAGGCAGTTAAGGTTCTTCACCGGGTAGATACCACACTTCGTTTCCAGCGCCCTATTAAAGTTACATAAATCCCCTTAGAGTATGTCACGGATGTATTATTGTCTATTCTCCTTCGTATATCGAGACAAACACGAGTATCCAGTACGTCCCCTAGATTAATCTTCACCCGCCTTCTCTCAGTTCCTTTCAAAAGCACCACTACTACGCATGTACTGACTTTTCAATCTAGGATGAAGAGACAAAGAGGGCTCCACTTCAAATATTGCTAGAAACAGAAGAAATTGACGCCTTCGTCTTTCCAGAGCTATAAGCGGTCAATTCCGCATAGCTACAGCCATGGGTCCTTCTCTACCTCCTGGTGACAACCACACATCTGCAAAGAACAAAATCGGCGAAGTGCTGACCGCACCCCCCGTCCAAAGGCGGGTCGACCTCTTCCGGAAGCTAATTAAAGATCTGTCTGAGGATCCTGTTGGGGATCCGAATATTCCTAATGTTCTCTTCGAGACAAATTGGGCAGATGATGGCGCAGTGCGAGATGAAGACTTCACCCGACAGATACTCCAGAGCTTCAAGACAGCCCATGTAGCAGAATGGAACCGTCTCCTACAATCGTGCACGTCCAACCAATGTGAACTATTGCAGAAATTCACAGACAATGGCAAGTTAGAGGACATTGCTCGAGACGTTGACTTCGACGTCATCAGAGGGAGTCGGCGGGAGCTTCAGGACATGGAAAGTGCAGGCCAGGTTCAGCTTCCTCCTCCTCATGGCGCTGAGAGAAGGCGGCGAAACTGGCTAGGCAGTTTCAAAGGCACATTATCGAAATTGTCTTTCTTATGCTGCTGTGCAGGCCGATGTTTTGCAAGACCAGAAGAAGTCGACATTGGTGTTTTTAATGATCCTCAGCGGTCCAATCCTATTTTGGTAGGCCACAACCCTCTTCTCCACTTTTATATACCTCGTAGTGCTAATAACCCGGCGGACATATATTGACGCTCGGTTCACCAATTGGGGACGAACCATCGAAGATAAACCTATCTACACATGTTTCCCAACAACGAGCTTTGGAGTACAACAAATTGTTCAATACGCCATTAAATCGAAGTTGGGGGTGCGTGTGTCAGGCTATCGTATGCATTGTCTTCTTCATAGCTTAGTGTATGACGAGCACTAAGATTCGTTAGGCCATTCCTGGTCGCCGATCTTTACTCGTGCAACGGGATGTATACTCATCTCTACCCTAGATTTGCGGAGAGCCACAATAATTCCCAATGTAGAGGCTCTCACTCCGGTCTGTCCGGCGCTATTCCAAGGCAAGTCTACGAAACTGAACTCAATCACCGAGATTGGCCCTTTAAAAGAAGATCCGACAAAGTCACTCGTCCGTGTGGGCTGCGCAACGACCAATGAACAGTTCCGATCGTGGTGTATAGCGTCAAAGCGCCTAACGCTACCTCTCAATGTGATTATGGTTGAGATTACATTTGGTGGTAGCAATGCTCCAATCTGGTGTGTGAGATCGAGACGTTTTGGTAGAGGCGAGAGCTTGCTAAAACATACGTAGCCACGGGGCCGGTATCAAACATCAAACATTGAGTGACCTGGTCTACGCCATCGAGTATGTTGATGCCAATGCAAAGGTCCAGAAAATCACTCGATCCGATGGCGACTTTCTCTCTGCAGCCAGTGGTTGCTTTGGGTTGATTGGAGTCGTCACTCATATCACCCTCATAGTCGACCAGATGACGTATGCGATTATGAGACCTAAGAAGCTGCCAGTTATTGATGCCATACCGCCTCCAGAACGCCTTCGTTCCCGCGTGCCTCCGGCACTCTACCAGGATCGTACTCCTGAGGCAATCCAACGTGCCCAGGAGGAGTTTGAGAGGAGAGCTGCCCATGACTACTACACAGAGTGGTTTTGGTTCCCATATGCCGATGAGGTTTGGGTCAATACATGGTCCACAACGACGGATTCCTCCGACGTGAAAGAATATCCCAGCAAGATTGAGATTGCAACGCAGTGGCTCCAGGCGATCGCCATGGAAGCCGCGCAAGATCTCGCCAGAGACACAAAGACTGAAGATCTCCTGCCAATGCTTCGGACTTCTCTAGTTTGTAAGCAGTATACCATATCCAGCAACACGAGACGTAAGAGGTAACCTAACAGTACGAATACAGCGAGACTAGCTATGGCTTCTCTGCCGGCGGAGGAAGAAATCAAAACGTGGCTCCCAGATGCACTTCATTTTAGAAGAGCAATTCAAAACACACGTGTCCGAGATTTGGAAGTTGAGATACCTGTAAGCGTGCCGCAATCCCTTTCTTTCCCATTTGCAAGTCTTCTTTCCGGCATTTATTAAGCGTCCACTTCAAGCTTCCTTCGGGACCCGACGATGCGAACAAACCCGACTTTAGTATTATTCAACACGCCTGGTGGGAGGCAATCATCAAGGCATACGAGCACACAAAAAATTGTCCCATGCGTATGCCTCTTGAGATGCGAATAATGGGCGACAGCAACGTGGTTATGGCGCCTCAGTGCGGTAACAAGCTCGGAACATGCGCGATTGAGGTTTTGACCTTGCAGTCAGTAGCACAGTTCTGGGATGGTTTTGCTCAAGAAGTCCTCGATGAGTGGATGAAGTTGAGGCAATGGAAAGGGCAAGAACTTAATATCAGGCCCCACTGGGCCAAGGAATGGTGCGTCAACGTCCTCTCGCTAGTAGAATGCTTCCTGCGAATAACAACTTCGCTCAACCTGCTTCCTGAGCAAGGTATTAGTCCTAGGCATATTTCTAATTATATGGGTTCTCACAGGCAACAATTCACGGTGGGTGGCAAGCCCTTTCAGGATTATCTCAAGAACGAATGCTACCGCGACGCGATCCCTAAGTTTAATGGTATACTTGACAGGATTGGGAAACAGCAACATTGGGAGAGGAGCGATGTTAAAAGAATGTTTTCAAATCTCTTGTTTGATGACCTCGTCTTCGATGATATCCATTGAAGCATGTCCTATGCCACAAGTGGCCAGGTATACTGAAGTGTGAGATATCCATTCAAGAGCAGGGCTATCATGTCTGTTTAAAAAAGGAAACGGATCGTAATAAGCAGGAAAAGTGCCATGAAAGGACTGTAAGAGGACGTCTTGAGGCAGATTCTTCAACAATAGTCTGAGACAAGCCAGCCATGACAATGTTTACCGGGTCAGCCAGTGTAGATCTTGCTAAGGAATTCCTGTAGGGGGTTCTTGTAGTCAAGTGTGAGCACCACGATTATGGATGGGTGAAAGAATCTCGTGAGAAACTGAGTGGTCGAGAAGCAGGTACCATCTTTGCCCATCTTGCAGAAATGGATAATACACATAAAACGCTCAGGGTGTACCGTGTGATCATTGATATGTGCCGGCAAGATAATAGACTATGGACGTTTTCTTGAAGAACGCATTGGGTTGCTTAGGCTCAATGATCAACTAGATGTTTGGTTTCATTTACGGCACATCGCCATTCAAAACTTATTGGTTCACATCCACGGAGCCTGTCGGATGACAGCCACCGGATCGATTTCCATAGGAATTACTAAGTTCATACATAGTAGCGTCGGGCACAAGGCGTTCAGAAGAGTGGACAGTCTCGTATTTAACTGCAAATGTACAATGACAAGGTTTCCTCAGTATTGCTTTTGCTTTGTGACGGAGAGAAGTTCTTCTAGACTAGACGACTGAGCTCTGGTTAAAGTTCATTAAAATTATTAAACGTAGGCAGAATAAATTCAAAGCACGAAGCTCAGCACAAAAGATGTGTGCTGATTATACAGTTATACTCGCCCCCAGGGCCCTCACCGCTGTCACGGTTCAGGGCCTCCCGGGTCTAATTGTCCCCTAGTCTAACTATCATTTTCTAACCTTCCTGGCAATTTAGGAGCTATTTACAGCACTTCTCCTTTCTTACCTGTATAATAAAGTAGCTTTCTATCTAGCCTAGTCGCCTATCTAAGCTCTCCCTTCCCTTTTTGGTTCTCCAATGCCCTAATTTAGTTATTATATAGTATTTTATTGCGGTGTTTCTTAGCATCCTTGGTCTCTCCCCACCTTTTCTTTCTCTGCCTTGGTAATATCCCGCGATTTAATAAGAGTATTTTTATCTCTGACAGAAAGAGGGCCCCCTGTACAAATCTGGCGCTCGGTTTAAAGGGCCTGGGCCTGGTCCCTATTGTTAAAAATCCGTGTTTATGTTTGCAGTAGTCTGCGCAGCTAATACCCCTGGATAAAACTATCTTGGAAAATTTAGTTGAGATATTGTTCAAGCTTTGGAAGTTCCTTATCACCATAGCCCTCATTATCATCCCGTCTTGAACAGGAATGGCCCCATGTCTAGCTTTATATTTTCCAATTTCCAGCCATTGTCCATCCCTTGTCTAATTACTCCTCGCTATATACCCACGTAGACGTAGTTCCAAGTCTCAACGAACTCTTCTGCTTCCAGTTTGGTGCAGCCCATTGAGGGGAAATGAAAGTAGAGGAAAGAGATAAGGATGGCTTACTAGTCAAATTTCGGACCGGCCGAGACAATGGTACCCTTTCTGGGAACTCCATTCTCGAGGATAAATATGAGAGTGGATCTAAACGGTACCGATCGACGATGAGTGAAGAATTGCGCTGGGGTGACCGATGGCGGACAGTTGCGAGTTGTGCTGGATTTGGAGTAATACTCTTTGCGAATGTGAAGTTAACCAGGGAGATGTATGATTTCCCCGGCATTTTACCTGCTAGATGAGAAAGAATTTTAACTAACCAGGGAAAACACACATTCTAAGATCTGCACGGTGAACGCATTGGCCATCCATCTTCTGAATTCTTATCCAGGGCTTGTGTCTTTCTTTCGATTCGTCGAGCCTGTCACCGTGCATATTACGCTTGGAAGAGGCTTCCTTACTCTTTCTGATATGGATACCTAAGCGCTTCTGGAAGAAGCGAGAAAGCCCAACTTGCGTACCCAACAGCTCCCTGGAACCTGGCAAGCGATTAATCCGGAAATAATATCTCGGCGTCTGTCGGATCTGATACGTTTGCTTTCTCAAAAAAAATATTTTGCTGAAGATATAGTTGCTGGCAGCCTTGGTTCGATGCAGCTGGACTGTTGGACAAGCATAGAGTTGTGCGAAGATTTCCGCGACATGATTTTAATATCTTATTGGTGGCCACCTGATTGCTCTGGTATATCTCTTGGTTTATCGGTTGGCATACTGCTTCATCTTTGTTTCGATAATCGCCTATCCTCTATCCACTGTGATACTAGAGTAGCATCCGCAGTTTGCTTCATCGGTTTTTTATATTAGATCTTTCTATTTTGTTCCCGCACGGGAGCCTTGGCACCATAGAATTTAACGAGTGGAAAGGTTGGAATCGGACCGATGGCACAGCACAATTCTCCAATAGTCAAGATTGATCTAGACAGCATATAATCACGACAATTAGTCCTGAGCCTGTAGGAGTCAACAAATTAGCATCAGACATATGCTTCACCAGGCTATTTACAAACCAGGACAACCCAGGGAAATATATCTAATACAAGACTATCTAATACAAGACTTTCATTGTGCTTGCAACTGTATGCTTCTCTGTGCTCTACATAGAATATTGCTGTTGTCTATTGGCATTTTGCCTGATAGCTTATCTTCTGTTATTCACCTCTTGTTATCTTTAGATTCTCCCTATTCATTCTCTTTGTTGAACTTTTCTCACATTTATATTCGATATTTTGGCTACTAAATCAATCCTTTGGCTCTGGCTTTGCCTATTCATATCCACGACCCTAGCGGATCTGGTATTTCCTGACTCAGATAATACATGCTTTACCTCCAACGATGCCTCGCCAGTAAGAAACAGGTGAGGCAGGCGTGACGAACTCGCTGGGGTTTGCGCTGCTTGTCTGTAGCTTGCCTATTTCCCTGCACATGTCTCATGCCCCCCCACAACACTTCCTTCTTTTTCCCCTCAAGCTTAGATTTCTAGATAGATAGCACCAATATTATCATATGATTGGCCGTCACATGTTTGCTATCTTTGTGGAACCTGATGTTCGAGTCGAGCCTGATCCTCCAAGACTCAGGTTCCGAGTCGGATCGAACCTGACGAGTCGCGACTCCTTACGAGGTGTTGGGGAAAGCAAGTACCAAGCGATAGCTAGGCTCGCCAACAGGGCGGCTAGTCGAAATATCTGTTATACTTATGGTAAATGTCATAATACAGCATACCCCAGGTTCCCAGGAGGGTAAGGTGGAAACCAGTAGTGGAATGCTTTGCACCGAATCTTAGAACAAAATTCAAGGCACGCGGAGAATGACCCTGCATTATACGGCGCGGCATCGGCTCGGCCGATTCCAACGCCGCAGAGTAACGTATATACGATGCCTCCAACGCTTGATCTCCGCGTACTTTGCTTCGAGAGACAAAGTGAGCTGAATTCGTCAGATAAATCAGGCGCCTCCTTCCGGCACGCGTTCAGTTGTTTGGTGAGACCATCTTTCTCCCGCTGAAGTTGCAACTTCCTATCCTAGCGTGTATCTAAACTATTCTCTACATCGTGCTTTTGCTCCTGGAGGTGTGCCTTGGAGGCCTTGCATTTGCGGAGAGCTGTCTCTAGCAGCACCCAGCGCTGTCCTGGCTTCACCGGCTTCGTGCTGTTCATCTTGGGCGTTAGATAGCATTGAACTTGTACGCGCTTTTGGTGGCATGGTGAGTGGTTGAACTGAGCGAGAGCTTCAACCGCGCGAGAAACGCGTGAGGTGCGGCGCTCGGTTGGGAATTACGTTAGTGATAAGCTAGCTTAGATAGCACTAAGGCACAATAAGCATGATTCTGACAAGAATGAGCTCCATATAAGGCCCCAAGGCATTACCCACCACCGGGATTCTTCAATTAGCTTCCTGCTTCTATACAATATCTTATCTATCTATGCCAATCATTTCTGTACCCCGTGTCAACGCCCCAGACGCTCTCACTCCGCAACCTCAACAACCAACTTCGTACAACTCACCCCCCGAAGCAGTTGGTCCAACCCAGCATTAATAGCCCCCAAACCCTTTCCCACGACGCTCGGTTCCGGACTGGGCCTGATGGTCCTCTTGGCCAGGTTCTCCCTCAGCCATGTCCCAATCCAGTATCGGAACTGCTCCAGCCTCTCCCCTTCCACCATCGATGGCAGCACGAATATCGTCTCCACCCCGTTCACGACCTCCGCATCTGGAGGAAGTACAGGAGCCGACCCGATCTTCGCGGTCTTCATCTCCCTCCCTTCTTGATCTTTTCCGAGGAATGCCTTAAGCACAGCCTGACAGGGCGCCAGCTGCCCGGTAGCAAGAAAACAATGCCGGATGACTAACCCGTCCTCCTTGGCCGCCAACACGATCGCCTCCACAACTTGAGAGTCTCTGTAGTCGAACACGCGGTCCGCACCCAGTGAACTCACATAACTCTTATTCGCCGGTCCAGCCGTGGCGTACACAGCTGCGAAAGAAGAGTTGGGGTCTTCCCGCAGCAGCCGGGCTGTTTGTACGCCCATGGTACCTACGCTAGACGAGGCACCCCAGATTAGGAGAGCTTCTCTTTTTTCCATGTTATTCTTTTGCTTCCCTCTGTTCGCATCGGTACCGGTAGGGCCAGCAGAGACTAGAGCAGAAGCAGGGGCTTCTGCAACGCGGGGGATTCCCATGACATCCCACGCGTTAAGGGGTACCTCGACGGCGACCGGCAAGGTTGCCGCGTGATTCCAAGACATGCCGTCGTCCGGAAGGGGCACAGCGTGCTGCCAGGGGACGAGGCACCGCTCCTGAAATGCGCCGTAGTCTGGATCGCAGGACTTCCAGAAAGAGGCGGCGTAGGCGGCGACGCGGGTGATACCCGGTCGGAAGAAGGGGACCGGACCATTGTCAGTAGCACCGGTAGGGACGTTGTCGCCGACCTCGAGGACTAACCCCGAAATGTCGAAGCCAATGACCGTGGGGTACGTGGGTATGAAGAGGCCTTGGTCACGCATGTAGGCATCTGCCGGGTTGAGGGCTACGGATTTGACGGCGATGAGGAGCTCGTCTGGTCCTGGCTTTGGGGTGGGGCGGGTTCGGAGCTCAAAGAGTTTGCCTTTGGCCGGGGAGACAGCGGCGAGGTGGGTGGCCATTTGGTCTTTTTGTGTAAATAGATGTTTTCGAGGTGGAGGATCATATATAAACAGAGCCTAGAATTTAAGTCAAAGTTCCCTGATTCCAGTGCCTTAGACATTAGCCTCTCTTCCTAGGATATTGAGGGATATCCTTCTTCTTATAGCATTCAGCTATCATTTCGAACTACCTACCCTTGATGTAGTGACGGCCCGTCTGATGCGACCTGCTTTTTATTATACTTGGCGTGAGCGTCAGGGCAGGACCCTCAGCCAATCAGAGACCTCTGCATCCGAGGAATAGCTAGCGTGGAAGGTGTGTTGTTTCCTAAAGGAGGTTAGCGCATGGATGCCTGCGACGATGTGAAACTAGTTGTTCCTTAGGGTGACCATGACCTCCTCCACCTACCACGGATCTCTTCAGCGTTGAATCCATTTCGAGCTCAGGAAAATCCTTCACAGACAAACTGCGCAAAGCATTGGACAATTAACCAAGTATGGCCTCGACTTCTCCAAGAGAGGTTCGGGAGCGTAGGACTCTGCGGAGGTCGAGATTTGGCTGCCGAAATTGCAAGCTCAGAAAACTCAAGGTAGGAGGCCCTCGGCTTTCCTAGACTTGTGCTTGGCTGAATGGAATCTCCTTGGCCTCTTAGTGCGACGAAGGCAAGCCGCATTGCAAGAGATGTAGTTCATTTGGGGTATTATGCAACTTCATGTCTAACATTCCCGACCTACAACCCATCGCCGCTGACACAGGGAGGAGGCCATTGGTGGTTCGAGGAAAAGCAGAGCTTCAGCCCCCTGTGGCCAGTGCTGTCTGGACGTCTGACGAATCCACATTCTATCAGTTGAACGCAAAGTGTCAAGATTTCATCACCCGGTATCTTGGACGAAGTCTCATTACCCCAGATGACCCTAATATGATACAAGTGAATCGTAATCTCCTGAGACTAGCCTTCGCCGTAAGTTTTATTACATTGATTCTGTCACCATCAGACCGAATCAAAGCGGGGTTCTACAGTATGGGTCTAAGCTCAGCTAACATATGGCTGACAGTACCCTTTTTTAATGCACGCCTCTCTAGCTGTGGCACTTACATATGACCGCCACCTGAATAGCTCATTGGGCTGTCGTCGCAGCCTAGAAGAGTGCTATCACTGGTCGCAAAGCACAGCTCTTCTCAACAGGCGGTTAAGAGAACCGATTGAAGCGAAAGATAAGGACCCAATCTGGGGCACTGCGGCTGCTCTGGCTGTCTTGACCTTCTCGTCCCCTGATGCATGCACGCCGGAAGAATCGTGGCCCTTAAAGTCCTCCGACCACTCCGATTTGGACTGGTTACGTATGAGCAGGGGTAAAATGTCACTGTGGCACATAGTGAACCCGCTACGACCGGACAGTCTTTTCCGCGTCATGGCGGCGACCTTTGCTCACATGCATTCACCCTTGCCAGAGAGGGGCATAGATGGTATACCAAGGGCCTTGGCTGCCATGTGTCTCCTCAAAGCCTCATCTACGGCGAAAAACAATCCGTATTTCTATGCCGCCCACGCAGTATCCCAGATCCTAGACCTCCCAGATAGTGAGGTCACAACAGGTCAAACTCAACTCTTCATGCGCAGTATCCATGGCGCTTTCGAAGACTTGCTCCGGAAAAGGGACCCCGTAGCGCTTTTGTTGCTGTATCTATGGTACCGCAAAGTAAGTCGCAGTATATGGTGGATTGAACTTAGAGCTAGAGTGGAATGTCCATCTATTTGTTCGTACCTACGGCTATATCACAAAGGGAATGTTGCGGTACAGGCATTCCTTCAAGGGGAGCTCTCGCCGATAGATGGAACTAGTTAGGCTTTCAAAGACTCGCGTTGTCTTCCCTTTCTGAATTGTTAATATAGAAAACTGCAGAAGTGGTTTTTGAGATTCCCGCATAATTTTACTGGTTGAGCGGCGCCACGCCGCGGGGTAGTGGTCGTACATCTTGGGAGTAGCGAGTTGGAGCAGATAGGATTGTAATCACGGGAATAGTGGCAGATTTGAATTCCAGATGCTAAGTCAGCGCAAAGCGGGCTCAGAAGGTGTCTCGATTAATCTACAACAGACTTATCAAAGCCCCTAGTCATGTGGGGTGAGTACCCACACGGGGACTAAGAGCCACCTGGTCCATGCCATTTGTTAGGTAGCCAACGCCAACATGCCCAAACCCTACACCGTACTATAGCGGTGCACTAACACGGTATCCTCTGCCCCGCAACTGGAATCACGTGCGTGAGGAAGTGAGTAACTAACGGCACAAAGTGTTCGAGACGAGGCGTACAGAGGGACAATTCATGTGCTCCATACCAACAAAAGCAAATCGATTATCTGGTCCAGTGAAGTGAGCTGGTAGAAACAAGCCGTGGAAGGGACAGTAGCCAGTGTAGAAGATATGAGTCGGGAAGAAAAGAGATATCCCTGGTCTAAAGGGGGTAGCCGAGAGGCAGCTCTTTTTACGGGAAATGTTTAGAAAGTCTATGGATAGAGGATGAGTTCCTCGCTGCATAGGAAGGAGCCTTGAACACATCGGATATAAGCCCCACGACTGGAACAAAGCTATCGGAATCAAGTAACAATAATAACTAAAGAATTTTAGATCCAAGCGGAATGCACAGGACGTGCCACGCGATTGCCTTCGCTCATGATGGGTCACGATATTGAAGGATACTGAATCTCGAGGATTCCCGGCTATCACTGCCGACACTGGACGGAATAGACAGCGCTTGGGAACACCATATTCCCATCCATCCAACATGCCGCAAAACGAAGACTAGGTCTATTGCTTCGGTGGTGTCAAACCATCCAGCTGGCTAGAAATTTAGAGGCTGTGCTTCCGGCTATGTTTCGTTCCTTTTTAAAGCTGCTGGGGCTCAATTGTTGTCTGACAAAGAGGGTGAGACCGCTGATGACACGCTGCATGCCAGAGCAGCTGCGACCTGAAGGTGCGAAGAGTCTTGTAAATCATGATAGGTCAGGTCGCGCCTATCTCCTATGTGAAAAGTCCTTCAATGAGGAGCTATAAATCCATGGAGAGGCTAAAAGGCGCTATTCTGCAGGTTTCGAATAACCGCTCTAAACGTTCTCCCAATGGCCTATCGGTGGTTATATCGAGCTAATTCTAATATATGTCAAATCATTCAGCGTGTCTCTGGTACAAGTGAGAAACAGATTACCGTGTAGACCTGACGCAGACTCCTATATAAGTCCATTTATTTCATTCACCAATTCTTGAAACCGGACCGGCTTGGTAAGAAACAAGTCCATGCCGGAATTGAATGCCTCTTGTCGAATCTGTGCGCTGCCTAGACCTGATAATGCGATGATAGTAGCAGGTTTGGTCGCAGCATTGCTACTTTCTTGGCGCATCTTCTCGAACAAACGAATCTCCCTTGTTGATTCTAAGCCGTCCATTACCGGCATTGAGATGTCTAGTGCGGGACATTAGTTAAGGACATCTGGAGGAAAGTAGATTGAGGGAGGAAACATTACCCATAAGTACAATTTGGACCGCTGGAAAATGCCATTTATATACTTCTAGGGCCTGTAACCCATTCGAAGCGGTAAGGTACGAGAATTTGGCTTTCTTCATGAACGCGACCAGTAGCTTGAGGTTTACATCATTATCATCCACCAGGAGGACCGATGGGACTTGAGCCTGTTTGTGAGCCTCAGTTAGCGATATCTCTAGTATTGCATTTCACGAAATAAGAGGTCGATACCGTAACGGTCGCCTCTGGCTGATTCAATGAGATGCTTGCGAGAGACATAGTTACAGGGTTCGCGCTATCTTGCGTGGCGTATGATGCGGCCAGGATAGAGTTATCCGAGTGGGTAACACTGTTAGTCTTTGGGTCCACAAGTGTTGCCAGAGGCTGGGATAGTTGAGCTTGTTGGCGCTTGATGCACGCCAGGAGGGCATTTCCCATCTTGGACGGGCCACATGGTTGGCTAATAAATTCAAAGATGCCTGAGGGTGCCCCCTGGCTAGCACTGGTGGACAGCCTCTGTGCCATCTGTGGGGTCGAGCAAATGACAACAGCCGAAGGGCTTCCCCTGAAGTCTCGGCCTTTATTCCTCTCCGCCGCTAATGTCTGGCTCCAGACTTGGGTTACTTCATCGAGACGAGAATGTAGTACCAGGTAAAAGTCGTAAATATCATGAACAGCTGCACCGGTCATAACAAGGCCGACTTGCATTCCAAAATGCTCCTGACACATACGAGTCAGCGAAGAGCGCACAACGGAATGGACTTCCTCCTCCGCCGTCGATGGTGCGTCAAAGCCAATAAATCCAATAGACTTGCCACGGACACTTTCCTTGGCGTTTTGTAGTGGCGGTAAATCGTTTCCACTGCGCCCTGTGCCGGCTTTCAGCAGACGCGGGAGGTCGACCGTAACGGTCAGCTCCGTTCCTATTCCCTTGATGGAGTTGATATCAACTTTACCCTGTAAGGAGAGAACATTCTGATGCACAATACTGAGGCCAAGTCCGCTACCAGGAGAAATCGCATCCTCTTGTGAGAAGGGTTTGAACACATTGCTTTTCATATACTCTCTATCGATCCCTTGGCCAGAGTCTTTGACTGTGAGGACCACTCTTACCATTTCTTCCACGGGAGAATCATCGGGTGGCAGTGGTTTCGACTTGGATGTCGTTGGAAGAGGGACAGCTTTCAGTGTCACTAATATGTAACCGGAGGGAGTATATTTTAAAGCATTCCCGAACAAATTCATGACAATCCGACGCCAGATACCGGCCTGGGTTTCAAAAAGCCATCCGGCACCCGACTCAACCTCGTACATGACCGTGAGGGATTCATTGAAGTGGGAGATCACGTCGGATGGTGAATTGTCGTGGATGATGGCGCCGTTCCTGTGTCCAAGAGGGATTGGTACAACGTCCGGGGCTTGGAGACCACTTTTGTTCGAGAAACAATGGCCGGCAAACACCGTATCGATCACTTCCTCCAAGACGGTATCTAACGGAACATCTGACGTGAGACTGGCCACTCCGTACCCAGGAGAGTCCTTCGGCATGTATTGTCCAGGCAGTGCCCGCTGCTGCCGCCGCCGCCGAACTCGGTCCTTGGTTCGCGTGGAGCGCGATTTGCGAGTGAATTGGTTGATTTTAGCGAAGTCAAGCATATTGTTGATGATGTCGAGAAGTGATCGGCCGCAATGTTCTATTGTCTCCAGAAGGACGCGCTGGGACGGCGTTATGGACGAATCCCCTAGCAGTTCCGTGCTGCCCAAAATGCCATGCAGAGGACTGCGAAGTTCATGTGAAATGCTACTCACCAAGGTGCGGTTGGCTTTATTCACCAGTTCGATGTCCAAGCGATGTATCTCTGCCATGATGCTATTGGAAAATGCATATAAATATGCAAGCTCTCCTCGCAGACTGAACACTCTGGGTGAATTGGTCCACACAATCATTGCCGAGAACAAGCGATTGCGTCGCGAATCCCATAAGGGAAACAGGGCCAGACTCCTTGCAGATGGAAAAGTTTTAACCAGGACCCTGCTCTCTTCCTGGGCACTCCATTTTTGCCGCTTTTTCTTCGATCGCAGCTGCGGAGGCTGGTCCCGTTCCATATGGCGGAACAGGACTTCTCGCGTGACGCTACTATTGGGCGCACTATCACTTCCCTCACTAGATGAGATCCCACCGCTTTCGTCAATGTTGAAGATCCCCCCGCGCGGATAATGGCGAAGAAGAGAGCGTAGAAAGGTCTCGCACATACCCCCAACCGGTTGATCCAGATCCCCCACTGTCGAACTCCCAAGCACATCACACAAGGCTGAATCATCGGCTTCCGAGGATGAAACGCCCGTAGCAGCGTTTTCCCTATCGCTCCCTGAGTTTCCATCTCCGGAAACGCTGCCTTCAATGTCCGAGCTGCGATCGTCCGAAGTACGTAACAAGGTCCCATAGCTGTTTACACTCGCGTCGTAAAAAATAACCCCTTCCACCTCCATGGACTCCTGTAGTACCTTGGCTGCCCGCTGAAATATTTCCTTTGTGCCCGATGACAGCGTCGTCTGCTGATCATTGCTATCCTTAGCCAACGATGCCGATTCGGATACCCGTGCTTCCGGTGCCTCCACTCCTAAAGGTTCGAGGTCAGTACTAGCCCACACCAAAAATCAGAACGACCTATCCATACTGTGCACCGAGGCGTTTCCTGTCTTTCCCTGAGCTGGGCGGTGCCCATCGGGCCCCGATCGCTGACCCGTCGGCGGACAGGCAGGGTTTGCCCCGCTACTGCGGTTGGTTGTAGTGCTGTGGGCGCTGTCTGATGGAAATACTCGACCTTCGACAAAGCTCCCCAGACCCGCAATCATATTAGCCCCCAAGCGATTCTGCTCTTTGGAACGAACCATTTCCAAGTGATTCATGATAGCCGCTGCCGTCTCTCTCATAAAGCGGAGCTCCAGTAAATCTAGACCTGAGCGCGGCGCCCCGTCACAGACGGAAAATGCGCCGATGGCGATACCACGCCGACTGATGATCGGAACTCCGGCGTAAAATCTCAGATGGGGTGCGTTCTGGACGTATTGGCGCTGCTTCGTTCGATCGTCCTTCATCAAATCCGGAATGATCAAAGCGAAGTATGCCCCCGATTGCTCCTCTTGCCCCGCATTGAGCTGTGCGTTGTCGCAGACGTAGTGACAGATGCCATCCAGCTTCCGAATGACGCTGCTTCCTAGCCACAGAGCATCGCCCTCGGAATGGACCCGGCCATTCTGGAGACTTAGGGTGCGAGTGGATTCGGCCAAAATGAACTGGTTGTGGTGATCGAAGAGAGAGATCATACATCGTTGTGCACTCAGCCGCAAGGCACCCAACTGTGCCAGCGCCGTCAGTGTCGTATCGTGGGAGGATTGCGGCAGCAGCTCCTTCTCCGCGGCTTCTGTGGCTGGGGTGACCGGTGGTTGATGTAGGAAACCACGGCGCTGGGGCAGCTGGAAATACCTAATGCCTACGTTGTGAGCATCCGTCTGTACATGCAAACATCCCTCCTTCAACTAGCTCACAGGCAGAAGGAACCTACTTGTAAAATTCGCGATTCTGCGCCATTGCGCCTGGATAATAATCTTCTTCTACGACGTGAGTGGACTCGCTGCGCTCTATCATCCCCTTCCTTATGCTTGATTTTCTCTTATAATTCTTTTTGGCTTCACCTAGCTAGACCAGGACAGTTCTCTGTATGAGTGTTAGCTGGTGAAGAGGTGCAGATAGCTTTAAAACTGTGCAAAGTGCACGTCTGTGGAGAAAAAGGGTCCCTGACGGCGCCGCACGGGAAACAGGAGACTAGGTTATGCCTCGGCGCCTACGGGTAGAGATGCCACCAATCACGTCCGGAATTCTTCTCGCCAATATGCAGCTAGGGATGGTAAATGGGACAAACGACAAACCGGAATTCGTTTCCAGATGAACTGGATATCCTTGACGGCTACATCATCCCACCTAATTGTTCCCCTCTTAGTGTGTGGCCTATCGAGCCCTCTGTTGATCCACTCGCCCGCTGATAAAATTTTTGAAAACGTTCCCGTGTACTCCCCGTCGCCCTTGGTGCGTGTCCGTCTCTCTAGGACTCGAAGATCCAAACCACTCCACTACTTCCATATACCTAGTAAGAATAGAATATTTATAACTGCTTCTTCTAAGTTATAAATAATCAGTCCCTTGTAGGGGTCGCGGCGACCCCGAGGCTACTGTATTACCCGCGCTGACGCGTTTTCTTCGCCGTATCTAAACCATCTGTTGTGATTTGAGGCTCGATGTATATAGGGGGAAAACAGCGGGGTATCTCTGGAGAACTCAGTAGACGGAGTTAACTTAGAATACCATTATCGAGGTGAGCGTCTTGACAGATATTCTCAAAATAACCTGATATAACCTTATAAACTACTTGTTAACCCAAGAAAGTACCTGGGAGAAGGTAATATCTCAAGCTGCTTAACAACTAGTGTGACAGGAAATAGTTAATGGTCTGATTAAATAATAAAACCTATTTCAGGAATTTAGTCAAATCAGTAGATGAGGAACGCTAAGGTCTAATATCCTCACGCATTGAAGGTTATATTAACTAGGTTAGTTACTAGGTTAGTTAGTTAATTAGCAGGTTAACCAAGTCACCGCGCGGTGATGATTAAGCAGCTTGCTGCAGTGCCCTATCGAAAGCGAGTGTCCGCGAAATTATAAGGCAGGGCTAATTAGTTACTAGAATATCCGATTCCTTAAAAAGTAGAAGTAAAATTAACTACAAAAAGCCGTTTAGAGAGCACTGATAGTAAATCTTATCGACTATTTGTTAAGGCACCCTCTACAACACCTGCAGTGTTGCGTTCTATTCCACCATTATGCCTCCGTGATCTCCGTGTCGCTCCCGTTCCTTTCTGCCTACCTTGCTGTACCGCCCCTTTCACCGCTTTGTATGTAGTACTTAGCAGCATCCTGCTCCTACAGCTTAAAGTAATCAATCATTCCACACCATAATCAGAAGCACCCAACATGCAGTTGATAGTACTACTATATCAGTAAAAATTGTCGCCGCACCTCAATAAATTTAAAACTGTCACGGTGCCAGTTCGAACCGCTTGTTCTGCCTAACCCCACAGCTTCATCATGTGATTCTGACTGTTTATCTTCCCGCCTGATCCTGATCCTGTTGTAGCTTCTCAAGCTACGTCTTGTCTCTCTGCCTGTATATAGCCTGACCAGTAGCCTGGCTACGTATTAGCTCTGCTAGCCTACCTGCCCGAGTCTGCACCTTGACGGGAACCAATGATCAACCTTTGTACAGTGATTCTCGAATCGCCTTGGCCGATACACATGTGATGGTTATTTTGCGGCCCCACAGCCAAGACCTTATAAAACATTTGGGTAGCAGAGTATAGCTGAATGCTGTCTAAGATTTTACTGCAGTGGAACATGAGTCTTACAAGCCCAATTAAAGATCCTAACAAGGCCCCAATTTAAAGCACAGGAGCCAAATTATATGACTGGGAAACCAGCTATGAAACTAAGTTGGTGTGCCTGCCTACGCAACATTTGACATATGCCATGGTTGTAAGGGATATAAATAGAGGGTAAAATAATTGCAATTCAATATCAGGTTATTTATGGCTATATAACCGCCTTAAATTGTCTTTTTACCACCTGTCTTAATGTGCTCAGAGATGAAGCTGCTTCATCAATAAAACAACATAACCGCAGCGAAGAACTGCTTGCGTACAATTGGACTCAGGCTAAGCCATGGCCTTGAAGGTCTTTGTTAGCTGATCTTCAAGATCAATAAATCTCTCAAGAACCAGAATAACCTCCTTCCAATTTCCGTGCGCAGCCGGGTATTGTGCCTTTCCAGCTAACAATGCCTGTTGTTCCATGATTCCAGCAGCGTTCACCAGGCCAGCTTCAGCTAGGAAGTCCCTCGCATCTAGATAACGCCTTGCCGCGAGTGGGAAAGTGAATCCAGCAAGGTCATTCACGACACTCGGCAACACATCTTTCACAGCCTCCAGAGTTAACCGCAGCGCTAAGACCCCGCCAGATGAACCAGGAAACATGGCATTGCTTTTAATCTGGTCATGAAGCGTGCCAATCGTGCGCACCACCATATCTTCCCGGGAAACATCCTCAACGTGACGAAAGTGGGAGCGGAACACAAATGGCTGGTTGATATACTCTATACCTTCACCACGCCATGCCTCAATAAATTCTTCTAGCGGTAGGAGCACGGCTGGATATCCCGCCGGATCGTGTAGCAGAACCATTCCCTTGTCGTCATCCACGCCCAAAACCACAAGGAAGTGGTCAGCTCCGTTAAGCGCAGTATGGTCCGGGTTGTAAGACAGATAGCCCATATTGAGAGGGCCCGCTAGGACGGGCCCATGGATGACTGCTTCCCGCAGTGCAACGAGGGCTGAAGCAGCATCGCCACCGCGGTGGTTATTGCAATTCCAGCCCATCGCCTTAAGGGCCACATTAATACCGTCATCCGGATTCGTGTATGGGTTATTGAAGAAGGAAACCGGACCAGTTTCAAGGCAAATGAAGTGTTTACCAAAGGGCATTGTTGTGAGACACTCAATGAAGCCCGACGAAGGTAGCGATTGCGGATCATAGCCCGAGGCTAGGAGGATCATGTACAAACTGTGGGCATAGCAGTAAGGACCGCTACCAGTATAAGAGAGCATGATTGTAGCGACGTGCTTGGTAGACTAGGTATCAGAAGGGATACAGTGGCGATATAAGGTAAGTTACAAATTGAATTAGTTACAATTCAGCCATTTAAGTATGCTGTTGTGTGAGTGTGTAGAATTAGGCAGCAATTTCTTGACCTTTACCAAGAAAAAATTTCTATTGGTTATATATTTGCCTCTTGTGGATGTCCAATGATATATGGTATAATCTACACAATCTAGCTTTAGAGTTCATCCACACTTTTAGCGAATGAGTCAAAGATAATATGCAATGTATATGGGCTTTACCCTGGAGATAGCTGTTGTCCAGCCTAATAATAACTGCTCAGATCAAAGATATTAAGAATCATGACCTGCGAGGTGTATAGATAGGACTGGCGCATTCGGATAGTTAGTCAAGGTTTGGTTCGGTCTGACAGCTTGATTTTATGGCAAGTCGACCTTCTCGAGCCTTCCGAAACCTGGTAACCCACGTCCTGCAACGGATAGTATTATCAGACCCAAGCGAAGGCCAAAACAGCGCCAAACTGTATGAAGACAGTCACAGTCACAGCCAAGGTAAACTCAAGTAAGGAAGCAAGGCCAACCTACAGTATGCATACCATCGCTTGTAGAGTAAGTGCTCGACAAGTTGATACTTCACAAAGGTATACTCTATAATAACAAGTTCAGACTCCGCCAAAATCCGCAAGTAGGTTGATGAAGTTGATCCATAACCCAAACGTAGTGGGTTACTTGTTGGATTACCCATAGTAACCCATATTGCGGGTTATTGCAGGTTATGGCGAGGCCTCTTCACTCATGACCTAATGGATAACAGGGTGAACATACATATTTTTTTTATATTATCAAAAGTAGTATGATAAAGTATCATACAAGAAAGAGCTCAAACCACCTTCAAGTTTATGCGAAAGCTCAATAGTTTACTAGTGCTAAGATATTGGCAATGGGGCCAAAAAAAACCATTACATCTTTGTTGGACCAGCCAACTAAGATTTCAGGAATGGCTGTATATGATAGTACATCGTTCAATGGAAATCTAGTCCCCTGCTCCTGCTATATGCAGCGCTGTAGCTCGCTATTCCCCTGCTACCGGCACCCTGAACCGCAATTGACACTAACTACTATATCTATGTAAAGACATGCAGTAGTGTTTACTATATAAATTACTAGAAAAAATAGTAAATAGAATATATAGATATATAAGAATACTTGTTTATATATTTAATTGGCACGCCTAGTGATTTGTCCAATTGCTCTGCGACCAGTTAGCTGTCTTGCGTAGCGAGGGTTCACCTGAGTATCAGAATCCACTAGTGTGCGATAACGAAGTGCCATGAGGATAACGATAACCTAAGAATGGTTGATCGATGGTTCAATAACTAATCTATGTATAGCTCAAGTCTAAATAGCCTGGTCTATTAAGTATATATATATATAATAGCCAGAAGATGTTAGACCCTTGTCTATTGCTCTCATCGAACACGGACGCAAGCGGCAGAATCAGTGACGCAATAATCAGTTAGCAAAGATGACCACCTCAAGTATTTGAAGACTGAGCACGGCACGGAGTAGTCAGCCGGCCCCACTGAGCACTAGCACTGGTATGGCAAGAACCACAGAAATTCCGGTATGTATGCTCATATGTAGTTACTAGAATTTTTGGGCTATAGATATAATCTAAGAACAGCCCTACGTGACCAACGAATATATCACTAACAAGCTATATCATATCAGCGCTACAATCGGAACATGTCAGTGACATGATATATTATAGCAACAATATAAGGGACAAGAATATTTAAAAGACACTTATTTATACATTTAGTTTAGTACGTCGTGATCGATAAAGATCATTACTGAGTTACCATTAGTACCAGTTGACCAGTATTAACTTTCCGTACTCTCTTAAATATCAAGTACTTTTATATACTCTTCAGTTCTTTATCTTAGCATATACTCTATACTATATACTATACCCTAATCTATATATATATCCATATACTATATATCACATGGTCAGTCCCTCAGGTATCTGCTAGAGCCTAGAAATCCTACTAAGTAGAAAGATGTATATATCAGAATTTCTATAGTTCCTGCCGCATTGGTACTGGTGCTCAGTAGGCAGCCTGAGTACTCAGTCCTATGCTCAGTCCCCAAATACTTGAGGTGGTCAACTTTGCCCATTGATTGTTGTGTCTAATTCTGCCGCTTGTGTCCGCGTTCATACTAGATACCTAATGGTCTGTAACAATAATCTCCCACTAGCGGATGATATACAGAGAAGTACTTTCAGGGCTTTTTTCTAGATCAGTCTAGATATTTTTTGGTGTTGTGATCTCAGGGGAAAGATGGGCAGAATGATGCTGTATCAGCTACACGTACGTAGCCTACTGAGGACCGGATGCCATTCCGATAGATACTCAATTCTATGGACGACTGTATCAACTATCTTGAGCGCTTCTTCTGCTCTCTCAACTACTAATAGGTAAAGCCTTCAGGGGGAGAAGAGTTGGTGATCTGGCCAAGCCACTAAGTGATCACGTGTCTCCTATATATTCATATCATTTGGAAACTCACGTTGCAATTCCCTTACCCAGGTTTGTGTCTAGGAGTCAGTAATCAGTCATTACGTAAATTAGATAGTCTATTAAGAATGCGATAGCTCCAATAATGGCCACCCCTCTATGGGTCTTCTCTTTATTTTGGTTTCTGATTTACTCTCTAAATATCTGTTTTAGCATCATTCAATAGCTCTACGTACCTTAAATATCTGATTATTATGGCTACTGTCATACGTGCACCTACCCCTGCTAATGATGTGGTGCATTGCGAGCGCACCCATGACGGCTGGTACAGATGGCTCTTCACTCCAGCAGAGCGTGCCTATATTGCGTCAATTCTCAACTATGTTGGTAAGAAGCTTATTTTGAAATCCAAGAAACGACAGTTATTGATTGCTAATATTATGTTAGGGGGTCTGTAAGGATTATGCCCCTGCATATCTTGGTGTAAGTCGATGCTTTACGCTCCTTGGCATGATCTGCAGTCTGGCAAAAAATGGAGGGTTGGAATGGAGCTACTGTCAAAGCATGTATTGCTTCTAGTTGGATGGTTCCTTTGGTAATCAATAGGCAAGTAGCGTATCAAAGTAGACCTAGAAATTCTATCATATCCCAAATACATGCGACATTCATCAACTATGCGGCGTTGGAATCGGTTAGAGAAAGGCTAGGGCTGAATATGGAACTCTATCCAGGACTGCATCTTCATTGCCAGAAACAAAGAGGCATTGTACTTATTCTGTTACTGACACAGCCCACGGAGGAACAGCAAACTCATAGAATGGAATAAAATAGAACAAACAGGAATATGATAAAAAAGAGAAGAGTTTTAAGTCAGGAATTGTGGCTCAAATCAAGCGTTTCTCGGACGTAACCCAGTCTGTTTTGAGCTGCGGCTTATCGTTGCCGACAACATGAAGGACTTTCATTACCGCAGTGTCTCTAGGGTTAGGATATTGATGCCAGATATTTTCTAAGGAACATATGCCATGTTCTTCCCTGTAGAATGAAGTATCAGGTTGTTGAGATGGAAATATCCGGCAAATGCCACATCCGGAAGGGTTACAAGTCTTCTATAGAGTGTATCATAGGTTTTCGAAGCAACATTACAGAGAAGGGCGCATCCAGATGAGTAGAGTCCACATGACAGAGAATTATTCCGGTATGCTATATAGGGAGTGGTAGTAGGGAGGCACGATCTTTTTCGAACCGAGGCAATGTCGTGTTCACGAATGAGAAAGCCATTGGCCTTAAGCTCCGTCAGTGAAAGAGGTCTAGCGACACAAGATCTCTATGTGCATTCCCCCCTGACTGCCGTATGTAGAATGATATAGAGAAATTACATATTCTCCTGGAAACGCTTAATAAAAAAATCTCGCGGAACGTTAATCGGAATGACATTACAATTGAATTTTCTAGTTTAGGGTTGGCCGGGCTGGGCCAATGGTTAGCAAAGGTTTTAGAAGCTCTGATTAGTTGCTTATCTATTTTAGAGCAGTGTGAATTTCCTGAAACGGGAAATGATCTCCTAAACAAATATTGGAGGATCCTGGAAAGGCCATCCATAAGAATGCGGCGGTTAGGAGCAACAAGCGAGCACGACCTTGGCGTTTCACTAGCAGACATACTCTCTACCTTTATTTACTAGCCACATATGAACACTTCTCCGAATCTAGTACGCATTATTGTAGACTGGCAGAATATTTGCGCTGCTTGGGTGGAAATGAAGCCTTCAAGACTGTGGAATTAAATTGTATTAGAAGTGATTTCAGGGCAGGGCTAATCAATCTCAAAATTCAAGCCTGTTGGACTTGCAAAAGGAATGCTCTGTTACCCTAGTAATACAACGAGCCTTACAAAGACTTTAAACGACAATGCATATATAGCCATGTCCTTTAAGGTAGATTACAAAACTACTAGGACACTCGGTGGCGCTGTGCATCCTACGAGACCGACGTACTAGGGCTTTTACATGTCTACTTCTCAAATAAAGATTCCGATATTATTATGTTACTGTTATACATTAATAACAGCTATATCCTGAGCTTCTTCGCGCAGGAAGTTACCTATTCGTAAATCTCGTCATTTGCGGAGGTATGGCTTCCCACGTTATTCCTACTCAACAACTATGGAATTATGTTCCAATAGATAAGTCAGATCTGGATCTGGCGCAGAGCGAGACCCGGGTGGGCACAGAGTCGATAGTCCAGAAACACAACAGCGGCATACTAAATCCCAAAATTGTGAAAATACCGGAGCAGCCTCAATATATTCAACAAGTCGTTCGAGAAGGAATTATTCTTGTTGGTGGAGGGGCAACACTCCTCCTGCAGGTCGCTATGCCGGGAATTGCCAGAGCTGTTGACAAACACAGCGACTTTACGTATCGACCACTAGAACGGCTGCGTGTGACTTTGACCTATATGTATTGCATGGCCCACGGAACCAAACACGAAAGAGCACTAGTCATTCAGAGAGTACATAGAGCTCATTCCAGTATTAAAGGCCCTGACTATTCTGCGGAAGACACAGACCTGCAGCTATGGGTTGCAGCGTCTCTATATGTTGTCCACATCAGCTTATACGAGCAGGTGTGCGGCCCGTTAGATCCTGTGGTAGCTGAGGCAATCTACAGAGAATACTCCATCTTTTTGGTCTCCCTCCTAGATCTGCGTTCCATGTGGCCAGAGAACCGTCAGGCCTTCTGGGTGTACTGGAACGACAAAATACAAGCTGCCCAAATTGGTGCTGATGCAAAGAATGTGGCGAGGTCACTGCTTTTTGAATGTCAACTCCCTTTTCCGATTAGCATATTGCTTCCTCTGCTACGTCTTGTGACTGCTGAAATGCTCCCAGATGCACTGCGCCGCGCATATGGGCTTAAGACAGGCACAATCCAGAAGGTTGTATACTGGCTTCTAATGATTTTCGTGAATTTCATCTACCCTCTTCTGCCTATGTGCATTCGCACCTATCCCATGCAGTATTATATGAAGGATAAGATGCGCCGATAAGTCAATCATCAATTACCCACATCTGCTGGAACGGAATTCTTGTTAAATAGCCCCTCAGAAACTATGCTAGTAACAAATTCTCCTTTATGTATTTAATACGTGTTTACGTCAAGTCAGGATAACACAGGAGCCAAAGCTGAGCGCAGATTGAAAATGAAGCAGCTCTACATGGTGTATGCTGCTAATCGTGCCTACAAGTTCCTGCTATTGCATATTTCGGGGCAGTATCAACTTCTGACAGAGACCTTACTAAAACTATTATATCAAACTCATCTTGTAGATCTAAATAACGCCAGCACAGCCCAAGTAGAGTGAGCAATTAAACCGTTGTCGAGAATTCAGGCAGACGATGCATACACATAGATTCATTCCTCCAGCGCTACTTTCAAATAAATCCAAGCTAAATCCACTCCAACTAGACATGGGTATCGTGGATTATAAGCCCATGCTATTCCCAACACCTGTAACTTCGCCGTAACAGTTGCAAGGTTCTATTCGTTCCCCATTCCTCGTTTAAGCTTGCACCGGCTGGGCTGCCTCTGCTTCAAAGTGTTAGCTATGGTTTGCAAATGTCCAGTAGATTCCACTAACGTTCTTCGCACTGACTTGCGTAGTCCTCCATATACGCAGGAAGTGTTTGCTCGAGCAATCCTGGGTTTTTGAGATAATCCTCATGCTTCTTGCAGGGAGCAGCCAACATGATAGGCAGTATGTCACTGGATTTTGATACAGCAAGTGACCAAACGTTACCCCTGACGCAATTGGCAATTTTTTTCACTTCCTCGGTGTTTTGGCAGAGGTCTTTGTCCCCGAGTTCCTTAGCTCCGCACTTTTGCTCGGCCATATCATACGTAGCATCCATCAGGGACATATAGTGAGGGGTAAGATCCGGGGTGCCCATTTTCTCTGACTCGGCATTGACGATAGGTATGGCGTATTTTTCACGGTGGCCTGACCTAAAGTCTGACCACTTGGGCTTGCAGCCTTGACTACAGACCTTCTCCATTGCTAGCTTGGTGACTTGCTCTGTATCGAACTGCTCGATAGTTGACTTAGCGCTTAAGCATTCTGCAGAAGCTTTATAGCTAAAGGCAGAAGATAGCGTGGCCATGACCAGACCAAGAACCGCAGCTGTAGAGACGAGTTGCATGTTGGATGTCGATTCGATGATGCTGGGATTGTGGACAGCCCTCGGACGGTGGAAAGTAGAAATGTAGGAACAAACAGAGAAGAAACAAGCAGGACATTGTACCGTAGAACATTGCTATCACTCGTTCTATATATAAATAGGGAACCATCCCTGCATTCCAACAATTTCCCGGACTTGGAGGGTGCCGGCAAGGATAGTACTAATCGCAGTAGAAGAATGTTCGGTACAAGAAGAGATCTTCACTAGGGGTAGCACTACTTCCACAGACGCCTTCGCTCTATGCCCGGTTTTGTAATCGAAATTAACTTTCCTCAAACCTCTGCAAAGATTCCAGTTCAACTCTTGGCATTTGCGTTTGCGTAACAAGTTGGACGATTATTAACCCTGTCACAAGGTACAGGGTGCCCCATGGAGGTTCAGAAGCGGTGAGCATTTGTTTATTATGTATTATGTTGTGCAGTTTTGTCTTACTTCATCTCCTCCCAGTTCATCGTTTCGACTCTAGTTTTTATGATCTCGATATTCACAAATCCTTCTATGAGTAGTGCTCCGAAAGGAAGATATAAATGGAAATATAGCTATATGAATTCCTTATTCACATGAACATACCCTGTATTCATACTCGCTTGTGTATTGTTCATATTGTTTGCATCGATTAATCAGTAATGGAGCCGTGAAGGTATATTAGGATGTATCAACGCCAACATCGACATGGATGCATTCACCTCCACCTGCATGATAAATGATTCGAAAATACTTTAACTACGATAGCTCGGTTATATATTGCTCGTCACTTCTCGATGATTTTACTTTTGAATAGGGCAATAGTGAGCTCCGGCTGTGTATTGTTGGCCTCGTTTTCTGAAGGCGACTGAGTGGCTTCAATCTGTCTACCTCCTTGCCTCTTGATGATGTTTTGATCATCCTATGCAAAATACGTTCCAGTATGGTATTAACCCATAATCCATTTGCGTGGGGGAGTCGTAATATTCCTTTCGAGGATTACACTGCCAGAGTCCTTTCCCCGCAAATACTTACAAAACGGAGGACCGTACCTCTTCAGAAACCTTCGAATCTATCGCCTCCGACGACTTGTCCGGACTCGAGCTCTCCTTGCAAGTTCCGAGCTCTTCGGCACCTTCGTTAAGTCTAGCCATGTTCAGATTGTCAGTGCCTGATGTGCCCTTCAACTACGCAAAGTAAGGAAAGACAAATCGTGCCCTAGCTGGACTCTTAAGCATTTTTGGGTCACCGAACTCAACGGTATATGGAGGTGAAAGGACGGGCCACCAAAAAAGAACAAGCAGCTCGTATGTAAGTGGTGCAACTGGTAATCTACAGACTCGGTGCGCTACGGCTCCAACTCGAACTCAGTGACGCACGTTCATATCAAGCATTGGGTAAAATCGGGTTCGACTGTTGCTTTTCCTTCACTGACGATATTACCTCGGAATGCACTTAGGCTAGTTGTGTTACGGCTCTTCAGCTTTAGCGTGTGTTTCTTTTGCGTTCATTTTTTTTTTCACTATGGTGAAAGTATCTGTGGTGAATGCCGTTTCACGCCTGAGGAAGTGGCATGTACTCATGAGCTTCGGCAGCAATGAACGTTAGGTTTGGCCTGCGGGAAGAACCTCAGGGTTTCACTTGTCGGAGGTAAACTGTCCCGCATGCTGTACGACATGCTCGATGAGTCTGTTGGCACAGTCAAGTATAGTCGCAGAATTTAATAATCAAAGACAGCTAGGAAACGGTAGGCTTGTGCCTCGTTCCTTATGTATTGAGTTCATTTATCGGCTACATGCTGCCCAGGTGGTTGAAGCACGCCCTCGAGAATATTGCTTTAGCTAAAGTTTGATCTAGTTATGTCAGATTTGTGCGAGACTAAATTAAAACGCGCTATTTATTTGCCGCTCGACGACTTCCTGACGTTTCGAATGGTACTGAATGCTTCATTTTGATCCTTTAGGAGAATATATGAAGGTGTGGCCAAGCTCCTGATAGCTGGCGCACTTTGGTTTGGGCTTCACTGGCGCAGCCTCCAGTAAGTTAATAACAAAGTTTAGAGATGCCTGAATCGAGATACTTCAGTTACCAAGTGGTACTGTACTCCCTATATCCACTTCCGTCATTAGATTTCTTCGTTCCGCCCGCCTCCAAATAAGACAATTTCTCCATGACTTGACAGAATTCATCGCGTAAGTGGGTGGGGATCTTCCAGTAGAAGATTAAAATTTTTACAAGGCTTCTGGGACCTAGTGTTGCTTGAGATAGCTGCGAAATCGATCGGAATCTATTCGGTTCGAGAATAATTCGTCTTCAACTTCCATAAGTTTGTAGGAGTGAACTGTTGACTTAAGCTGCTTAATCTCCGAAAGAAGTCCCCCGCTGCACGGATATAAGTATCGAGAACCGGCCACACTTGGCCACAGGAGGGTTTTATATAGATGTCTTTTCCTATATCAGTTTCATATAAGTCAGGAGTCATAGTACCACTCTTGTAGTCAAGCGGGATCGTTCGCCTCTGCCGAGCAATCTCTATCGATAAGATTGTGTCTAGCCGTTAGAGCGCTGATTTAGGGTCTGTCACTTGTCAACAGTTAGCAACAAGAATCACTCAATATAGAGGATATCATATCATTGTCAAGATGAGAACGTCTATATATAGGGTAAACTGATAACAGGTTCGACCGGTCTAACAGACGAGACTTTCGAAGCAGTATAACTAGGGGTTCAGGGAGGCTAGCAAATACGTTCAGTTTGTGTCCGTTAAAATAATAATAATTCTGGCAAGTATTTCTAGGCTTGTTTCCCTTGGTAAGTTTTAGGGTTGGTATGAAAGATTCTTATTAAAATCAAGAATGTGTTAAGATTCTAGTTACTTATACTGATCTTTACTGTTCCTTTTTTAAGCAAGTGACCACCATCTTTTCGGCAGTGGCCTAGACCACAGCCTAGGAACATGTGTGTGCCATAGCCAACGGTTCTAACAATATGGACGTTAGTCTTGATTAATAGTAATAATAATAGTAACTAGCATAACTAAACCTTCTTTGCAGCCCTTAGTAAGTCCTTTCTTAGACAGAGGCAAGGCCAGGATCAAGTATTTTTCGGGTGCCATGGATACGAAAATATATAGATTTTTTATATATTCCTTATTTTCGAATATTAGCATGGTAAGCTTGTTGCGTTTACTAGCAGTATTTTATGATTCGTTAGTAAGGGTTGTATTTGTACGTACCTCTTCAAGTTGATCGTCGAATATGACGGGCACCTCAGCAGGTGGTTCTTCATGTTCATTCTAAGGTGTAAATGGATAGTCTGGGCATTGCAGGATTATGACGACTTCGCCATCTGGATCAAAAACATTAGTTACCTGGCTTATAGCGTTACATTGGAGGGAGAATGAAGTCCTAGAGCGTTAGTAATTACACTAGGACTGGTTAGCAGCATCTGATTCGTAAGTCTTGGCACCGTGATGTGGTGGCTATCATTGGGCCCCGCTTAAGAACGGCACTTGCACGGGATACCTGCCCCTTTTTCCAACCGCCCAGAACCATGGCTCAACGGCAGGCGCTAGGCACTCTAAGTTCTAATATTAAACGCAATTCTAAGATGAAGCCAGGCGAGGGAGGGTTTATAGAAGGGGCCTGGTTTGGTGGTGTAAGGGTCGCTGAAGTTGCAAAGGTTCTAGATATGCCTGTTTTGACCATCTAATCCACTAGCTACCGAGCAAGTTCAAGACATAACTTTGAACCTTAACCACGCTAGGGCCGGCCAAAACAATACACAGGGTGAGGAGAGCGCTTAATTATTCGATATATTAAGCAAGGTCCTTTCATTACCTACGCGCAGCTACGATATCAGCTTTCCACAGAGAATATAAACGTACGCTTTGCACCATTATTCAGGATTCAGCATACGGCAAATGAAAAGCCCAACAACGCCAAAGTTTAAATGAAAAGATTACTAAACTATATGCACACAGTGGGCCTCACCATAAACATTGTGGCCCGTAGCCTAAAAGATAATGCCCTTCAGCTGCAGCAGTCCTACGGGATGAACGCCGGAGTTCCGGTGGGTACGGCCACATGCAGGGAATGCAGATATATAAACGGTGCCTAGAAAAGGCCTTCCAGTACAAGGATTATGCCGAGGCCGATTGGGCTATGATTATATAGTCAGACAAATACTCAGTTAAGCTTAGTTCAGGCCATTATTAGCAATAAATTTTTCGGCTCAATTATTGTAAAGAAAAGTGGAAAAAGCTATACATTCAACTATATTAAAAGAGAAAAGAGATCCGAGTAATAGTCTAGACAGCAATTCAGAGAGAAAATGGTAGCGATTTAATACACTTGGAGCATAATCTTAAAGTAAAAGGGTATATAGATACTCTCTATATTCTGTCAAACCTACTTGACCAAAATACCAGCTGATACCGGTCGTGCCTTGGACTCTGTATGTATGTCTTACCAAATATATTCTTATCTTAATTATTTTAGAAGAGATATTGCATACTATCTACAATTCTACTAAATATATAGAATAGCCTCTCTACTCGCCTGACTTAAACCCTATTAAACACCTCGTTACGCCTGGGTATTCGGGCCGGAGCTCTGCTGACCAGTTAGCTGCGCTTGCCCAGCGAGGGTCAAACCTGAGCGTCAGAATCCACTGAGACTCGATAGCAAAGTGCCGTGTTGGTGACGTAATTCAGGGTCCCGATTGTGGGTGCGATAACTAAACCGTGAATAACTCAAGTCTAAAAGGCCCGGCCTACCACGTATACCCGATTGTGAAAAGAGTGCGAACGAGTTGATGCTGGTCAATTGATGCTAAAGGTACTCTGTAGCAGCAACATGGAAATTGATCACGGAGAACTAATCTAAGTACGTAAGGATGAGTGTCCCTATACATGCCGTGGTCATATACTAATCCATATACCATACTGTATATATCACGTGTTCGGTACATAGTTATTCGTCAGCTCCCCGTGGTTGCATTAGCGCGGCTCCCTCCGCCTGTCAGTTGTGATTTATACTGTGAGGTTGCAAGCTCCGTAACACACATATGGTTTCCGCTTAAAGAAGGCACCTACAATAAGAAGCTTGATACTAAAAACTGCCAGGATTTTGATAAAAAGAAAGATATTCTATAGAAAGCTTTAAAACAGTCCTGGAGCTCATACGCCAGAATATTCTAAAAAAAATATAGTGGGTAGTATACGACAGGGGGTTGAGGCGGTTATTCATGCTCAAGCAGGGTATACTAAATCCTAATATCCTATCTTCCGGTTTTTTACACATTGTTATGTTAAGTGGCCACTAAACCTTTATGGAGTTCAATTTCAGGCCTAAAGAACCAAAGCTATTTTAAATATACAGGATCTAGTATAGCAGGTTGAGTAGGATGGTTTCCGAAAACCGGTTGATTACTCAGACTTATTGTCAAGAACTAACTTAGTTATACGTAACATTGTTCCTCCCAAGACTTCCGCGACGCAATGGTAGGGTCTGGGCCTTTAGGCAACATTTTCATGTTGTCCACCACCGATGGGTGTCCGCGGATCCCGGGAATCGCTCAACGGAGCCTGGAGACAATCTGATTGTTTCGGGGCTGGTTAGGGTTGACAAACCTTGTTCATGAGCGGATCGATGGTGCTACATGCATGATCGGGCCCCGATGCGCGCAAGGTCCGAAAGTGCGAACGAGGGTTCGAAGGGCCCCACAGTATCCCGGTCCGATTGCGAGCCCACCCATGCTTTCCCGCTCCAACCAATCACTGGGTGATCTATCTCTAGGACCATCTGGAAGAAGATGGGATAAACCCAGGCAAATAGTCTCAGGGGACGTTTTTGGGCACGTCGTCGGATATCCTCTGCGGTGAGGTCATAAGTTCGGACTTCACGGGTCTTCTTTATTCTGGAACGGTTGACTGGGGCCTTGCGCCCACAACCAAGTGCGAACGATAGTTTCGGCAGGAATCTTATAGGCATCTTGTCGTCTCTGTTTATTGAGCCTTATGGTTGCAAGGAATATAAATTACTTGCCTCCCACGGAGGATTAGCAATCACTTTCATCAACATCATCTCTGTTCCGCTGATACAACGCGACCACAAATCCAAGGTCTTAATGTTAAAGGAGACTAGTTCTTCACATGGTGTCGAAAAGGACCTTATTTGGAGATAACGTGGCCAGAAACCGCATTTCCAACGCTAGCGGTGTCGCACCTTTCTTACCATTGTCGTCTTTGCCCAACACAGGACAGCCCTCGTGCCCTTGGGTATGATCCTATGAACCCTACTGTTGACATGGTGGTGCATACTGACACACCATTTTGCAGCGATAATGTCGTATCTTGGATCTTTCAGCCCAAGACCATCACGGTTGCAAGCGGTGCTTAGCCACAATACGCCTCAAGAAGACATCAACATGGAGCTCAATGACATGGTCCAGGGCGCTGCGCCGTTAGCCCACCTTGAAGGGGTCCAATACGAAGAGACTGAGCATGAACTGGATCGTGAGAGCACAGAGGCCATGGAGCATCAAGTGGGAGAGCTGGCGAAACAACTCACCCGCGAGTCGACCCGGTTGTCCAGCTCGCTGGACAGCCCATTTGCGGAAAAGGGTGCAGAATCAACAATCAATCCCCACAGCCCGAATTTCAAGCCGAAGGATTGGATTAAAACCCTTCTCGCAATTCAATCGCGAGATCCCGAACGATATCCAGAGTTCACTGTCGGTGTATCCTTCCGGAATCTTAGCATCCATGGATTTGGCTATCCCACAGACTATCAGAAAGACGTCTTCAACTCTCTCCTTGGAATTGGTAGTTTATTCCGCTGGTTGATAGGCCAGAAGGGCCAGAAGGTTGAGATTCTTCGCAACTTTGATGGTATGGTGAAGAGTGGCGAGATGTTACTAGTACTTGGTCGGCCCGGCAGTGGATGTTCAACGTTCCTCAAGACGATCGCCGGGGAGATGAACGGTATTGAAATATCCAAGGAGGCGGTTATGAATTATCAGGGTGAGGACTGCGGTCCCCTTCACTATCCAAGTTTCTTCACTAGTCTAATGTTGTTTTTAATCTGAACAGGCATTCCTGTGCGCAAGATGCAAAAGGCCTTCAAGGGCGAGGCGATCTATACGGCCGAGACGGATGTCCATTTTCCCAACCTGACTGTTGGGGACACGCTCTCCTTTGCAGCGCATGCTAGAGCCCCACGTCATCTCTTAGATGGGGTCACTCCGGATCAGTACGCTCAACACATGAGAGATGTGGTTATGGCGATGTTAGGTCTGTCTCACACCGTCAATACCCGCGTGGGAAATGATTTTGTCCGCGGAGTAAGCGGTGGTGAGCGGAAACGAGTCAGTATTGCCGAGGCCACATTGAGTCAAGCACCTATTCAATGTTGGGATAATAGCACCCGAGGCCTAGACAGTGCTAATGCGCTGGAGTTTTGCAAAAACCTGGCTTTGATTAGCAAATATGCCGGAACAGCGGTCTGCGTTGCAATATATCAAGCGTCTCAGAATGCATACGATGTGTTTGACAAAGTGACAGTCCTTTATGAAGGCCGGCAAATCTATTTCGGACCCACCAGTCAGGCAAAACAGTTTTTTATAAACTTAGGCTTTGAATGTCCGGAGCGCCAGACAACAGCCGACTTCTTGACCTCACTGACAAGCCCAAATGAACGCAAGGCTCGCCCAGGGTTTGAAGATCGTGTTCCTCGTACACCGGACGAATTTGCTGCAGTATGGAAGCAAAGCCAAGCGCGACACCAACTTGTCGATGAGATTAAACGGTTTGAAATGGAATACCCCGTGGGTGGGGAATCGTATCAGAAATTTGTCAGCGCGAGAAAGACAATTCAAGCTAAGCGCCAACGGGTCCAGTCTCCGTACGCAATCTCAGTGTGGGATCAAACCTCGCTGTGTATTGGCCGCGGATTCCAGCGTCTTCGGGCTGATTTCAGTATGACCGCAACGGCATTGATTGGAAATTTTACTATCTCCTTGATTCTAGCCTCTGTTTTCTACAACCTCCCCAATAACACATCCAGCTTTTACTCCAGAGGGGTGTTACTATTTTATGCGGTGCTTCTCAGTGCATTCTCGAGTGCGTTGGAAATCCTGACCCTGTACGCCCAGCGGCCTATTGTAGAGAAGCAATCAAGGTACGCATTTTACCACCCCTTTACGGAAGCAGTTGCATCTATGGTCTGCGATATTCCATATAAGCTTCTCAATTCATTTACATTTAATCTTCCGATCTACTTTATGACCAATTTACGTCGCGATGCGGGGGCATGGTTTACATTTTGGATATTCTCCCTTGTGACCACGTTCACAATGTCAATGATTTTCCGAACAATTGCAGCATCATCACGTTCTCTGTCTCAGGCTTTGGTACCCGCTGCAATTCTCATTCTAGGAATGATGATATATACAGGATTCGTGATCCCAACACGGAGTATGCTAGGTTGGTCGCGTTGGATGAACTATATTAATCCAATTGCATATGCGTTTGAGAGCTTTATGGTGAATGAGTTTAATGGTCGAGAATTTGAATGTGCCACAATCATGCCATCCGGGGGTCCATACGACAGTGTTTCTATAAACAATCGGATTTGTGACACTGTTGGGGCAGAGCCTGGATCAACGGTAGTGCAGGGTACCCGCTATTTGGAACAAAGTTTTAAATATACAAGACGCCATTTGTGGCGAAACATGGGAATCCTTATAGGATTTATGGTCTTCTTCGGCTTTATTTACCTTCTTGCCACGGAATATATATCGGAGGAGAAGCCAAAGGGCGAGGTCCTGCTATTCCGCCGTGGCCAACTGCCAAAATCAGTATCGGGAGGGTCTGATGAGGAGTCACCTACTGGCCCCGCTGCAGCCCCTAACGGCAAAACTTTGGCTTCTCAGACTGGAGCCAAGATTCAACGACAAACGGCTATCTTTCACTGGCAGGATGTCTGCTATGACATTAAGGTTAAGGGACAGTCACGGAGGATTCTTGACCACGTGGACGGTTGGGTCAAGCCTGGAACTTGCACGGCTCTTATGGGTGTTTCAGGAGCCGGGAAGACAACCTTACTCGACGTCCTTGCTACCCGTGTAACGACTGGTGTGATTACAGGGGAAATGCTTGTGGATGGAAGTCCCCGGGATCAGTCCTTCCAGCGGAAAACAGGATATGTACAGCAGCAGGATCTACATCTCGCTACGTCTACAGTTCGTGAAGCCCTGCGTTTTAGTGCATTATTGCGCCAGCCCGCGCATATCAGCCGACAAGAAAAGCTTGACTATGTTGAGGAGGTTATTGCACTTCTGGGCATGGAAACGTACGCTGATGCAGTAGTTGGAGTTCCTGGGGAAGGCTTGAATGTTGAGCAGCGTAAACGGCTGACTATCGGAGTGGAGCTTGCAGCTAAACCGCAGCTTCTGTTGTTTTTAGATGAACCCACATCCGGCTTGGATAGCCAGACCTCGTGGTCGATCCTTGATCTAATTGATACATTGACCAAGCATGGCCAAGCTATTCTGTGTACTATCCATCAACCCTCAGCCATGCTGTTTCAACGATTTGATCGTCTTCTCTTTCTGGCTAAAGGTGGGAAGACTATCTACTTTGGCGAGATTGGACAAAATTCTACAACTTTGGCAAAATACTTTGAGCGCAATGGGGCCCATCCATTATCACCTGGAGAGAATCCAGCAGAATGGATGTTGGATGTTATTGGAGCTGCTCCTGGCTCCCATAGCGACATAGATTGGCATCAAGTCTGGCGTCAAAGCCCCGAATTCGCGAAGGTCAAGCATCATCTCACTGAGTTGAAATCCGGATTGCATGGTACTCCAACCAAGAACAATACTAATGTAGATGAATTCAGGGAATATGCTGCACCCTTCTACATACAACTTTGGGAATGCTTGAAACGTGTGTTTTCACAATATTACCGCACGCCAAGTTACATCTGGTCTAAAGCCGCTCTTTGTGTTCTATCAGGACTTTATATTGGCTTCTCCTTCTTCGATGCTAAGAATTCGCTTCAAGGCCTGCAGAATCAGATGTTCAGTGTCTTTATGCTGCTGGCCATTTTTGGTAACCTGGTTGAGCAAATCATGCCGCATTTTGTTACCCAACGGTCTATATACGAAGTGCGCGAGCGTCCATCAAAAACGTATTCTTGGAAAGCCTTTATGACAGCAAATATCATTGTGGAGCTTCCATGGAACACACTTATGTCAGTGCTCATGTTTTTGTGCTGGTACTATCCCATCGGCTTCTATAACAATGCAAAACCGACACAGGCTGTGACTGAACGTGGTGGACTGATGTTTCTTTTTATCTGGACGTTCCTTCTGTTCACCTCAACATTTGCCCATATGATTATTGCGGGTATTGAGCTTCCAGAAACGGCAGGCAACGTCGCTACTGTCTTGTTCTCGCTGTGCCTCATCTTCTGTGGCGTACTCGCAACTCCAGAACAAATGCCGGGCTTCTGGATTTTCATGTATCGAGTCTCACCCTTTACGTATCTTATATCTGGGATGCTTTCCACTGGTGTGTCTGGTACCTCTGTGAGCTGTGACTCACTGGAGTTTCTCCATTTCAATCCACCTGACAATTTAACCTGCGGGCAATATATGAATCCCTTCATTGCCGCCAACGGCGGCGGATATTTGCGAGATGCTGAAGCGACGGCTGACTGTGCGTTCTGCCCCGCCAGCTCTACAGACACCTTTCTGCACCATTTGTCTATCAGCTTCTCAGATGCCTGGCGAAACCTCGGACTCATGTGGGTGTATATTGCTTTCAACATTTTTGCCGCTGTTTTGATATATTGGTTGGCCCGTGTGCCAAAGCATAGCAAGGCGTCGAGAAAGAGCTAGGCGGAGTAATCCTTTTTCTTTTCCTTGCGTTGATTTTATGTATCTACTCAACTCCCTTTGTTTCCGTTCCTGGTAATGCTGCGTGTGGTTTAAACTTCATTTAGAGGGTCTATTACAGGTGATGTACCATAGTTTCTTAATTATGTCAGTATCAAAACCCTAGTACAAGTTCTGATCCCCAGCAGAAGGGCAGAAGGCATCTTCATCCATCTGGAACGGGAGTTCCCGCAAAGTGAGCTTTTTGTATCCTGTGATATAAGGATTACCTTTATAATCTATTTTTTTCAACTTTTCTTTCTTTGTGAGGTTTGTGGGGGCTATAAAGCCTGTGGTCTATTTAGAATGACAGCGAACTTGAGCAGCACACGGTCGTATGTCTACGATAAACATAGCCCGAACCATGGACTCCGCCCTTTTCCGGCCCTCACCGCGGACAGTTCGAGATGTCCAGACTGTCAATGCATACGTTAACCCACTTTCGGGTCAGTCTGCCCTTGCGGGCTTAGAGTTCATCTGTCGTAACAAGAATGAAAATTTTGGGGTACATAGCCCCTGCGGAAGAGGTAGAGTAACCAAATCCTTTCCAATTTATGTGAAGCAGCGGTTCCTGCTATAATCGTGGATATTATAAATTTTCGTGCCCTTGTTATGTTATTACTGTATGCAAGCCTGTTCCAGTATAAAAGTCGCGTCCAATGTGTAATGTAAACCTAGTGCTGCAGCTGGGTTGCGTAAACTAGACCATTGGTCCACTGGCTAAGGGTTGGTCTATGCGATATTGTTTGTACAGCACATAGATATCTCATACTCAGGGGCTGAGATGCTGATCAGCTCCGTTCCCATCCCAGCCCATTTTGACAGACCGACATATAGTCAAATGATGCAATGCCCCTTTTTTAAGTGTTCTACACATTCACAATATTATCACGGCCTTAAGGCAATAGTACGTACTTTATCTGTAGGAACTTGGCTACGCACTTCCTCAGAGGTCCGCTGTAGTCTAAAGTTATTCTTCGATGATAAATAAATATCATTGGCAGACTCATGTTTAGCCATCCACCTTTCTTTTTACTGCTGTCTTTTACCTTCTTTTTCTTCTTCTTCTTCTTCTTCTTCTTCTTCCCTTGTATATAACAAGTTAAACTTGGTAATGTCCAGAAATATAAGCGAAAAATTCTATAGAACAAGAGTTCCCCTGTTTTCCTTCTCGTGCTTTATTCCTTTTCTTCTTCTTCAATTTTTTATGTATATCCTTTTCCAATTATGACGTGGCGGGCTACATGTTCTCGAAAACATGCTGACCCCTTTGGCGCTGTAACCCTAGTAAAGCAATTCCTATTCGTTACTTCACTCGGCAGGTTTTCCGACACTAGGGCGCATTCATTTTCCCCTTCCACTTCTATGCCGTAAGACGATGGCTGTTGTTTGCAGATGAGTTTACCTGTTCCAGGGTTACTGATCAAGTAACATGCTAAACAGGGTGAAAAATATAGTAATATTCGAATTCAGCTATACCTTGACACTCTTCCTGGAAAATAAACCCGAGGGCCGTGAGTTCTGATAGGATAGGCTCTCAAGGCCCCGCTGTTCAGACCGCTTTCTAGACCGAGCGATGGTATCTTACAGTACGATAGTAAGACAGAACAAGATGTATTTTACACGAAAGTGCTATACGCATGCTACCCAGTGTGCCCATCCTCTACCCGTGGCCGGAGCCAAACTTCCTCTCCCACCACCCATTTCTTTGGAGGTTGCCGTATCCAAAATCATTCCAAACGACATGGCTCCAAGGCTCCCTGTTTCGAAGCTTCATATGGTCCGTGATACGATAGAGAATCAGTCTGTTACCACGTCTCAGATTGCCGACGAAACTGAATGTTCTAGGCTTACGATCATTAATCTTCGCAGAAACTTACGCCAATTTGGAACTATCTCTGCGCCCCAGAACCGGGTCGGTCGAAAACGAACCATGAATCCGCTGCTGATGCATGCCCTATGTGATTACCTCTCTGAGAAGCCTCGTCTCTACCTCGACGAGATGGCTGTCTTCCTATGGGATAAGTTTCAAACCATAGTTACAACCTCCAGCATTCAAAGAGCCCTGATAGTGATAGGTTGGTCTAAAGAGGCAGCGTAACAGCGTATTAAAGAGCAGAATACGGATCCGAGAGACTACTACCTACATAATTTGTCGGAGTATCATTCGTACCACCTGGTATATGTTGACGAATTTGGGTGTGATAAACGGGTCGGATTTAGGTGCACTGGGTGGGCACCTCTTGGCCAGGCTCCTTTACAAGTAACACAGTTTCGTGGCGATCACGATATCAGATACTGTGTGCGTATGCGCAGGATGGGATCGTTCTTTCGCGTGTATTCCGCGGTTCTACGGATGCCGATGTTTTCAGAAATATCACAGCCCAGCTGCTCCAGCATTGCGGCAGATGGCCAGAACGTAAATCCGTCCTGGTCATGGACAAAGCGCATCATTCCATCACCCAGCGCAGATTGCACAGGTGTGTGCGGATGCTGGAATGAATTGGTTTATCTTCCTCCCTATCGGCCCGATCTCAATCCAATCGACGAGTTTTTCGCTGTGCTCAAAAGTCGGGAGATTGCGATATCTGTGGCTCCGCCTGCGGTGCTAAGATTCCTCGGATATCGCTATCGCCGCTCAATTCTTCGGCGCGTCGGATCGTTAAATATCATAATGGGGCCAAAATACTTTATTCTGCCGCTTTCTAGGACTTTCTAATCTTAGAAACCCGTTTTCCCCGCTTGCTGTCAATCGGCAAGCCGTCACCCACCTTTTCATTGAAAATCTTCACCCCGCGCTTGAAAATCTCTCCTTCTACCACCGCAGCATCGGATGTGATTTCTCTTCAGCCGTGGTCTGGGCAATATTCTCTCAAATAAGGCTCTGTTCTCACTCCCCTTGTTGAAGCCCTTGGAGATTTATAGTCCCATCTGGCCATCTGCGTGCCTTCGTTGAAAATACATCTTTATACCACCATTCTCATTTCAAGGGTACCAATTGCCGCAAAATGGCACGTATCCTGATAACAGGCTCTACGGATGGCCTTGGCCTCGAGGCTGCCCGTCAGCTGGTTCAGCGTAATCACACCGTCTATCTTCATGCGCGTAGCCAAGAGCGCGCAGATGATGCCAAGGCAAAATGCCCAGGAGCTGCTGGCGTGCTGATTGCAGACTTGACAAGTGTGGCAGAGACGCGCAAACTGGCCGAGGAAGCAAACGCGATTGGTACCTTCGACGCCGTTATTCTTAATGCCGGATTACTTTACGGACCCTTCCGCAAGACGCCAGATACTGGCGTGCCAGCTATGGTCTTCGTCAACGTTCTCGCACCCTATATTCTCTCCTGTCTCCTTACGCAGCCCAAGCGGCTTATATTTATCGCTTCTGTCCTACACCGAGAAGCCCACACGGACGTGAAGGATATTTTCTGGTTTGAGCGCGGGGAAAAGGAATTCCAGGATTTTCCCGCATACTGCGATTCGAAGCTTCATGTCATGCTTCTGGCTAATGCGGTGGCAAGGCGGTTTAATAACACCTCGGTCACGGCTGTGCATCCTGGATGGGTTGCTACCAAGATTGGAGGTCAAAGCGCTATCAACAAGCTGGAGGATGGTGTCGAGACATATGTCATGCTGGCCGAAGGGGATTATGATCAAAGTCTCACCGGTGTGTATTTTGAACCCAACAGGAAGATTGGTGAACCTCTCGCAGTGACAGCGGACGAACATTTGCAGGAGGTCGTCGTCAAAGCTTGCGAGGATGTCACCGGTCTTAAGTTAGTAGCTTAAGTTTGGCCTGTCGGCACCTATTCATAATCGGCGTGCATCTTCTAAGACCCATTTTTTTTTTTAAAAAAAAAAAAAAAAAAAAAAAAACATAGTTGGGTTTCTAAAAGCCGAGGCCCGGGCTCTTACTGGGCTGGCTTCATTTCATGAAATCGCGGTGTCCTTCATAACTACTAGTCGATCGCATGGGAGTCTTGCACGCGAGGATAGAAAGTGGCGTTTTATCGGATGATCTGGGTCGTGATTAGTTAGCTGCTGATCTAATAGTTAGCTCTAAGGCTGTCCTAGTCGTCCTTCTATGTATATCCAGCGATCGCGAAAGGAAACAACGGCGTGTCATTGCTCTGTCACGAAGAAATGCTTGTACATATTTTGATTTACCCAAACTGGAGACCTTTCCAATGATGGGTAAAATCGGTACCAGCGGCCATGCCACCGAAACAAAAAAAAAATGTCACTCAAAGCTATTCTCTCCCCGCGGGTAGGAATTCTGAGTTAGGAGTTGCACAGGGGTTGCATGAATATGTGTCAACGGGTCTGTGGCCGTTTTTACTTACGGTTAATATTCCATAACATTGTTTCTTTTGACTTTGATTATCCCAGCATGAGATGCCAGTTGGTCTACGATTGCCCTCGTGGGAAAAGCCGAAATCATAACGCTTTCTCAAAAAAGGACTCCATGTGGTTCCCGTTGCCATGGATGGATTCATAGCCAGGGCTTGCTCTAGAGGCATCTCAGGGTGGTCAGGGCCCAATTGATGGCTGCGGAGTCGAGCACATTCATCCATCACCGGTAAGGCAGCTTTGTCCTAACCTGAGGACAATTAAGGCCGGTGCTAGATTGGCTATACTCGTCAGAGTGTCAGGATGCTCGAGCCCGAGCACCCGCTTGTGGATCTCCATCACCTGCCCCTGTAGCTCTTCTGCCTTCTTCCACTGATCCCCAAATTTATATGCCAATCCGATCATTTCGGAACTTCTAAGCGTCTCATTATCCGGATCAAGTAGGTCTTTCCTTGCGTTCTTCGCTTTCTTTGCCATTCTTTCGACGTTGATGAAATCCCCTTTACTTCGTGCAAACGATGCCCATTTATCTTATATTATGTATATGCCTCCTGCGAGACTGTACATTGTATATAGGCAAATAGCACTTGGCGCTCTATCCCGTTCTCGAATATTCCTGTTAGAAAATTGCTGTAAAGCCTTCAAATAAAGTGTTCTTTTCAGTCCTCAAATCGGTTATGAGCTTTAAGCCATTCCTGAATTGCTAGTTGGACTACTCAGTACATCCTGAAGTTCTTTCTATCTACAATAACAGATACCATCGAGTAGTCTCTTAATATATATATATATATCGTCTTCGAATTTGTTAACTTTGTTAGATACGCTTGGGCTCTCTGTTTCGCTTGTATCTCTCCTATTACCTGTGTTATTTAAGTATTAGCCTTGCCGGTTGCGCACAACGGTGTGTAGATTGCATGGCGTGAGAAGCAGTGGGCCTCTCTGAGTCCCTTGGTGGATGACCCGCATCGGATTCCGCGGGCTGCGGGCCGGAGAACGCGGCTCTGCTGGGTAGGCTGTTGTCATATTGAACTCTTCGCGGACTGGATCTGCCAGGACTGATTTACTGGCCCGGGTGATACTCATTGAACCACAGATCTCCTCTTCCGAATCATCCGCATTGGTCCAGATGGGAGAGTCTCGGACCAGTTCGCCCGTCACTCCGTATACAATGGGCCAACTGCTCCACCATGATATCTCCGGCCATGGATCCTTATAAATGAAAGGACTCTTGCGTTTCGGCCCGCTAAAAGAGTCATCCAGAATGCCACCTAATAAGTTGCCTGGACTTGGACTCGCAAATCCTCTTTCAACCCGGACTACTCGGCCAAGACTCATCTCTGCGGTCCCAGGAATGGGAAGGAATTGAATGAAACAATATCAGCAAACCTAGCCCGTGATTTTTCCTATCTTGAAGCTACTGAAAGAAAGGAGAAGTCAACGCAAACGAGAGAAAGAAGCCGTGGTCATTGAAGAAGATCTATTACTGTGCTTCCGGAAACTGGTGTCATCACTTACACTCTCTGGTTGTTTCAGTAATCCTAAAGTGAAACCGGGCTAAACTACCTTTTTAGAGATTTACATGAGATTTTTGTGAATCCATGTATGTATTGTAATCCATAACAACCAGATTCGGCGACTTGGGTCCGTTTTGGACCGACTTGTGGGGATAAGAGGCCAAGCTTGACCTGGATCTATGGACGTACGTCCGGCTTGCTGTGCGACGGTCAACTGGCGGCGAGCCGGGCCTGTTGACCACGACGGCGGTAAATCATGCACTTGTCATAATTCGACATGGAGTTGACTAGATCTCCATAAAACGCGAGTTAGGTTGAAGGTTTCACTTTTTCGGTTCACCCATGGGTTTCCCAGGCTAACTGCATCATACCCAGCGTGCGACATTCTTACACAGTAGGGCCCATGGTGGTGCCGCCTAGCGACCGCAAGTCTGTTCGCATTCTATTGTCCAATAGGATCTCATCGTCCATCAGGACCCCACTGTCCTCCCATACTCTGAGGAAGTGTATGCCACTGTAGGATGTAGTGTTCCACAATATAATAGCTGGACCGCGCTCCCGCGGAAAACCGGTCCTATCCAGTATATCGTTTTGGCTTCAAAATTTTTCCATATCTAGGGTATCACCCCTGTGACAAATTATCTCAATCCATTCTATAATTAACATTCTGGCGCCAGAACCGGAGCATTAGATTTTACAGACCTTTGGGGCACCTACCTGAAGCTGTAGAAGTTGTAGCACTGACTTACATTGTCTAAGAGACAGACAGTTACTTCTCCGGCATCTCGAGTTTCCGGCAGTCTTGATATCAAAGGCCTTGAGAAATTAGATGGAGACTTCGTGTAACTTATAAAAGTCATAAAACTAGAGCTATATTATCCGAGAACTCCAAGTCCACAGTGTTTACTATATATCAAAGATACCTTTCTTAGTCCTGTCAAGTAATTTCATATATTCTTTAATTTTATTATCACTCTCCTTTAATAATACTCATGGCAGTAGCACAATGTTGTACTTATAGTCAAGGTGCTCTAAACTTAGTATACTTTCAGCCTAGCTGTTATCCAGATCACCGGGTTGCCCTTCATCTCCGATCTCGATTATCCCAATCCTCCTGGCCAGGGCTTCCCTTTGTCTTGCTTGGTACTCGACCGCAACACCTGGGTGTGGTATTCAAACAACTCTCATCCCGGCCCGTCTTCTGGCCTCTGCTCCGATCACGCTGTCTTCGAACACTAGAAATTCAAGGGGCAATATAGGCTTTGCGCCAGAGGCTGCTGCCGCCAAATTTAACAACTGCAGCGCCACGAAATATATATCCGGTGCTGGATGCTAATGCCAGCTCGATTCTGTCCCTCGAAGAAGCACTGCGTGCCTGGCTGAGGGTCGACAAAATCTTCTCCGCCCCAGGAAGTGGCTCGCAAGTCGAAAAGTGACGTTACATGTTTTCAGTTGACTCACGAGCGGATTATTCGCGGGAGATAGGCAAATTGGGCCTAATTGTGGAACGTGTTGCCGTTTGTCGAGACTGGAATACCTATGGCTGGGCTCGAATTGACGGGTCGACGGCAGCCCTTTTGTACGTCTCGAGCAGTTGGTTCGTGGATAAAGTTATTATGTCTTCAGAGTTGATGAGAAGCCCACCCCTGTCAAAAATGCAAGCACGGATACCCGGGAAAACTTGTTACTCTTTTGTTAGTGTACTACTCTTATATCGACAGCCCAAACACTCTCCGCAGAAGGTTATCTACAGGTGTCTTTGTTTGGTGGTTGATACTTGGTCTCACGGATAGCCATGGGAAGTGATTTGAGTCAACTTGATATGACTTGATAGCGCAGTGAGCAAAATGAGGGAAGAACTGAGTTGGTGTTCCGGGTCGTACGTTCAACTGTGGAGCTGATTTGCGGGGTTGGTTTCCGCTCCCATGCCCTGATCCGGTCTAGCATGGCCGCGTCCCATAGCGCCCTAACCTGTAGGCACCCAAAATCCTATAGGCTCTTTCAAGAGCCATAATTGTGTATCTGCATTGAAAGTAAGGTCTCTAACTTCCTGAACCTATCTAGGAGAACTGAATAAGAAAGGTAAACAGAATGGACTAAAGTAGGACCGAGCGAATGCTGAATAATGGATAATCTTGACCCACTCTGGTCGACAAGATAAAAGTGGAGGCCACTGGCAGCAAGTAAAGAACCGAATATCACAGAAGTACTGGGGATAATGTTTATCTAGGCAGACGAGGACCAGCCAAAATTGCATCAGTCATGAAATTATTAATTGCATACTGTTTGCAGATAAAAAGAAGGGGACCAATCAACGAGCCCAAAAAGCAATAATCTCATCAAAGTCTTCCGTCGCCGAGCTTTTCACCTCTCGATCCTCCTCGGTGATTTCCTTCCTCAAACGACAGACAACCCTAAGGCAGACGGAAGCTTTTTGCATTTTACCCACTGTTCCGAAAATGTTGCCCTTACGAAAAGGACTGCGGGCGATCTCATCTTTGTGTGCAGTCGGATCAACAAACCAAATGTCCAATGCCCCGTTAATCATAGAACTGAGAGAAGTTAGAGACATTTTCAGCAAATTTCAATGAGTATTATTACACCTACATTGCCTCCTCGCTCCGGCCCAAGCGGGCAATCTTACGGGCGACACTTGCTGTACAGAAAGCTTTGCTTCTCGCCGGTCCTGTGAGTATCGAGTGAGAAATGCAAAAGGATTGTGCATGTCTCCCACCGTTTTCTGTGAGCAGTTGGTCAAAGTGTGATAAGTGCCCTAGGAGAGTTAAGTAGGACGCCACCAATACCAAGTCTCTAGCGTATAATTTCGCCGGTCGAGGATGCCTAGTGGATTGAGAGGATTGAGATGACTTGTGGGTTCGCTACCATTACACTATTAAGCCATATCATCGCTTGAGCGACTTGCAGTGCGTAACAAGTTGTTTCCCTACAACTAGACCCAACCAACACTTACGTGACGTCAAACGAAATTGCTTCTTTCGGGACAGCGCGAGCTATAGACGCCATCACACCAAGAAACCGAGAGGCTACATGAACGTCTAGTTGAAGGCCTAATCCTCTAATAATAGAGACCTTGAATACTAGAATCCTATAGTTCGAAGGCTAAAGGGTGTACAATAATACGCTTGGTATAGCTGCGGGTCTGCTTGGCTGTAAAAGATATCGACTATCTTGCTAGGGTGTTGTGGTTTCGCGAGACAAGCGCAGATTCTAGAATGAACCCCAAGGGTATTAACACACATTTACACCGACTCAACAATTTTGGAGTTTAATTATTGTTATGTTCCTTGGCGTCAGGCGTAGCCGTTTGTAAGGTCAATATACTGGATCTAATCGAATCTATGACTCGACACAACTTGACAATTTTCAGACCAATCAAGAACATAGAACAAGAATACAATACAGGAGGAGCAAGAAGATTGTTACTGTATCAGAATATAAACTGGTTACCGATAAGATGTTTCCGTACCGACTCTAGATTCGGCACTGTGTCAGCTCCTCAGGCACTTTTTCTTTATTATATTGGTTTCTTAAAGATAAAGCGTACCGGTGCTGCTACATTTGGCATTATCCATGTTCCAGCATTGTTGGCGTTGTTGTCGCTACTATAGAGACCAAGGAAATGGTCGGGAGATGGTATGGTGGTGATTGTATGGCAGATCCCAAGACAAGAGCATGCGGCACTGTCTCTGTTGCCCCTGGTGTGGCGGCCCAAACGCTGCAGGAAGTATTTTAAGTTTGCTGTCAGGCTTTTCCCGGCATGGAATGAGATACATCGGTGTCAACTAGGCGAAATTCAATTGACGACTAGGTAACTGAGGAGGGTATTCCACTCCCGAGATGTATTGGTACCCAGCATCGAGTGCGACTCTTTAACGATCATAAAATCCAACCCTCGCGCCCCTAGACAAATCGTTAAATGAATGGCGCGATCAGAGATTCAAATCAATCGCTGAGATTCAGGAAGGCCTGTAGGCCGCTCTCCATGTTAATCTCATTATAAATGCTGGTCTCGATAAAGGGGTGTCATTGACGTCTGATCGATTCCAAGACCCTGGTTCGACCGATTACGCCGCAGCGGGATAATAAATCTTGACTGTGACTGGACACCAATGGTGGCTGTAGGGCGTCTGGGGCACTGTTCACGATCACCTGCACTGCATATGGATATACTGTTATTAGTATCGTTTCCGTGAAGTTCGATACTGTACGACCACCCACCGCCTTTCGCCGGTGGGTGGTCGGCAGCGTAAAGGCATTTTCACCGTAAAGGCAGATTTTGAAGCAATTCGCATTTCAACGCCTAGAACCTGTAGAATCTATAAAATAAAGCTGATTACGCGATTCCTCTGCCTTTTCACTATACAAAGCAGGACCTTGATCTTCCACAGGGGGCACAGAGGAAAGATAGCCATTTACCTCTTTATATGCCTTATCTGCCTTCTTCTTCTTCTTTAGCTTATCTTTGGCCCTTCTCTCAGCGATAGATCAATTTACATCCTGTACAGTCAGTATATCAATATTTAAAAGACCCTGAATCGCTTGCTTAGTAGTTTTATATTTCTGAGATTTCTGGACTGCTTTAATTCGCTCTAAAGTAGAGTTTATAGCCATGAGCTGCTTAGATTGAACTTTCTACTGATAAAAAAGGCATTCTAGGCAGTACTTAATTTATAGAGAAATCTCTGCAGATTCTAGTAAATAAAATAGCTTCTTTTAGTTCTTTTTAACCTGCTGAGAGATCTTAGGAGATGTATTCTCAACACTTGAAGAGAGAGGATTAGGAGGCGGTGTAGTCTCTCTATATATATACAGATCAGGTGCGGAGATCTCTAGCAGAGATAATAGAGTATTCTGAATAGCTTCAATAATAAAAGATCTATCTGGAGGATAGATACTGTGTTCTCTAAAGGAGTCACGAATAATTCATGAGTTGAAGGTCTCTTATATAGAGCCATAATATCACTTAAAAAATTGTCCTTATCTTCTGGGACTCTATACTACTATATGTCAGAGCCTATGGGAGCCTAAGGCAGCAACCACGTGACCTGACCACAACACCAAGGAATCTCTGTATGATAGATTTAGACCTGAAGACAATCAATCCCATTACACGTGAGCTACACCAGCTCCATCACTATATAATAAGATTATTCGCACTTTAAAAATGTATCTTATATATAAGAAATGGTTTTCCATCAAGCGGTTGGCAGAGGTAAGTTATATAAGATCAAAAGCAAAAGAAGAGAATCTTATAGATTTTATAGAGTTACAGAAATTTAACTGTTTTATAAGAAGTATAATTGTTAAAGATAAGCATATATTTTTCTTTCTTATTTATATAATCCTTACAGCTGATTGCAAAATTGACGCAAATGTTTATACGCTTGTCTTCTTTCCGAAACCCTTAGGCTAAACTTCATTCAGGAAAGCCTCGGAAGAGCTATAATCCGGGAAGGTACTAGTAATGACCGAAACAGAGAAATGAAATATTCCTGTAAAGACGCGTGTAACGCCCATACGGACGATGCACGGGCTACCAACGACAGACCTACCCCAGCTCTTATGCCCCACTTACCTCTGAGGCTCAACCGCCTAGCCAGCGTCTGACTACTATGAGTAGACCTTGATCATAGCGCTGATGTCAATGCAGAGTGCAGAAGGCACGGGACTGCTCTCCAGGCCCTCTCATGGGGATAGTAACGCCCGAGGAGGAAGGTACCGGGCTGGTCTGCAGGCTGCTTCACAGGAAGGCATGAGAATATAGTTGTAGTACTAAGAACATGTAGATTCACTACTCCTGGGTAGTGAAATAAACTTTAAAGTACCAGACTCAATTTCCTGACCTCTTTCAACCGGATGGCCGGGGTGTCTTAATTAGAACCAGTCAGTGTAGGCAACTAAGACGGACCGTATCTTCTGAATAAAACGTGGACAACGTCATAGCGGGCGATCTTCAGACGTCACTGTACTGACTCTGGCTGCGACCAACTGATAGGATGTGTTGAAGATTAAGCTTAGTTCTTTCTTCCTTTTCTGAATAGTTAGAAGCACTGTCTACAACTGGATTCTTGTAATAAGACTACTTGTCAGGATAGTAGGCCTCTTAGTCAGGTAAGGACTAAAGCAACAGTGCAATTGTGGCAAGACTGTTTCTTGAGCATCCCATCAAGGATATCAAACGAGACGCTCTATTAAGCTATATGGTATCCCATGACCTCCTGAACCCTAGTAACAGTGTCGTGCGCGGAGTCCACAGGTCCTATACTAATTAGGGCAGACCAGAAGGTCTACTAAGCACAGAGTCCATATTAAGTCCAGAGTCTACAGCCCATCTTAGCAGAGTCTATAGGGATGGCCTGGAGTCTATACAAATCACCTAGATCCTGGTTAATTCTAGAGTTGCATTTAGTCTAAGTTTGGGTAAGTCTAACCCCAGTTGGAACTGAACCACTGTGATTTTAAGTCTAAATTTTAGAAATCAGAACTAAATTAGAACCAGTCTGAGTTGGTAGAGTTTTAACCTCAGAAACTTACTACTAGGCCTAGATAGGCGCAGCTAGGCCTTTATGGCGAACTTCTTCTGCGGCAATATTGCAAATGCAACAGCTTCGCATGTGCGGATATCCATATCTATTAGGTCAATATTTCAGATATTTCTGCAATGCCTTTTAACTAGTCAGAAAGTCACAAATGTCACATCAGGATATGCTATAGAAGGTCCGCTCAGCAAATCTGATGTGTGCCCATAAACAAAGTACTGCAGTGTGGCAATGATGTATGAAGCAATCACACCCTTAGCCCGCAAACCACCTATCGTCCCAGTACGATTGGCCTGAATAATTTGTCTAACTTCGTCCGAGACACTCAGAGCATCGACAAGCACTGGAAAGTCAGAAAAAGTATAGTGTTCGGACTGTGCGAGTTCAAGCTCAAGTTTCCATCCTCGTAAATGTGACCAAAATGCTGCCCAGCTGGGCTCTGTTGCCTGCGTGTGGTTTGTGTGACCGAAAAGCAGGAACGGACTCGACAGTCCTTTGTCCACGACTGGCCCCCATAGTCTACCATCTAGATTGATACCCCCAACAAACCGATTGTCAACCAGTATTGTCTGCGCTGCTGTTGCTCCGCCGAGGGAATGACCAAGGATCGTGACTCGATCGAGTGGAAGCAAATTTCCCTGTGACAAAGGGAATATGTCTCTGATCACTTTTTCCTCGTGCATTTGATCAAGTAAAAAGACCATGTCCTTAACACGAGCGTTCAGTGCTCGAACAAATTCTGTTTCGGTACTGATGTTTGCGAGTATTCCGAGAACCGTGTGGCCATCAGGATATTCTACGATGTCAGCATCGTACGGGTGATCGACGGAGACAACAGCAAATCCGTTACTGGCAATTTCTTGAAGCAGCAATGTGTACATCAATCTTGAGGTTGCCAGTGCCGGTGAGAAAAGCACTACTGGGTAATCTCCGTGGTGACTGAAAGGCGGTGGTGGCTGCTGTGTCTGAGTCTGGATATGAAGGGACTCGAACGTTCCTGGAGGTAGTCCAAAAGACTGGAAACTCACATCTTCATACCTGCCTGTTGCATTGGGGATGTAGGATGTAGATGGTACACTTCCGCAATTGATGGGTGTAAAGGTGGTGACCATGATAGAACGTTTACCTCCTTTCGGGTCATAGGGATCGGTTCGAGATATGTCAACTAGTTCACTTACATGAAGCGTGACATCGCATGGTCCGGTGCTCGAAGGAAGAGCGACGATTGCCGTTTGGCCAAGACTGATAAGAAAAACATTAACAGACCATAGGATGGCCTGAATCATTTTGGCGGCTCTCTGATTATGAAGATGGAAAAACCATACAATAGAATTATCAGCGGAGCCGAGCGGCTTACTATCCTTTATTTATACCTAACTAATCCGAGACATCCGAGACATCCAAGACATTGGCTGACGACCCAGTTCTTACTATGTAGTTAATGCCTGAGTGGCCGGAGGGTCATCAGCCATCCCTTCAACCAGTGGGCCCAGACGCCCTGTTGTGGATCTCCAAGAAGCCGTGCAATTGACAATTGGGTGAATATAACGTTTTCTTTGTTTGCTATCACCATCTTATTCCTGGTAAGTGGATCTAGACAACAGGATCAGCCTTACGGGAGACTAAATACCAACTCCGCACAACATTACCCCGGTTATTCGCGCCCAGGCAACCAAGAACCATGCTGTGACGCCAGGGCTGTGCAATGTAACCTCAGAGGGGGCGGACGGAGCAGGACATGCGGCATTGAGGGAATATCGGCAAGTTCTAGATACTACGGAGGTTGCTGGGCTTAGAGAAGAGCAAGGCACACTATCAGAAAGAGATGATGGCTTCGTAGTGTGCTGCTCTGTCACTCCCTTGAGGCAACAGCAAGAGTATCGACACAAAATAGCCAGGATGCCATTATTGCCTAAGTCAACCCGGTGGTTCTGCTCCTAGGTGGCATGCATTGCAAGCTCGTCGGATCGAGCGGCATCTTCATTAGAGGAAGGGGCCTGTGCGTCAGGCGAAGAGCTAAGGCGGAAACTACTACTTAAAGATTACTCTTTTTAATAAGGGCTATACCTATCTTAACTAGCTCCTAATATATAAGGACTGGATTGCGACTAAAAGTATCTAGATAAATATACAGAGTCGCTTGTAGACATATTTACGGTATTTACCTAGTTTATAGCATTTTATCTTTCTGACAACCACTCTCTCAATTTCTCAAACTACTATGCTGCACAGTGATTTTCAATATTGCCTTGACCAACAAATGTTTGATAATTATCTTTCTGACCCACTGCCAAGCCACTAGTCAGAATAGTTTATTACAGTGAGGTGCAAAAAGTATTTGACCACCTACCTACACGGCATAACCCCAGCAACGATTAATCTTATCAACTGTTGCTAAATGGCGAGAAACCTGAACTTCTGGCCGTAAGATAACTTATACACATGATATAGGACGTCTCGAAACCAATGCTGCAAACCATTTTTCTAACACTAGTTCCTAAGCCATACTAATAGTTGAAGGGAGTCAAGGGACTTTATCTGAAGTATGCTCCCTTATCAGTTAAGCTGGTTTTATTTCTTATAATATAAATACCTAGACGGAGTCAGTGTTTCCACTCCCATTTCACCGTTCTATAACCTCGCCCTCATGCTCCAACATGAAAGACACAACCTCGCCCTTCTGGCCCAATTTTCTCTTTCATCACCCTCCTCAACACCTCTATCTTGCACTCAGCACCGCCTCTTTCTCCAGGTCGATACTTCCCCCAGGCCGACAAGTCGTCAACTTCCTGGTCGGGCAGAGAATACTTCCTTGATGCGGTACTGGTGTAAGGATTCAGGAACTTGAGGATATGGGATGCCCAAACAACATGGACGAACTCATTTGACACTTTGATGCTCGAGGGCCCCATGACTATACAACTCAAAAGAAGATAAGCAATGGTAAACTATAAACAACACAAGCTGTGATAGTTATTTCATCTGAACATTCATTCCGGATTTTCCTTAGGCGCTTACGACAAGCGGCGGGGTACTAAGGCTAATTTCTTTCTATATGTGTACCTATGATATCAGTCATATATGCCTTACATAAAATAACCTATAAAGTCATCACGCTGCAGCCCGACCCCTCGTTTCAACTGGCAGAAAGAACCAAGCTCCGACCACAGTAATTTTTACTGCACCACGGAACCAAACTGGACCACCCCTGGCTACAGTGCTGCCTGTGTAATCACTAATAATCTCAGTAACAATGCCAAAAGGGCCCCCTTATAAATCCTATAATAATCAGTCCCGAGCCACGCACAGGAGAGGCAAACAACTTAAGGGTATATATTATAAGCACGGCAAGTCCAGCATACTATAGGAACAAAAGGATGCAAGTAAATGCTAGAGCGGCATTTCAGGACTGTATAACAGTAGCAAGGAACTTAAAAAGGCCTGTTAGTAGGGTAATAATTACACCAGTGCATTTTCAGCCTAGGCTCTTTGCTTCCATGAGGAATGCTGCAAGAAGGGGTCCGGGGATTGACGATATAGAATCAGAAAATAGAGTGACAGACTCTCATGAGCCATTCAGGATTTCTTCCCTGGGTATGGCCCTGTGGCTAAATCTACATGGGTCGCGCTGATACGCTTTAGATGGGGGCGGGATTCGCGGCATTTCAAGCCGACTCACTCTCCAAAATATCATGGAGAAAATCCGTGAGACTAACAATCTCGACTGTGTCCCGCAACCATGCGAATATTTTGATCTTATTGGTGGCACGAGCACTGGGGTAACATTATCTGCCAGTATATTAGATCTGCTTTACTGATAGGCTACATAGGATTATTGCTATTATGGTTGGAAGGCGGGGTATGACCGTTGATGAGCACATACAACCATAAAGAAAAGTTGCTCAGCAGGCGTTTACACCAAAATCAAGATCTTCTATTTCCCTGCTATCCTCCAGAAGATTCTCCGGCAAAGCTCTCGAGTCCGCCATTAAAAAAAACAAAGAATTCTGCACAGAAGCAGAATGTATAGCACAACAGTGTGAAGGCCACTCAACAGTTAAAACTTGTCTACATAGTAAGACAGCCTTTCGAAATATGGCATGCACGAAGACGTATGTTCTTAAATCAAACCTTGTTGTTAAAGTAAGCCTAGCCTAATGAACCAATAAGTGGGCTCTAGGGTCACTTTGCAAAGACATGCGAAGTGAGGTTATCCGGCTGTCGAAGATATTAAAGATCAAAAAAGGAGATTTTACCATCCTTTATCAACTTAATTAGGCAGCATGGTTCCTTTCTTCTTATATTTCAAATTGAAAGAACTGTCTTGTGTGCTGTATAACAAAGTAATAAACTCCGCTTTCCTCCTCGGTTGACTAAATGGTAATCTGGATCAGGCACAAGCTAACTTGAATAGAACCATTTCTGGCAAACCAGTTCACCCCAATATAAAGCTGTCTTCCAAAGCCGTAGAGCACACTGAAGAATTTTATTCTCCTTATAGTAGCGGCGTATACCATAATACAGTCGTGGTGGTGGTGAATTCATACCCGACCCCTCGCCTACGTTGCTTTTACCACTCAACCAAAATACAAATCCGCGCTCAGTCTCGTGGCTTGTAGTTTATAATTAACTGCCAAGGCGAATATGCAGGATACCACTATCTAGGCTTTATGTATGTCTATATTAGTAGACAATTACTTCCCGACGAATTTTGAGCCTCGTCACTGCCTGCGGTGGGTGTTTTTCTGTTCAGCGACCCTGTGGCGCGCGACCCTGAAACCTCTGTGATGCATCTAACATATGTTCTGATAGCTGCCTCAAGGTGGTCCGAATGCAGCGCCAAGCCAATCTCAGCTTGTCCGGCGGTGGTCCGGTCAGCATCATTAAAAGGCCGACTCGTCAACAGCCATCTACTGTAACATTGACATGATCGAGCCCAGTTCGAACAATTCTCAAAAAATCCGGCATCCCTTCCTTTAGGCACTCATCAAGAGCATCCACTTTCTGTAATCCCTGTTGGTGTTCTTCATCTCTTTTCCTGATCTCTTTCCTGAGTTTGCTGAGTTATGCGACCAGCTTGTTGTCTCTGTACAGTAATAGTGCTTGGGCTGTAGCCAGCAGCTCTTGCAATTTGGGACCGGGTAAGCTCATTGCTAAGATGATATCTTGTATGAGCTCTGGCTTTCCACGGGGCTAGATTGGGGGCCGTTCGTGCTGTAGATGATTGACATCTTAGTTGGGTTCGTGGTATGACCACTTGGGGGAAATATGTCTTGTATGTAAGTTTACAGGCATTGTAAAATATGCTAAGTCATTCAGAACGGAATTACCATTCAAAACAGCAACCTGTACCATGGATCTCGGAGTATATATACGGAAACGGTCTAGCGCATTCTCTAGTTAGGGTTTCGGAAAGACTTGAAGAGTATGAACATTTGCACCAGTTTTGCAATCAGCTGTAGTCTTCTTGTGAAATCAATAAAGCTATTCAATCAAAAGTTTATTATTTATATAGTCTTTTTCAGAGACTGCAGTATAGGTATCTAGTAAATTTATATTATACCAGATCTTTATAAATCACTTGTCTTTAAAGATAAAAAGCGGCTTCCTAATCTAAATATCTGTAGTAATATATTTAACCGCAGTTATATTCTCTGAATACTCTGATTCTGCAAGATCAGAAACTTTTTCTCTTATACTAAGTATGTTTTGTCTCTTTTCTTTACCTGGTTAAAACCCACATTTATCAAAATTATACACAAGGCAAGAATGGATTCTGTTAAGCAAGTTTATAAGTTAATTATATTAGAATTAAAGCTATCTAATATTCTCTATATCTAGACGCTTTTTCTCCTTTGTTTTCTACTTTATTAAACCAATTTTTAAGTGTGGAGAGAGTCTTTTAGCAAAGTGATATGCCTATAATTGATTAAGATATTATTTAGGATCAACACGGTGTACAGTAAGGTTTGCCTATTCAAGAAGAAGCAAAATCATAACTGAAATATATAAATTATATATTTTAGCAATCCACTGGACCAAGGCAGTCTCTTAATACTGATTTAGCGCTTTGTTTGTAGGTGATTTAGCTGTATAAGACTTTCTTTAATTATGGACGCGGCTATAGAGCGTGCGGTAAGGGATCCCGAATTCTTATGCAGTCTTTGCAATATTAGGTCTATTTTTTTGCTGAATCGCTTTAACAGCCTCATCTACACGCCCATCGTGAATTTCAGATGATTTAGGCATAGTGGGTAGTTTGTATAGCTTCAAAAAGATGAGGAATGCAAAATCTGCCTTTACGGTGAAAATGCCTTTACGCTGCCGACCACCCACCGCCTTTCGCCGGTGGGTGGTCGGTCCCACCACTAATACACTCCATGTTTTCCCGAGTCCCCAAAGCCAAGCGAAGTTGCCCCGCAGTCTGGTGGGTCCGTACGATCTCCGTAATACGACGATTTGGCAACCAGGTTCGGCAACGAGCGAAAGAGTACTCCGTATCATGTGGTGATATCGGTTACCGGACACCTTGTACTCTTCCTTGTACTCTTCTTTGTGCGACCTGTGGAATGATATGGGGCTAGTCCGTCAGCTCTTCTGTGTGCTGGAAGAATACAAGGGATAGCGCTGGCTCTCTTGTAGGGGGTAACCGTCTTTCTATATGGCCGCATCGGTCCCTGGTCACTTGAGCTTTTCCAACCATAAGAGCCGTTCAGCCTAATATGACAGGCCACCAGGAACCATATCATCACCGGCCCGGTGACATTGGCAGTACTTGGGGACCCGACTCTGCAGTGCGGCACATCTGCCTCTATTGAGAACGTGGGCGGCGGTGGAATCTTCCTTGGGCAGATAACATTCGGAGAGATGCAGCACGCGACTACCGTTCTGCGTCTCTATAATCTCGAAATGGACCTTACAATCAGACAGTCTTTTGAGTTCCCCCCTGCCAAGCCCGTAGCACTATTGAAAACCCATCTCTCGCACGTGTATGATGGGGTGATCATGGCAGTTGTCGACAACGTCATCGCCCGATTCTCTAAATTCCCTAAGAGTGGGGAAGAATGGGGCTTGCCACTAACTCTCGGCTAGACAGTGAAGCCAATTTAGGGAAAGGAATGACACCAAGCACTATATCTTAGTTGGGATAAGCGTATCTGGGGCAAGGGTGGATGGGGAGTGGGCAATAGGCAATCGACGGGCAATTGAGAGAGTTTTAGCGTATTTAAAAGACACTGTACTTTGGATAAACACGAAAGTCTTCACATTGCCAGCTATCCATACCGCTTAAACATAGAATAAAGGCCACCAGTGCACAATCGGACATACCGGGAACCATGAGACGGTAGAAATTCATCGTCCTAACGCCTGACAAAAGCAGTGACCAAGTGTTCTTGAGTGTTCTTGCCATGGGTATCAGGAAAGCGCTCTCGCCGTTTTAATCATTTATTCGACTCGTCTTCATCACGCGGTTCTATTTAGAGGGAACCCGCGTGCAATTCCCAAATTGTATTAGTTTCATCGATCCGGTCGTGCGCTTACGGCCGGACCGCAGAGTTGCCACTCCGTGCAAGCCCTCCCCCCCCCCAAAGCCACAAAATCAGAGGGCAGTCGGTTATGACAGCTACCAACGATGGGATACTCGCCTTTGAGACCGAGACTGACTAGGCTCTTCTAGTCGATGTGGGGAGAGCCTAGACGGGTGACATGACACCTCTAATCGTGGATGCGCTCTGAGACTACGACACGCCAACAGCGCGAAAATCACTTGACGGTTTACAAGGAGAAAACATTGGTGGTGACTACTACTGCAACCCCAGAAGCGCTACCGCGGTAGTGATCGAGCCTGTCGGCGCTAGGCCTACTTAGGAAGGTGTTGCTAACAGAATATCATCTGCCTTGGGTGTTAGGCGACGAGGTAGGAGACCCCCGGCGGAGTAGTGGATAAGGCGAGCCTGGGGGAGGGACACTGAAGGCGACGTATCCAGCCACGACCGCGCACCGCCAGAGGAATTTAATAATAATAATAATAATAATAATAATAACGGTGTTCTGCTTACCTGAGAGAAACTACCTTGCCACTCCTAGTTAACCAACTAACTGAAGGAGCTGGCCCCCGGGAAATGCAGCCTGAAATGGGATCGATATTCAGATCCGGAGACGGACAACTGGTCTGTCCGCTCGAATTTTTTGACCGTGCAGATAGGATAGGCACAACTACTCCAGATTCCGACGGTCGATCAAGTGGATCCGGGAGTTGAACATCTGCGTCCATAGGCGATCTACGCCGACTACGAGGAGACGGAAAGGAGCATTCTTTCTCTGCGGCAGGAATGGCCATGAAGAGGAAGATCTTGCATGAAAATACCCTGCGTATGGGTCTGAGTGTGCACCGGCACTCTCGTTCTCGTATGTTATATGTACTTGCTTGTTTCAGTAAAAAGCTTCAATGTATTAAGATATAAAGGATTGAAGGAGGGCCCGGTTCGGCGCGTAGTGGATGATCGTAGTAGAACTTCTGAGTAAGCACTAGTTGTAGTAACTAACTAATACCCAAAGGCGACCAAAGGCGACCGCACCAGATAGCAGACGACCCCCCTTTGGTCCGTGGTGCAACCTCGTATTCCCGTGAAGATCTTGGCGGAGCCAAGTGTTCCTGACTCCGGCCTAGATACGAATCTCAGGTTAATTGGTGGGAGCTGTCCTCGCTTCTGGAACCAACAAAGTATACGTCCGCTTCCGCCGACCGTTTATCGCACGTCGCGCGTCGAGGAGTTAACGAGAAGGGAGTTGAATGGAAGGCGTATTTAAATGCTGAATTGTCCTTTGTTCCCCCCGCCTCCGAGCATATTGAGATTCTCAACTAGCCATGTTCGCCACTTTCACCAGCTCCATGGATAGCAGGAGCAATGCCAGCTCTCCGATCACATCAGCGAGACCCAAGAGGACAACGGTCGCCCGAGCCTGTGACTGGTGCCGGCTGAACCGTGTCAAATGCGATGAGGGTCAACCTTGCAAGAACTGCCGGACTCGGGGGGTCCGATGCTGCAAGGAGAGTAAATCGGCTGAGCAGACCAACCAGTCGGCGGCAGCTACCCCAGGGAAAGAACCGGAGAGACTTCGATCACGAGGGTCGGAGACGGAGGATCTAGGGAATAAGAGGGCCGAGGAACGGGAGAAAGCAGCGACCACTCACCAAAAGTCCCCTGCGAGCGGTTCACGCTGCACCACCTCGTTGCGATGGCATTGGCCTGGTGCCTGGATCTCCGACGCCGTTAATACGAATAGTGAGCCGCGGTATTACGGCCCGAGCTCTTTCCTGCATTTCGCCGAGCGGCTGCGCATCTATCTCCAGGAGTCACTCAGTCAACCACAACTGGGGAATGCGCTGCAGTCGTTTACCTGCAGCAGTGTCTCGTCATTGTCCCCCAACGCCGGGGATGACATGGACTTTATGGAAGGCGCTCTGACGCGCCAGCAAGAGGAGTACTTGCTCAGCCTGTTCTGGCAGTCCTACCACACGCTCATTCCGATTGTGGACGCGGACGAGTTCTGCGCCCATTATCATTCCCTCTGGGAGGCTGGGCAAGATTCCACCCGGCGACCATCCGCTTTGGTGGATATCGTCCTAGCGTTGTGCATGCAATACAGCGCCGCCCTCATGGCGTCGGGAGAAATCGAGCCCATGGAGCTCGATTCGAACGACACCAACACCGCGGGCCATTGGGTATACCAGAGATGCCAGCGGCTCCTATTGAGAGAACAGGACACACTGTCCCTTCGCACGTTGCAAGCTTACATCCACTCTGCCGTCTATCTGATGAATGCGTCGTGCCTGAACGCGTCGCATCGAGCCCTCAGTATTGCCATACATACGGCCACTAGCTTAGGACTGCATCACGATCCTGAAGCATATCCCCGTACTCCTCAGCAAGCTCTCCGACAACGGATATGGTTAACGTTATTCTTTCTGGACTCCAAGCTAAGCCTGGAGCTCGGCCACCCGTACCTGATGCAGGAATACGACGTACCGGTCGACCTGCCGCGGTCCCCTGAGTTGCAGGCTATCGAGGCGAGTCCCTCCATCTCAACCTTCGGGGATGTCAATTGGCTGAGCTACCACCATGAGTGCGTCAAGTTGACCTCGAAGGTGCGCCACATCTCCATCACGGCATTCCAGACGTGTAGTGAAGCTATGCCCCGTCACAATGAGACATCGATATATCAAGCGACGAGTGTCTTGGACAGCGGTGTTTCCTACCTGCATAAGTCCATGGAGGTGCTGCAAACCTGGGCTCAGGAGGTGCCGGTGTCGCTAAAGCTGGCACGCAAGGGCGATGCGGACCCCTTCTCCACCGCACGCTCTCCACTGGAGAGTGATGTCTACGCCCCCCTCTGGCTGCAGCGGCAGCGTGTTCTCCTGGAACTGCTCTACCACAACCTGGTCATGACATTATACCGTCCCTATATCAAATTCCCTGATGCCTCAGCGGGAGCCTCTCCTTCCATCGGACCCACCGCGGCGCAAACGTCCGATAGTAGCTCGCTGTGCGCCCTGAAGCACGCCACGGCCACCATCAATATCGTCCACCAGGTACTCACGGAGACCGATATTCTTAACTCATGGCATCGAGCCTATCAATATACGTGGGATGCCACCTTGACGATTCTCGCGTTCCGGTTGTTGCATCCCACGTGCCCTCACTCCTTCTCAGCTCGGCGAGCGACGGCCATTGCCATTGAAACCTTCAATATCTTCTCCCGTTATGGCTTTTCGGCGGCCGCGCAGGCCGTGGAAATTACCAAGGGGGCGGGTAACACGATCGATTTTATGGTCCAGTCACTGCGCAGTAGTTTCCGACCGAGCCAAGGGCCCACTCCGCGCAGCCAGGACGACGGCCACGATGTACCCACCCCCCCGCAGTTCTCATCCTTATCCGGCCCCTCCCAGAAGCCACCCTTCATGGTGCCGCAGCTTATGCAAGGGGCCACTGCCCTGCCGCCGTTCCAGCAGACCCTGGACCTCCTGCCGCAGCCGTTCAGTCTCCCGCAGGGCCACCCCTCCCCAGCATACTCTATGAAATTGCCGGACACTAATCCTCCCTTTTTCCTGAGTGACACCCCCGCTATCATGCCTATGAATTCGCCCACGGATCTGGTGAACGAGATGATGGATCAATCATGGGTTCCGAATGATTGGTGGCGGGAATGATCTCGAGAAACGCGCCGCGAACTATGATTCTAACTCGATGATACGCGGCGCTCAACATTGAGGGACGGGGCTGGTGGGACAGGAATCTTACCGAAACTGACGGAGATGATCATCAGCAGGCTACAGAAAAGAGGATCCTAGCTTGAATCATATTTAAAGAAAGTCTGGATCTACGATACGGGTTGGATCGGGTGATTGGCCCATGGGGCTAAACGTCTTGTGGGTCTCTCTATATCTAAATCCTCCATCTGGATGTCACAAATCTTGTCGGTCGATCAATCGTACCTCCCAAAAACCTTTTGCGACTGCTCCAACTCCCGGAAAATTGTTTGTCTTCTCTCCTCCCCCCGGACAGTAATGAGTGCATCGTAATCCTTTACGCAGTGCATAAATCCCTGACTGCTACCGGTCTCCGCACTCACGTCACTTCTACCGGCCGGATTCTTCTTGAACTCGAACGCCCATAGCAGCTTCGCCACGGCGATGAACAGATTCCGCTCCGCAAGATGGATGCCGGGACAGATGCGGCGGCCAGCGCCGTAGCCAAAGTGATCCCGCGCAGCGCCGTCCGCCGCCGCGGCATAGTGCGGCGCCAGCTCTGGGAAGTTCGCATAGCGGTCCGGGATGAAGTCTTCAGGGTTTTCGAATCGGTCGGGGTCCATGTGCATGCCCCACACATTGAGGATGATGGTGGAGTGCTTGGGCAGATGCATTCCATTGTACGAGTCGTCTTCCGCCAATCCGTGGACGACACCCAGTGGAAGGACAGGCCGCCAGCGGTGTGCCTCCTTGATCATCATGTTGATGTAAGGGAGTTTACGGAAGTCAGACCAGGCCGGGGAACGATCCGTACCAATCACAGAGTCGATCTCAGCGTGCGCTCTAACCCAGAATACCATCAGTAACTCCCTTTTCTTGCTTGCTTTGCATGAGGTGGACACGGTACGATCGTGGCAACGTACCTTTTCTGAACTTCAGGGTATTGAGTCATCGCTTGTACAATAGCTAGGATCAATGACGAGGAGGTATCCGATCCACCTTCCATCAATGTCCCTCCAAGGAATGCCAGCTGGTGCTCACCAAACTGGTTTTTGACCTGCTTATCCAGGACCCGGTCCATGAAGGAGTCCTTATAGATCCCTGCCTTTCGCCGGTTCTCAATGACGTGTAGCACCTCCGTGTATAATCCGGTCATCAGATCACCCACCTCGGTCGCTCGTTGCCGCCAGTAGCCCGTGAATCTTTCTGGGATCCACTGAAGCAAGGGCCAGGAATCGACAGGAGGGGTGGCTCCAGTCTCGAGCACGAGGGACCATTTCTCCATGAGACTGTACAGCCGCGTCATATATTCATCCTTGACACTCTTTGTGCGAATTCCAAACACTAGATGCCCAGGTCAGCAGGAGCGAAAGAAACGGGGACGGCAAGAAGGACACAAAGACAGCATACCCAGCGACATAGTAATACTGTTACTGTACCGCTTCGGATGCATCATATGGTTCTCTGGATCCACCAGAAAATCATACAACATCTGAGCCGCCTCCGCCTCTTGCAGCTTCCAGTGCTCCTTCTCGCACTGGGATTCCATGAGATATTGGTGAATGAGCTTGCGCATTGTGCGCCATGTCTCACCGTACTGCATCATGAGGATGTGGTCCCCGTGAGTTATGAGATCGGCTACCTTGGACGGAGGACGGTGACTGAAGTTGATACTCTTCTTGTCTACCAGCCCCTTCATGAGTTTCCAGTCGGTGATGACGATGGTGGTATTGCGGAAGCGTTTAAGAGAAAAGATGCCGCCGTACTGCTTTGCCCATTTCGACATCCTGGATATGAGGAGGGGGGGAAGGGTTAGACATCATCCGGCCCACACACGGTGAAGGTGTCTCACATACAGGAAGTGGCCATCACATTTGGGAATCTGGTGTTCATTTCCTAGTACAAGGCGGGTTGGAGGTCCTTCAAAAATCTTTAATCCGACGCTGATGATCTGTGGTCTGGGGCTATGCACTAACCTGGGGGAAGATTTCGTTCTCGACGCCCTATGCGAAACACAGATACAAGTAACGAGACAAGCAATAGACTTACACCTGTCGTTAGGGCTACGAGCGCCTTGCTTGTGGACCAGAGGTCCAGAAGGGGAAGAGTTGACATTTTGTGGTGTGGATTACTTCTGCTGCACAATCTGTATCTGCTTATAGAGGGGGTTGAAACCGAAATGAGTAGAAAGGTGGATATGCATATGTATATATATATACTCGTCCTCAGCAATTATAATCACTACAGACGAGTATCGCAGTGAATCACTTTGTCAGAATAAGATATATCTTTGTACAGACGACATAACCGTGCTTCTATGGGGTTTACGCTTACCCCTCCTCGTATATTTTTCAAAGTGCTCTACATTTGCCCCACCACTACACGCTGCTGTATTTCCGTAAGGAGAACTCCATTCCATTTTCCTCTTTCGGTTGTCTCCGAACTATATGTCATTGGCCAATCGCGCCAGGGTAGCGTCTTCGCGGAAGGAGAACCGGATGATGGCGGGAAGCTTCGTATCTACGGAGCGTCCTTTTCGCCAACTCAACCTTGCCCTGTTGACCTAATCCCTTCTGTAAGGCAAATATGGCATGCTCAGCTACGTTATCAAGCCAATGGTGGAATATCGTTGGAACCATGTTTGATAATACCGAGGGAGTTTTGGTACATACGGTTTATGTAGCTATCCTACTTGCAGGTTCGTTGAAGAAGGCAGAGATGTACTTCACCAGGGTTCAATTGCAGTATCGAAGGGACATTTTAATTCCGAAAACATGACCAAAATCAATGTAGAGGAAACAGGGAAACAAATGTAAAAGAGTTGATCAGCAGCAACTTTCGGTCCTTAGATGCGTTTTCTCAAGTCCTCCCCATTCTCCTTAACCACAGCCTTCACATCGGTACCATTGACTTTAGACAATTCCGTATACCCATTCTGAACCCCGTTGACCTTCTGTCTCGCCGACTCCGTAATGTCAGTCACGAGTAGCTCGTAGTCTGCGTTGGTAGGCTTGGGGAACGAGGACAGCTTGACCTGTTCGTCCCACGACTTCTTGGCCGGGTACGAGTCATTCACCAACCGGCGCGTCCAGGGATTGGCCTTCATTTTAGTCACAGCGAAGTCCCAATCGGTGGTATATTCCCGGAAGAACGGCTTATAGCCTAGAAGGCCGCCAATCCAGCGGCCAATGACCACGCACATCCAGTAGCCGATGAGGCGGCGGAAGGGTAGCCAGGCGGGCCCGGGCGTGTAGTGGTCACCCGCGTCATGTATCTATAAGGACTAATTAGCGAGCTACTAGAGAGCCGGGGCTGAAATGGAACGCGAGAGTGCTGGGGTCCTACACAAAGGGTTTGAATGATATCCAAGCCTCCCTGGTACAGCAATGCATCATGCCAATATCCGTACCAATTCTCAAAGAACACCCGGTCCAGCTGGTAATCCACGCCAGAATCCGAGGCGCTCAGGATCACCGTCATCTTCTCCTGAGAGTCTGGATGGATGAAAAATCGATGGATGTTACCCGCCTTGCATGAGATTTCTTCATCTTCCGGGGTCAGAATGGTCTGCGTGCCGTTCACTTCCACCACACAGATTCCCTCCTCGACCTTGAAGTACTCTGTCTGCCACTGGTGGAAGTGCATGGGAGGGCCATTGGGGCGATGGTCGCTCTCGATCAATTTGCGGAGGTTCTCCGGGATGGGGCCTTCGACGTTGTGGCGGTAGGTTTGTCGCATCATGAAGCTTCGTCCAGGGGGGGCGGGGAGGAATTCGCTGGTGAGGAGACCGCCAAACCTAGGAGATCGTCAGTTTGGCCCTGTTGGCTCAAGCACCGTGCTGGCGCATTTGCATGCGGACTTTTTGATCACCGTTTGCCCAGCAGAGGTATGATAAGGCACGAATGGTGAGAAGCTTGGCCACTTGAAAAGCTCACCCATTTTGCTGATGGCGACGTGTTAGGTGCTCGATAGTGGAATAGGGTGAGAGGAGTCAGGCTTCTACGGTCGTCCTAAGTCGCTTGATAAGTCTGTAGCTTTCTGCGAGCCTTCGGCAGCGAAGGGGTTTTCAGAGACAACACTGAGTACGTTCAGACCTGCACAGTCTCTTTCCCGGGCCGGACAAAGATGTATGTTTCAATCCACTACCCTGAGTGATGACCTGCTTGGAGTAGAATATAGTCTTCGAATAGGCTTCATGATAGGAAACCCCGTCGACCGAGGATATCGCCACCCGGTGCATATGGCTATCTCCCTCCATTGTCGTTTTTCGCGTTTGCCTATTCTCGGATGCCTGAAAGGAGAAGTAGGGATTTGGCTTCGGATCTGCATCCGCCGGAGAGCTAAAAGGAGTCAGGCATGGCTACGCGATATTTGAGAGCGCGGAGGATCCCCAGAATCAAGGAGAATTGTGCAAAACTCGGGAATTAAATTCAGTAAGGGAGGGCGCGCCTGTCGAAACTGAACGTCAATTACCGAAATGAGAATGCCTAAATGGCATCTCCATCCGAAATTAATATCGAACACGAGGAACCCGTCAGCCACAACTCTGCCTAAGCAATAAGGCAGGCCACACCACGTGCCTACATGTGACCAGCAATCGGAATTACAGCCCTATGCATCCTCGTTCCGACAGGACATGCAAGAGGAAGAGTCCGGGCCATATTGTAGTCATCACAGTCTACCTTTTCCGCCGAAGCAGACACATACTACCTCACCATATTTGCTGCCCCTGTGTGACTAGTTGTACATCTAATGGGTAACACACTATTGGCACCTGTATGACTCTGTCATGCTCGTTGTGTATTTTTTTTTTTTGACTTTTTAATTAGCTCGTCCAAGTTAACGAAAGATACGGAGACCCGGTGGTGCGAAATTTCCCCGGAGTGCGAAATTTCGTGCTCCGGGTTGTCATTGGACCAGGCGAAATTATGGATATCTCGGCCAGAGTTCGAAGTGATTCATGCGAACGAGGATCTAGAATGACTCCCTTCACACCAAGAAAGTCAATCGCTACCATTGCAGACGACGGGTTGGATGCTCTCACTCTACGTCACAGCGCCGGGAGGAGGATGATCAAGAATCCTTCGCTTTACCGGAAGGGGCGCTGCGACACAACTCCGAGGTATATATGGCTCCGGTGTATGGCTGGCCTTAAATTCTCGTATCTGCAGGTCACTAGAAGGTCCTGCAGGGCAACGGGAATGAGCGAAACAAGCTAGACAAGATCAACGTTGTGGCGACATCTAGTAAAGATAAGCAATTGTTGGGACTCGATATATCGAGGTATAAGATGCAGCTACGATGCCAAATATTCTGAGGACCATCCCGCAGACGGATTGACGACAAGAACAGTTCTCCTTTTAGAGGGCCAAACAAACATCATCTCCTTTGCTAATTGACGATTCATCGACAAGAACACGTATTCCTTGGTTGTCTCCAACAGTTAGCCCAATATCAGCCATGGATGCAGCTGCAGAGGACGAGCGATCTATCGGCTCTGGAACTTCGGTGTCAACTGCATATCCGAGCAGATTAGATACCCCCGGAACCGAAATCGGCAGCCTTAATCTCGTAAGTCCACTCCCCCGCCCCCTCTCCTACGGTGTTCTGTAATATATCTGATCTCGAGAAACACAACAGGATCCGAATAATGAAGTCGCAGTCGTCGGCATGGCCTGCCGGCTTGCCGGAGGCAATCATTCGCCGGAAGAGCTGTGGCAGTCCATCCTAAACAAAACTGATGCATCTGGTGAGATCCCCAGCATGCGCTGGGAGCCATATTACCGCCGAGACATTCGCAATGCCAAAATCCTAGATCAAACGACGAAGCAAGGCTACTTTTTAGATCACCTCGAGAATTTCGATGCCGCCTTCTTTGGTGTCTCCCCAAAAGAGGCCGAGCAGATGGACCCCCAACAACGTCTGTCCTTAGAGGTGACCTGGGAGGCTCTGGAGAATGCTGGAATTCCGCCGCAGAGCTTGTCCGGCACCGAGACGGCCGTCTTTATGGGGGTCAATTCGGACGATTATTCCAAGCTTTTGCTCGAAGACATTCCTAATGTTGAGGCCTGGATGGGCATCGGCACCGCCTATTGCGGAGTCCCAAACCGCATCTCTTATCACTTGAACCTCATGGGGCCTAGCACCGCTGTTGATGCCGCTTGTGCCTCGTCGCTCGTCGCCATCCATCACGGACGGCAAGCGATCCTCCAAGGCGAGAGCGAAGTCGCTATCGTCGGAGGGGTCAACGCTCTCTGTGGGCCGGGGTTGACCCGCGTGCTTGACAAAGCTGGAGCGACCTCCCCCCAAGGCCGCTGTCTCTCCTTTGATGAAGGTGCGAAGGGTTACGGTCGTGGTGAAGGTGCCGCCGTGGTGATCTTGAAAAAATTGTCGACTGCCATCCGTGACGGTGACAACATTCGTGCCATAATCAAAGGGAGTGCGGTGGCTCAAGATGGCCGAACCAACGGGATCATGGCTCCAAACGCTAAGGCACAAGAGCTCGTGGCAAGAAATGCCCTTCGGACTGCCGGGGTCGACCCTCTGACAGTTGGGTATGTGGAAGCTCACGCCACGTCGACTCCGCTGGGCGATCCTACTGAGGTCAACGCAATCGCAGCAGTTTACGGCAAAGACCGACCGCAAGAGAGTCCTTGCTTCATCGGCTCTGTGAAGCCGAACGTGGGTCATTTGGAAGCCGGCGCTGGCGCTGTCGGATTCATCAAAGCGGTCATGGTGGTTGAAAAGGGGATTTTGCCACCACAGACCAATCTGAAGACACTCAACTCTCGCATCAAATGGGACGAAGCCGGGGTGAAGGTCGTCCAAAAGATGCAAGACTGGCCCGGGTCAGCAGACGAGGTCCGCCGAGCGGGAGTTTGTTCTTACGGATATGGTGGCACGGTTTCCCATGCGATTATTGAGGAGTTCGTGCAACAGCTCCGACTGCCGACCACCGTCATGAACGATGAAGAGCCCCTGCCGCAGGTCCTTCTTCTGTCTGCTCCTCAAGAGAAACGCCTGGCTCTCCAGGCCCAGAAACAGGCCTCCTGGATTGCCAACGAAGGTAGGAAGAGGACTCTGGCATCGATAGCAACGACCCTGAGCACCCGTCGTGGGCACCATGACTACCGAGCTGCCATCATCGTGGATAACCATGATGATGCCGTGGAGAAACTATCCGCGATTGCGAGCGACAAAGCAATCAACTGGGTCACGTCAAGCCGCGTGCTCGATAAAAGCTGCTCCAAGGATGTGGTATGGGTTTTCTCCGGTCATGGCGCCCAATGGGCCGCGATGGCTACCGATTTACTTAAAGAAGTTGTGTTTTACCAAACCATTAGCTCTCTAGAAGCCCTTGTGGAGCGTGAAATGGGTTTCTCTGCCTTGCATTCTCTTGCAAGTGGCGATTTCGAGTCATCCATTAAGGTTCAAGTGCTCACTTACCTTGTGCAGGTGGGACTTGTTGCTATCTTGCGCTCCAAGGGACTGAAGCCCCAGGCTGTAATTGGTCATTCCGTGGGAGAAATTGCTGCCTCAGTTGCTGCTGGCTGTATCACTGCAGAGGAAGGCGCATTGATTGTCACCCGGAGAGCGAATCTCTATCGTCGTGTGATGGGAACTGGCGCGATGATTCTTATCAACATCCCATTCGCGGATATGGAGAAAGAACTACAAGGCCGGACGGATCTCGTCGCTGCTATTGACTCCTCTCCGTCGTCATGCGTTGTTTCCGGTACCACCGAAGCCATTCTGGCGCTCGTGGAAGACTTAAAATCTCGCGGTGTCAAAGCCCTCAGGGTTCAGACTGATATTCCCTTTCACCACCCGATGCTGGATCAGCTGTCAGAGCCATTACGAGAGGCCCTGGAAGGCTCGCTGTCGCCACGTAAACCAAGAGTTACACTCTATTCGACCTCTGCAATGGACCCACGCAGCACGACGGCTCGGGATATTCATTACTGGACCAGCAATATGGTCAATCCAGTGCGGTTGACTGCAGCAGTGGGGGCTGCAGTTGACGATGGGCTACGATTATTTTTGGAGGTTTCTACCCACCCCATTGTGTCTCATTCTATCCGAGAAACCATGTTGGATCTTGGTGTGGAAGACTTCACTGTTACCAACACGATGGCCCGCAACAAACCTGCTGGCAAGACCATTCTGTCCAGCATCGCGCAGCTCCACTGCCGGGGAGCCGTCGTCAATTGGAAGAAGCAGTTGCCGGGTCCCTGGGCTTCTGATGTTCCCTTGACCAGCTGGGATCACAAGCCTGTTTGGAGGCAGATTCACACTGGCCCTTTGAGTGTCTCGACACTGCATGACGTGGACAAACACACGCTTCTGGGCCAGCGCGTTCCCGTTGCGGGAGAGAGAACTATAGTGTTCACCACGCAGATGGATGACCAGACCAAGCCTTTTCCAGGAAGCCATCCCCTACACGGCTCAGAGATTGTTCCCGCAGCTGCCCTGGTCAATACCTTTCTTCATGCCACCGGGGCTAACACCCTCTCTAACATTACCCTTCGCGTGCCAGTAGCTATCAGCCAACCGAGGGATATCCAGGTGGTAGTGTATCAAAATCAAGCCAAGATTTGCTCGCGTCTCACCCAGAAGACGGACACTGAGACGGACGATGGCGCTTGGCTGACACACACCACGGCGCAGTGGGGGACCGGTGGCAACAGTACTCTTTCTGCGCAGATCGATATTCCAGCCATCAAAGCTCGTCTCACCAATAGCAAGCTGGCAGACAATTTTTCCATCGACTATCTGGACAAGGTCGGCGTTTCCGCCATGGGCTTCCCCTGGGCAGTTACAGAGCACTATGGCAATTTGCAAGAAATGATTGCTCGCGTTGACGTCGCCCCAGACGTCGCACCCGGCAGTCCCCTCCCGTGGGACGCTTCGTCTTGGGCCCCAATCCTCGACTCAGCCACGTCCGTGGGATCCACGCTGTTTTTCGATCAACCTCGCCTGCGCATGCCGGCTCACATTCACGGTGTCCAGGTGTATACCACGCAGCCGCCACCGAAAGTGGGTTATTTGTATGTGGAAAAGGCCACAGACCGGGACCTGGCGGTGAATGTCAGCGTCTGCGATGAACTCGGCACGGTTTTGGCTCACTTCGAATCCATGCGGTTCTCCGAGATCGAAGGCACACCGGGCAGCAACGGCAGTGAGGAGAGTTTGGTACATCAGATAGCATGGCCCCCTGCCGCCTACAGCGAGAAACCGCTGCCGATTGGCAAAGTCGTACTCGTTTCCCCAGATAAGGAACTTGCAGACCTCTACGCTGAGTCCTTGAAAGACCGTATCTCGTCCTTGACGATGTTGGATGGTGCGGCCGATCTGCTTCCCCTCACACAGGATCCGAATAGTGTCCTACAAGGAAAGGAGACGGTGGTCGTGTACGTCCCCGGTCGCATCCAGGGCGCGGATGCCATCCCGACTAGTGCCCATACTTTCCTGATGGAGCTGCTACTTCTAGCCAAAATACTAGTCAACAACTCCTTGCCGGCGAAGCTCTTCGTGCTGACAGACCGTGTTTCCGAAAGTGAGTCTGCCACAGCTCTCGCACAGTCTCCGATCCACGGTGTCTCCCGCATCATTGCCTCGGAGCACCCCGATCAATGGGGTGGTTTGATCGACGTTGAATTGCCCGGTAAATTCCCACTCGAGACGATGAAGTACGTGCAGGAGGCCGACAACATCCGTATCTCCGACGGTATTCCCAGGATTGCTCGTCTGCGCCCGCTTCCTCGCGACAAGCTCCTACCGTCTAGCGAACAAGCTAGTCTACTCCCCCGACCGGAAGGTACATACTTGATCACGGGTGGACTGGGCGCTCTGGGCCTGGAGGTCGCCCAATTCTTGGTGGAGAAAGGCGCTCGCCGGCTCATTCTCGTTTCTCGCCGCTCCCTGCCTGCTCGCCGCGCGTGGCCAGCTATCCTTGCGGATTCATCATCCTCCTTGTCGACGGTGTTGGAAGCAATCCTACGCCTGGAAGGGCAGGGAGCTACGGTCCATACGCTTGCGGTGGACATTGCCTCCCCGGAAGGCGCCTCTCAATTGACTGCCGCCATCGATGCGCTTTCGCTTCCTCCAGTCCGCGGCGTGGTCCATGCAGCAGGCGTTCTAGAAGATCAGCTAGTGCTCTCCACCACGTCGGACTCATTCGAGCGCGTGCTCGCGCCCAAGGTTACCGGAGCGTTAGCCCTTGGTACTGCATTCCCCGTCAAGACACTCGATTTCTTTATGCTTTTCTCCTCGTGTGGACAACTACTCGGCTTCCCAGGCCAAGCTTCCTACGCATCTGGAAATGCCTTCCTAGACGCATTCGCCACATCCCGCCGACTCCAAGGCGACAACGCTGTAGCTGTGCAGTGGACCAGCTGGCGTGGCCTCGGCATGGCAGCCAGTACGGACTTTATCAACGCGGAGCTGGCCAGCAAGGGCATCACGGATATTACGCGCGATGAAGGCTTCCGCGCCTGGATGCATGTTTCCAAATATGACATTGCTCAGGCTGCCGTCTTGCGCAGCCTGGCCTTCGAGGCCGACGAGCCGCTTCCCACCCCGATACTGGGGGATATTGCCATCCGCAAGGCTGGCATCCCCTCGGCTGGCGTATCTGCTGCTGCTCCGAAGAATACGAATGAAATCCCGGCATCAATCCCCGAGCGTCGCACATGGTTGGATGGACGTATCCGTGAATGTGTGACCCGGGTCCTTCAGCTGGGTAGCAGTGACGAGGTCGATTCCAAGGCCGCCCTGAGTGACCTAGGAGTTGACAGTGTCATGACAGTCAGTTTGAGAGGCCAGCTGCAGAAGACATTGGGAGTTAAGGTGCCACCCACATTGACTTGGAGTTGCCCGACTGTTGGACACCTGGTGGGATGGTTTTTGGAGAGGATTTGAAATTGGGCCGAAATGGCATTTATCCGTATATCCGTCTCTCTGTCTCTCTCTCTTGTCTTTTTTTTAGTGAGATTAGATTGTTTGCTATCTGTCTTCTTGCATTGTATGTTTTCTGTCAATCAATTTAAGAAACCTACTTATGTGTTATAGAACTGATAAGAATGTATATATGATTGATATATATTTTCGCAGAGGAGTAGCATAAGCGGTAAATGTAGAATTTAGGTAGACATGCCGGAAAACGTTCTGATTCATTGATAATTATAAATGATGGTAAAAGGTTCTATATAGTGGACTTCTGAGGCTCTTAAATCTGGCCTGATTACCCTATCGTCTGATCATTCTGATATTCTCGGCCTCCGGATTCAATATACAGGAGCAACCGGGATCAGGGAATTTCATGAGCATACTCCACAGTAATCAACCGTTATACACGTCTCTTTGCAATAAAGCAATTCAACTCATCAATATGCTACCAAAAGCCCTTGCAAATTAAAACTTCTGCCTTGCGTGACTAGACGGGGGGCCTTTTTAAAACATAAAGTCACCGATTTAATTTCGATAACAAGTAGCGTGGGATTTCAAGGTCCTACGGTAAAACTTAGAAATAGCCTGGTAAATATCTACATAGCCCGAAGAAATGTAAATATTTATAAATTAACATAGCTAAAGAAGAACTACGTGCGAAGTACATATTACAAGACTGACGTATAGGTATTCCCAAACACTTCGAAGCCGGGGGGGG